TTAACCCTCCAAATTCTTTTATTTTCACCCATTTCCCGCCTATTTAATTCTTTTCTCCCAATTTCTTTGGATTAAAATAAAATTTGGGAGGAAATTTTATTTACGTGAATTGACTAAGAAAAAGGGAACGGCTTTTTTAAAGTAAAAATTATTTTGGAGTATTCTTTCGATTTTTAAAGCAGCTTAAAAGGTTGGAGAATTAAATAATAAAGCAGACAGTTGAATAAACTGAAAAGAAATACAGAATCAGAATTAAAATCAGAATTAGAAAATACAGTTCAAATAATGCTGGAAAGGTGTTTAAATTAGGTTGAAAAAATATCAGAATTAATAAATAAAAATCAGAATTAAATACCAGAATAAAAGTCAGAATTAAATATGTACCAGAATAAAAATCAGAATTAAATACCAGAATAAAAGTCAGAATTAAATATGTACCAGAATAAAAATCAGAATAAATACCAGAATAAAAGTCAGAATTAATTACCAGAATTAATTTAATAAGAGATCAGAAATAATCAGAATTTTGGAAATACAATGTAAATATGTATTATAATTAAAAAATCAGAATTTTAATCAGAATTAATTTTTAAAAAAATCAAAATTTTAATTAAAATAAAAAATCAGAATTATGAAATACAGAAAAATATAAATAAAAGAAAATGAAATACAAAAACAGAATTAATTAAATAAAAATAAAGAATAACATAAAAAATGTTAAAATAATTGGCACCATTTGTGGAAGGAAAATAAATATTAAACAAAAATAAAAATAAATTTAGCATTGAGGAAAAATAAATTGGAAAAATAATAAGGCCAAAAATAGAAAAGGGAATATTTTTATGCAAAAAAAAATAAAAAAATTTTTCTTTAAAAAATTTTAATTTTATGAGAATTTAGGCTGTACTTTGTATAATGGGGACCCGAGACTCCCGGTAACTCTGGGTTTTCTAATCTTATGGTCACTTTATTCCCATAAAAATTATTGAAATATAGTGAACCTTTTGCCTAATATCTTACGACAAACATCAACAGAAATTAAAAACTAGAAAAAGTGACCGATCTAAGGAAGTGAGGAAAAATATTTTTCCGGCACTCTTGCGTAAAGTGCCAAAATTTGAAAAATCTAGAAAAAAATTCAGAATTTTTTTTTCATTAAAAAATAAAAATGATGGCATTTTGAAGATGTTTATTTCAAAGAAATATTATGCCCTTATTATATTTTTGCGCGTGATACAATTTAAGTGGAGGTAAGGGGCGGATCCCACGCTATATGCGGAGGACGTGAAAATTGTAAAATGATACTCTATAGCTAGTTAAAATATAAATATTTGTTGAGAAAATAATTTTGTTAAAAATAAAAATTTTTGAGGCATGAAAATTTAAATGATTGTCAGGTCGTTAAGGTGTGAAGATTTGGGAGCAAAAGTCATCAAATTATAAAATGGCCAAAAGAGCACGTAAAATTCTGAAATTTTGCATGGTGATCCTCAATACTGTTAATTTAATTGAAGTAAAATTTCAGAATTTAAAATTAAATATTTCAGAATTTATGAGTGAAAATATCAAAATTATGCTGAAAAACGCCTGCTTTTTGAAGGTTTTCAACAGTAACTTTTGGAAGAAAAAACCTGAAATTCTGAAACTTTTAGGCAAGCTAAGTAATACTTCTGAGAATGTGTGTGCAAAATTTCAGAATTTTAGAGCAAGTATTTCAGAATCTATGAACCAAAGTGTCAGAATTAGCGCACAAAATGATATTCTTTTGTGGTTTTGAAACAATAACCTTGCATATACAAAATTGAAGTTTTTGATCTTTTTATACAAGTTAAAAAATCCTTCTGGGATTGTCTAACAAAATTTTAAGAATGCTGGGTTCTCATTAAAGAATTTTATAACATCAGAAACTGACGTTGTCTACAGCCTTCAACGTCCCCACAGAAACCTTCTCCTTAAAAATTCAAAAATTAAATTAGAAAATATAGTAAAAATATTTTTTATATCATAAAATAATTATTTGAACTTTAAAAAGACAGATTTAGTTCAGGAAATAAATTTTTAAAAAATATATTAATTTTAAAGTTGTTGACAAATGACTACTACAAACAACACCCTCTCTTTTAACTTTTTTTCAATTTCCCATCAAGTTTGTGATGAGTAAAAGCAATTTGATATGTTTTTGTGTATTGCAGAGTGTAATAAAATAAAAAATATATTTATTGGAAAAATATAATTGAAAAAAATATTTTTTATAATTTTTTGGCAATTTAATAAGGCCATTCTTGGATAAGCGTCAATTAAAATTAAATAAATACAAAAACAGAATTATTAAAATTATAAATTTTAAAATCAGAAATCAGAAAATTTTTAAAATGAAAAACCAGAATTTTTTAACAGAATTTAAGTCTGAAAATTCTGATTTAAAAATCAGAATTTAAAATCAGAATTAATATACATGAGAAAATACCAAAAAAACAGAATTATTAAAATATAAAGATCAGAATTTTACTATAAGTATTAAATTCAGAATTTTATTAAAAAGTTAGGGATCATACTGTTGAGAAAATACTAAAATCATAATTTAAATAGAACAAAAATCGGCTCTTGTCCAGTTCATGCGTCCCATGAAAATTTATGCGTCCCATGAAGATTTATGAGTCCATGAAGATTTATGAGTCCCATAAAAATTTATGCGTCCCAAGAAAATTTATGAGTCCCAAAAATAATTTATGCGTCCCATAATAATTTATGCGTCCCAGAAATAATTTATGCGTCCTATAAAAATTTATGCGTCCCATGAAATAAATTGAAAAATCTTTTTTGTTAATCAATAATACTGTTCTTTGTTAATCAAATACGGTATTTCCTAAAATAATACTCCCCCCTAAATTAGTACTACCCTCTTAAATAATACTCCCCTTTGGAGGAGGGTTGAAAAATAGTACTCCCCCCTGAATTGTTACTATCCCTTAAATAATACTCCCCTTTGGAGGAAGGTTAAAAAACAGTACTCCCTGAATTGGTACTCCCCCAAAATAGTACTCCCCCTAAAATATTTTTCCCCTATATTTGAAAAAATAATAAGAGACTATTGAATTATTTTATTTATTCTAAATAGCGTTGTCGGTTTCACTTAATTTTTCGATTTTTCAATAAAATATTTCGAGGATTAAAGGATAAAATCCAATTAATGGTGGGGCAAAAGTGGATTTTGGGGATATCGTTACCTCTAATTCAAAAATACCCAGATATCCAAATACTAATATCCAATAGTACCAATAGTCCAAATCAATGATATCCAATAGTACTACCCCTTGAATTAGCACTCCCTACTTAAATAGTACATATTACTCCCCTTTGGAGGAGGGTTGAAAAATAGTATTCCGGGAGTACTATTTTAGGAAATACGGTATGTAAGTATAAATGTTAAATGTTATTTTTTAATATTGGAATATTTTTTCAATTAATTTCATGGGACGCATAAATTATTTTTGGGACTCATGAATTTTTATGGGACGCGTAAATAGTTTTTGGGACGCATAAATTTTTATGGGACTCATAAATTCTCTTGGGACTCATAAATCTTCATGGGACGCATGAACTGGACAAGAGCCCAAAAATCATATAAAAACCAGAAAAAGACGTGATTTAAAAAAATATTTTGTTATTAAATTTAAAAAAATAAAATTAGAAATTATTAGTAGAGTGAGTGAATTTGTGTGAAATCATTTTAAAGTAGATTGAATGAAAAAAAAGAATTTTGGAAACACGAAAGTGGGGGTAGAGGAGAGGGAACTTGTCGAGCGCAACAAAAAATATTTTTGTGAGCTCTTACATGAAAAGAAAACTTTTTTCTTTTATTATTTTGTTCAAACTTTTTCTCAATATTTTATTTTTGTATTTACTCATCTATAGAGAATTAATAAACATTTTTTGGGCGAGAATGACTGGGATGTCTAGGCGCGAACAAAATATAGGTAAATAAATCAGAATATTTAGAAAAAAATAAAGGACAACAATATCAGAATTAATAAAAATCAGAATTAATACTTAGGAATAGAACACATAATAAAAATTAGAATTAAAAAAATACAAACATCAGAATTCTAAAACAAAAATACAAAAAAATACAAAATCAGAATTAATGCAAAGGAATAGAAAAAATCAAAATTAAAAAAATACAAAAATCAGAATTAATATTAAAAAGAGAAACACATAACAAAACACATACAGATCGTATTTATTCGGAAAAATAAACAAATTTGAAAAATCAGAATTTCCTAAAACAAAAATACATATACATATCAAAATACAAAAATTAATTATTAATATAATCATGCGCCTCAAGGCACCGCGTCAGAACAACCCTAAAGTAGTTATTCAAGCCTATTTGTACTTTATAAAAATAGAAATAGTAAAATTCTACCAGTAAAAATTTGCTAGTAAATTGAGAAATTAAAGGCAGAAAAGGGCCTGTATAAACAAATTAATTTATTTTGGGCTGAAAAAATCGTGTAAAAAATAAGACCAAAAATTACTATTCCTTTCCTATTTTTTAGATAATTTCTAAAAATCATGTGAAATTAAAAATTAAATTTGTAAATAAATAATTTAATTAGAAACTAATAAAGAATTATTTATGTTCGATCGATGAATAATAGAAGTTCCCGCAGAATTTATAAATATTTATTTAGATGAATATTGAAAAGGCCGGTGTTGAGAATGAGTTGGTTAATAATATTTTCTGTTTTAGATTTAATATGTATAAGGGGAAGGAAGGTTTTTTAGATAATATTGATGAGATTTATTTTTATTAAGAGAAAATACAAAAATCAGAATTTAAATCAGAATTACAAAAAAACACCTAATTAGCGTCAGAATTAAATAAAAATAAAAAAAATCGCCTAAAATCAGAATTAATAAAACACAAAATTTGGAGAATATTTATTTTACAAGATCCATTTTAAAAAAATTAAAAATTTTTAATATTCATAATTTTTTTAAATCTTCTGTTCATTAATTATACAATTATTTTCTTCACTTTGAACAGATGGGGAAGACTCAAAACAAATCTCTTCATTTTTTGGCGCTTCCAATGAACGTGTTGAGGAATTGGATAAACTTAAATTGAAAATTAATTAGAAATTGTAAATACAAAAATCAGAAATTGTAATAAAAAGTTTTAAAATTTGTAAAAATAACACTAAGTTTAACAAGGAAATTACAATTTGTAAAATGTTTTTTAATTTTTAAAAGAGGTTTTACAAATTGTAAAGTTCTAAAGAAATTTTACAAATTGTAAAATAAGTTTTACATATTGTAAAAAATTCTCACAAATTGTAGAAAAAAGTTTTACAATTTGTAAAAAATGTTTTGATTAAAATTACAATTTGTAGGAAAAGTTTTTATACAAATTACAAATTGTAAAAAATCAGAATTTTTAAATATATAAATCAGAAATTGTAAAAACAACCCAAAATTTTTAAAAATCAGAATTTACAAATTAAAAAACTTACAACTCGCAAATTGAAGGTAATAATGTTGGTAAACCTCCAGCTTGACTATTAATATTATTTTTAATATTAAAATTAGGTTGTTGTAATAAATAAGGGTTATTATTAATTGTTGATTTATTAAAATTATTATTTTCAAAATTAAAAAAAGAACAAGACTGTTGATTATTTAAATAATTATTTTGTTGCCATAATTTATTTTGATCATTTTTGTTTTGCCAAAAATCAAAAAGTAAAGCAGCAGCAGGATTAGAATTTGAGGAAGAAGGGGTCTGACAAATAAAAATATTCTTGACTCAAAAAATATTTTTTACGGAAGTCAATCCAGTCTGAACACTCTTGGCTGCATTGAGCAAAATTTGTTCAAATTGGGGCCATCCCGCGGCAGCTGCGGCTGCTAGCCCACCCATCATTGAAGTTATACTTTGTCTATAAATTAATTATTTTTTAATTTAAGCGAATCAGAACACCTTTTTTGTTTCATTCGCCTATTCTGAAACCAAACTTTAATTGTAGCCTCAGGAAGCCCCAACTCTGCAGATAATTCACCTCTTCTCACTTTTGAAACATAATTTTCTCCAATAAATTCACGTTCTAGCAAGCGAATTTGTTCTCGAGTAAATGCTGTACGGTAGCGACGCATTGCTGCTGCATCTTAAATAAAAATCGGAATTTATAAAATACAAAAATCAGAATTTTAAAGAAAAGAGGGGATTATAAAACGCAAATGTAAAATCAGAATCTAAAAAAATAAAAATAAATAAAAACATCAGAATTAATCTCAAAAATTTAAAAATACTATAAATCAGAATTTTAAAATCAGAATTTAAAAATCAGAATTTAAAAATCAGAATTTTAAAATCAGAATTTTAAAATCAGAATTTAAAAATCAGAATTTTAAAATCAGAATTTTAAAATCAGAATTTAAAAAATCAGAATTTAAAAAATCAGAATTTAAAAAATCAGAATTTTAAAATCAGAATTTAAAAATCAGAATTTAAAAAATTAGAATTTTAAAAATCAAAATCTTAAAAATCAGAATTTTAAAAATCAGAATTTTAAAATCAGAATTTAAAAAATCAGAATTTAAAAAATCAGAATTTTAAAATCAGAATTTAAAAAATCAGAATTTCAATAATCAGAATTTTAAAAATCAGAATTTTAAAAATCAGAATTTAAAAAATCAGAATTTTAAAAATCAGAATTTAAAAAATCAGAATCTTAAAAATCAGAATTTTAAAAATCAGAATCTTAAAAATCAGAATTTTAAAAATCAGAATCTTAAAAATCAGAATTTAAAAAATCAGAATTTTAAAAACCAGAATTAAAAACCAGAATTAAAATTTTTAAAAAAGAATTTAAAATCTAAATCATTATGAAGGACCACCTAAAAAATAAAGATATTAAAATTAATACAGTAATTTATTTTTTAACTATTTATTATCATAAAACAAAACCTTCGCTTCTTGTCTACTAACAAGCTTATTTACCATCAATTAAAGCAATAAAATAATAAAAAAAACGTTAAATGCTGCCCCAGAAAAGCGTAATTTTTTATTTTTATTTTTGCAAGATCGAAAAACGGCAATTAACCCAAAACAACAAAAAAATAATTCGTTACTCTCTTATTAAAATACTAATTTTGTCGCGCGTGTTTTTGCCGTTTTATTTGTTTTTATTAAGCGAGAAGTGTGTTACTGTATTAATCAAAGAGAGAGAATAGGAGAGAAAATACAAATCAGAATTTAAATAAAATTGAAATTACAATTTGAACTTGAAAAATACCAAAATCAGAATTTAAATTATAAATTGTAATCAGAAATTACAAATTGTAGTTAAATAAAAATCAGAATTTTACAAATTGTAAAAAATAAAATCAGAATATTTTAAATTGTAATTAACTCAAAATTTTACAAATTGTAAATATAATTGTAAAATCAGAATTTTAGAAAATACATAAACCAGAATTTATGTAGATCAGAAATTGTAATCAGAATTTTACAAATTGTATAAAATAAAACCATAAATTACAAATTGTAATTAAATCAGAATTTAGCAAATTGTAAATATAATTGTAAAATCAGAATTTTAAAAATAACAAAATCAGAATTTAAATCTGAAATTACAATCAGAAATTACGAATTGTAAAACAATAAAAGAAGTGTAAAATCAGAATTTTACAATAAATATAAATCAGAAAAACAAAAATAAAAAACCAGAATTAGAATAAAATCAGAATTTAAAACTAAACTTTAAACTTACCAGAACAGTGCGTAGGCAAATTCTCATAAAATAAAAAATTCTGATTGTGAAAATTCTGATTGTCGTTATTTAATAAATGTTGTTGGTAAATATTCTGATATTGTTTTTCCTTTTGTATTTCAATTAAAATATTCTGATTTGTATTTTCATTGTATTTTTCCAATTCCTCTTCTTCTGTTTCTTCTTTCTCTTCTCTATTAACTTTTAAATTTTTCTTTTGTAAACGCTTTTTGTAATATTTTTTTTGTTTATTTAAATTATTTAAATTAACAGAATTTTCGTTGTCTATATTAATTCTGTTATTTTCTGGGTTTAGTAAAGTATCAGAATAATTAGGTAAATGAAGAGATTTTTTGTTGTTATTGGTTGAATTTTGGGAGTATATGGAAGGCTAAAATTAATTTTTTATTGAAGAAATTTTTTCAGAATTCTGATTTTTTAATTTAACAAAAAAAACAGAAATTCAGATTTTTCTGATTTTTAATTCAAAAATAAAAATCAGAAATAAATCCTTATTAAATTCTCTTTACCTTTTCATCCCCTCCCAAAAGAGAGTCAATATGACGAAATGAAGATGATGAAGTTGCTAATGAAGTCTCACATTCTGGTAAATCTTCCATTCTTAGAAAATTAATTTTTCTGCAATTTTAAAGAATAAAATAAATTTTTTAAGGAAGGAATAATTATGAGAGAAACAAATACAATATTAGGCTTGCGGCGGTTATCCACTCATATTAATCTTTCTTAGCCACGCCCCTTTTTCTTATTTCCCGCCTTTTTTATTATAATTGAAATTGAATTTAATATTAGCGAAAAATGCAAAAGGAAAACACTAGATTAAACCAGATTTAAAGAGAAGTAAAAATCAGAATTTAAATCAGAAATATTTATTATGTGTATAATTTCTGATTTTTGTATTTCTTCTTTTGTGATTCTGAACTAAATTCTGATTTTTAGGTTAAAAACAGAAATAAGAAATTCTGATTTTATTTTAAAAAATAGAAATTTTGACTTTCTTAATTATAAAACAAAAATCAGAATTTACCAGAAAAATACCCTCAAACCTTATTAAACAAAAACCAGAACAAATAAAAAATAATTTAATTAAATTTTATAAAAAAAGAAAATATAAAAATCAGAATTTTTATTTTCTATTTCCTTCATAAAAACATTTTTTCTCTATAAAAGTAATTTTTAAAATTAAAATAAAGTATATAAAAGTTAATATTTATTCAATCTCCAAATATTCCATAAATAATTTCCCTTGGGTTAAAAAAATTTTTTAAGGGTCAGAAATTTTGGTAATTTGTTTGATTTGTTTAAAGGGTCTATTTTCGTTTATTTCAATTTATTTTTCCCCTACTTGCTTCATTTCTTGAATTGTCTCGATTTGTCACTTATTTGGTAACAAACATTTTTCCCTTGTTTACCCCTCCATCTTCCCCCTCCATCAAAATAAAATAGAATAATTTGACAGGATTTTTGATTAATCGCATGCTTTTGCCTCTTTTTGAGGATTGCGAGGGCATTAGGGCGCGGTGCCTTTAAGGAGAAACGACGATGGATAAAAGCTTGTAAACTGGCGAATATTAAAGTTGGAACCGCAAAATTTTACATAAATATTGTTAATATGTTTAGATACATTCTCCAAAAAATTCAGAATTTTTGGCACATTATTTAAGAAATTCTGGTCAAAGAAAGTTAATTTTCGAGCGAAAATAACCTGTTCTTAAGAGTTTTCGGTCACAACTTTTGCAATAATTAATTAAAAATTTTGAAATCTTTAAGAAAGTTGCTTAAGACTATAAAGTATCTCTATAAAAAATTTCAGAGCTCCAAGTCTTCCAATTTATTTAAAATTTAATCCCGCGCCTAAACATTCCCGCGCCCAACAATATATTAATTCTTATTAATTCTTTATTTTCCCGCCTGTTAAGTTGGAAAATTATGCATAAGGCGGCGCTTAAGCTTTAAAATAAAAGAAAAAGGTTTTGAGGGCCTTAAGGGATTATATTATTTAAGTAGAATAAATATATATTCGTCAAAAAAATATTTTCGGCTGGCAACAAAAGAAAAATTGAGAAAATTTTGATAAATTAATTTTTAGAGATATATTCTATAATTTAATTTAATTTTTTTGGAAGTTTTAAAAGAAAAAATAAAATTTTAAGGAAAATTTTTACTAACTTACTTATAATTAAATGGGTAAATTAATGCTTTGTATTTTTTAAAATTCTGATTTTTGTATTTCTGATAGTTTTTATTTGTCTATCCTTCTTATATAAATTCTGACTTTAATTCTGATTAATTATTCTGTATTTTTTGTATTTTCTTTCTAATTCTGATTTTAATAATTTCATTATTCTGATTTTTATTTGTATTTTTTCCCTTTGTATTTTTTTAACTAAATTCTGATTTAATATTTACATATTTCAAGTTGAAATTACATATATGTGTTTTTTTCCTTTAATTCTGATTTTCTTTTAATTTTTCTTTTATCCCATTCTTTTTTTTTAAAACAAATTATTTTTAATTTAAAAACACTAAAATATTTTTCATTAAATTTTTCCTCATTTTTAATTCCAATTTTCAGCTGACATGCAAAATGACAATAATTTTTTTAGACATTATTACTACTAATATTTTAATGAAAAAAAAGTAGAGGAGAATTTAAAAATTATTAACAAGTACTAAATAACTTGAAAAAATATCAGAATTAATAAAATAGAAATAAAAAGAAAATCATAATTTATTGTCGATTGTGTCAGTTAAATAATAAAAAATGATTTGGAAAAGGAGAAAAAAGTTGGGAAAATTTTTTAAAATAAAAAGAAATGAGTAGATACCAATAAAGCCATAAAAATCACGAAACAAAAATATTTATCTCTTTTATTTTTGTTTTGATACCGGCAAAATCCTTTTAAAAAGAACAAATTACAAGAGATGTTTCTGTTGTAGTAATAAATAAATGTTGCATAATTGACCGTAGAAATAAAAGTTTTGGGCGGTTATTTAATAAAAAAGAAAATAAGCGGAAAAATACAAAACAATTTAACAGAAAATAATTGTAAAATGATGAGGAAATAATAAATGAAAAAACACATAAGAAATGTAATTGAGAATATAAAAGAAAAAATACAAATAAAAAGAAAATCAGAATTGAAGAGAAAATACAAAAGAAAAAAATCAGAATTATCATAAAATCAGAACTAAGATAAAAATACAAATAGAAAATAAATAGAATTAAAATCAGAATTTAAATAAAACAAAAATCAGAAAAATATAAAAATCAGAAGTAATTGTAGTCATACACATAAGCATTTTTTAATCTTCAAAATTTTGCCTAAAATTGGCAAAAAAAAATATTTAAAAATAATAAATTAAAAAATACGTATTTTAATTATTCCCATTCTTTGCTATTTTCCGCCAATATTTAATAGCAAAATAAAAAATATTAAAAAACCTTTTATTATTTTAATACCCTCAAAAACCCAATTTGCTAGGCAATTTGTCAAATGCGCAGGCGTATATAATTTATTATACAAGTCGTAAGTGGAAAAAATTTTAAAGGAGAAATTTTTTAAGATGAAAATGAAGGCATTTTTGTAATTAAGAGGAAAATAAAGGGAAAAAAGATTTATTTTTATTTTAAAATTTTTTTCTAATTTTAGAGGGCATTTTTAGAGGTAAAATTTTAATCATGAAGAATTAGACGAAGAAAAAAAAACAATAAAAACAAGAAATATTATGGCAATTTATTTTAAAAATTTAAAAAGCATCGTCAGCGCAAGGAGAACATTGGCATGGGCACACTACAACGGTGTTGGGCACAAGTACAATTTGAAACGTTTTGGACCATTCGGAAACGAGCTGGTTGGAAATATGGGATTTATATGTATATAAAATGTTTGCAATAGATCTTTTATTTTTTAGGATGTTCCTTTCACTAGAGGGAACATCCTTCTCGTTACCAAAAATGTGTTTTGTTTACAATATCAAAGATATCCCCTTCAGCCTACAAAGGATGTTCCTTTCACACTACTTGAAACCAAGAAAATGTTCACACTTCTGGGAGGTGAATTTCAAACTAAGAGAATTTTAAACCGGAAGAGGGATACTTTAAAAAAGTTAAATCTTACCTCTAGAATGTTTATATAAATCCTGAATGTGCGTTAAACGGAAAATAGCAGAAGAATAAACGTCTGTAGGTCCCGCAAATCGAGGGCGACGATGTTGTTCGGATAGACAATCATAAACAAAATCTGCACTGAAATATCACAATTTTAAAGTTGAACTTCACTATAAGATACACCCAATACACCTCTATTTAGTAAACCTTTGAAAATTTGGTTGGAAATTGAGATATGGAGTCCCGGATGTTCCATCTAGCTTACTTTCTAATAAGAAAGTCTTTTCAGCCTACTTTCTAATCCAAAAGGGACTTGGTCCTTTCAGCCTAAAAAAGGAATGTCTCTCCAAAATTTTCAGGATCAATAGGTATCTAAAAGTAAGGTCCGACAGTATTTAAATAATAGGGCAAAAACATTTTAAACTTAACTATTCTTGAGGACAACTTCTAGGTAAAGGTAGACCATGGTCTGGCTGTTCAAAAGCAAAACAAATTTCTTCAAATGTTCTTTGGTAATGTCTAAAATGTCGAAATTATGATTTTTGACATTTTTGGATATCAGAAAATTTTTTAAAAATTTCAGGAATTTTCTGGAGTTTTTAAATTGAATTTATTACGGTTCAGCCCCTAGTGTAGCGCATTCCCAACAAAGCACTCCAAACATCCTAAAATAATTTTAAAATGATCTTAAACTATCAGAAATACCAAACATCACTCTCCGGTCGATGTTTTGTATTTTGTTGATCTAATGAACAAACAATTTCTGGGGGCAACCAGGGGATAGGTAGCCGAGGCCCAAAATCTATAGGCAATCCAAAATCGCCTAGTTTTGCAATACAGCTTTAAAAATTCTATTTTATTAGATCTTTAATAGTTGAATTTAAATTAGGAAGGCAGTATGAAAGCATTCCCTTAATTCCATGAAGCTTCACACTACAAAGGAGGTTCCCTCCATGCTACTAAGAATGTCCTTACGCCCAAACAAAGATGTCCTCTCCACACAAACAAGAATTCAAAGGATATTCCTTTCGCACACCAGAAACGTACCCTTCGTACTACCAAGTGTTAATTTCCCACTACTACTATCATGCTATCGAAGATTCCACTCACAATACTATAAAAACATTCCCCTCACACTACCAAGGATGTTCCCTTCGCTCCACTAAACGATGATTTTTAATAGGTATAAGATCTCACGTAGCCAGATTCCGTTCATTAAGCAAAATATTTCTAGCAGCAACATCCCCATGTGTGAAATCATTTCCTTGAATATCTCGATTTTCGTGCAAATATCTAAGTTTTGAATTTTTCTGATCAAAAAAATTTTTTAAACATACTTGAGGGCGTGTACAATCTGAAGTAAAATGTGGACTATGTCTTTGACATAGACTCTCACTTGCTCCCTTTCCTCTTTTCTCTAAAAAAGTTTCAGAATTAAAATTTTTTTCATACTTTTCAGAATTCAAAAAAATTCCCCACTCTAATTTCCTCTCTAAAAAATTCTGCCAGACTTCCCCCAGCCAACCATTCCATAGCCAACATTGGACGAAAGACGGTAAATGACCTTTTAATCATTTAAAAACTAATCCCAATTAATTATTTACACAATTTACTGACAGCAATAAGCTTGACTATATTTGGGTGGTTAAGTCTAGCCATCCTTGCGGCTTCTTCGAGAAGGCCTATACTCTTTTGGGGCATTGGATAACTCATCTGGAAAAAATGGAAAATAAGACAAAATTTTGGTTAAAAGTTTTATTAAAATTTTTTTTCCAATTACTCGGTACTCTAAGTACTTTATTTAAAGTCAAATCAAAATTTAAGAATATTATCTGGTTTTTTATTTTCTTTTATTTAAATTCAGAATTTTATTTAGAATTCTGGTAATAAATAAAATACAAAAATTCTGACGATAATTCTGAAATTAAATGAAAGGGTAAAATACCAGAATTTGTATTTCTTTAATTAAAATTTTCAGAATTTTATTTCAGAATTTTTATTTTGTATTTTATTTTTATTTACGGCTATGTGTTTTTTTTTATTTTTCTGATTTCTGAATATTACCAGAATTTTCTGTATTTTTTCTTTTATTAAAAGCAGAATATTACCTACTTTTTTTGTATTTTTACTTTTATTTCAGAATTTATTTGTATTTTTCTAATTACTAGTGCATATTACCAGAATTTATCAGAATTTAATTTCAGAATTATTATTCTGTATTTCATTCCACTTGAAATTATGTGTTTTTCTATATTTTTCTGATTTCAGAATTATTTGTATTTATTTTAATTTCAGAATTATTTGTTCTGAATATATTTGTTTTAATAATTCTGATTTATTTTTTTTCTTTTCCCTTTATTAAATATTTAAAAACAAATTTAGCCACGTGTGGAATAATTTACACACATTTCCATTGCTTACATCATTCTCTCTTTAATTCTTTCCGTTAGAAAATGAGCGTGCAGAAAAGAAAATATTTATAAAAATGAATATCGTGCCCCTTTAGCTCAGTGGTAGAGCGTTGGTCTTGTAAACCAAAGGTCGGGAGATCGATCCTCTCAGGGGGCATTCTTTTTGTTTTTGGGTATTTTATGGGGGAAAATTAATTTTTAGGAGGTTAAAAAATTAGAAAAAATTTTTTGAAATTTTTAAAACTTTTCTAAGGTATTTAAAATTATTTAAAATTATTTTCATTAATTTACTTTAACTGCAGCGAAGACTTTTTGTCTAAAACGCGTCTGGGACTTGGCAACGACATACTAGAAAAATTCAAAAAAATTAAAAAAAAATTTTAAAAATTCAAAAAAATATTTTTTTAATTTTAAAATTTAATTTACTCCTTTAAAAACAAAGCCAACTGCTCCCTGCCCTAATTTTATATCAGTCAATTCAATATTTCTAAAATTGAATTTTTAATGGGGGGTATAATTTAATTAATTAATTACATGTCGTCAACGAGAAAATCGTCGAGGGCTGAAAATTTTCTTGAAAAAAATTTTTTTTGAAAATTCTAGTACCTCTCCTCAAAAATCGTAGCCTTTCAATATATGGAAAAATAGAATCTGGAGTTGGGTGGCAAACATTTTTGCCGTCTAAAAATGTGAAAAATGAAGGAGTTTTGAATTTTTTAATGAGTGAGCTTGACTTATAAAACTCTCAAAAAGTGGAAAAAATTTTCAAAAATTTTTTAAAAATTTTCCTAAAATTTTCTTAAATTAAAAAAAATTTCTAAACGTTTGCAAAACCAAAGTATAGCAATAAAATAAAGCAAAGTAAGAGTTAAAATGGTTGTCCAAGGAGTTAAATTTTCTGTACAGGCGGAATAAATTGAAGAAGTTTCAGTGGAGTTTGTTGAGTATGAAGTTGTTGTTGAATTGGAAGAATTATTGGTAGTTTGGTTACTCATTAAATTGATGAAGATATTAATTATTCAAAAATTCATCAAAAAACTATTTTTTAATTTAATTAATTTAAGCTCCCTTTAAGCTACTTTTAAAATTTGTTACGACCTGGGCAAGGTAGCATGGGACAATTATAATTCCTTAAATCGTAACCTTCCAGTACAAATTAAAGTTATTTTCAAGATAAATGCTCTTGAAAACGTGTTATTGACTTAAAACATTTCTTGTAGAGTGGGACATGGCCGGTTAACCGACCGGTTAATTTTTCCCTGTGATGGGGTAAAAACTCTAATTTCCTGGGTCTAAAACTAGGTAAGAATTTTTGGGAGTTTCAGTGGACTACAAATGATAGAATTCCTCCTTTTTTTCGTCCACAAAATAATAAATTATTTATTTTTGCGTTAAAAATTATTGCGGTCTTCTCTTTTCTTAAATTAAAAAAGGAAAGAAAAATAAAAATATTGATCTGCGCAACTCTCCAAATTATTTTTTTGATTGAATTTCTTTGAAGAAAACTTTTTAATTTATTTCTCTCATTATTTCCTCTCATTTTTAAGTTCCTCTCAAAATTAATTTAAAAATAAAATATTTGGCAAAGTGTTTATTTTTCTTTTTTTCTCTAATTTAATTTTTAATGTCATAACAAAATAGTACAAGACAAAATGGTACAACGAATAAAAAACGACAAAATGGTACATAAGAAAGACGATGCTGGAAATTATTACGGTCCATTTGTCCTTTTTTATCCTTTGTACCATTATGTCGTGTACCATTTTTGAGATTAATTTCCTCTTCTTTTTTCTTTTTCTCTCTAATTTAATTATTTTTCTCACCAATTTTATTTAAAATTAAAACGATTAAAAATTAATTATTTTTTACACTAATTTGTAAATATATTTTCTGATTTATTTTTTTATTTTTTTCTGATGTTGGCTTTGCTTTTTTTAGATTTAATTTAAATTTCTCTTATTTGTTCAAGTGTCAATACAAACTATTTTTTTGTTTTTTTCTCTCGAATAAAACGACAAAATGGTACATTAAAAAAGCGAACTTGAATTCCTTTTGTGCCATTTGTTCCTTTTTACCCATTGTACCATTATGTCGTGTACCATTTTGGACAAAGCTTCATCTTTTTTGAGGAGACTTTCCCTCATCCAGTCATTTTTCATTTAATTTTTAAATTAAAAAAATTTTTTTCTGCTGATTTATTCAATTAATTTAAACTTGCCTAGCAATAAAATAAATGGATAAAGAATCTTCATCTACTTTAAAATCCCCAGTCAATTCCCCCACAAAATCGGAAGATATATGGCTTCAACCTCACCAACCTTTAAAACAGGACGGCCATTCAGAACACAACAGAATGCTTATTGACTTTGAAATAAGCGTTATTGGGGAGGAGGATGAAGAAGCTGAAGAAGTTTTGAGTCCAGAATCGGCTGCAAAGCTAAATGAAAGCTGTTCGGATAAAAATGCGGATGATTCCAAAAAAGTGTTCAAGAAGGTCACGATTAATGTTGAGGTTTTTTAAAGTTTTTTTCGATAATTAGTGCTTGCAGTTTACCCCCTATTCGCATTTCCTTGTAAGAAGAGGGGAAAAGTAGGGAAAAATGTAAAAGTTTGGTATAGCCCCCTTCCATTTTTCTGTCCTTTGAAGACAAGTTTTTGGTTTTTTAATAAAAATTTTTTTTAAGGAAGTGGGAGAAGGGGAATGTGATAGAAGATGGAAAAACAAAGGCTCGTCAAGAGACTCAATCGATCGACGGTTAGGTCTTGCAGAAAAAGAAAGAATAAATAAAGAAAAAAAAGAGGCGGATAAATTGAAAAATGTGAAAGAACGTATTTATGTAGACAAATTCATAATGGTAAGTCATCGTGAAGATAAGGAGGCTCTTGAGTTTCTTTGTAATTCTTCACCTTCAAGTCCTGATGGTGCTTCTTCGAGACAACCCGGCTTTTTGAAAAAGGTTTGATATTTAACTTTCTTTGGTTTTTGCATCTTATTTGGTCCATATAGGAGAAATATTTGAAAATTTTAAGATCTTTCTATTTTACTAAAGCCAATTTGTATAGAGGGCGTAACCAAAGTTTGATTTAGGAGAGGGATGTGGGGCTATGTAATGTAATATTTAAATTTATGAAACTATTCTTTTCTGAATCCCTTTCAAAAATGTTACCATCCCTCTTCTAGTTAGCAGGGATGTCACGAGTTACTCGAAACCTTTCTTTTTCAACCCGGTTCGAAAATATTTTGAAAGCCAGTCTTCTCAATCCGGGACACCCCATGATTGCTATTTTATCTTTTCCATCATAACATTTTCAAAGCCGATAATGCCGAGTTTTATGCCCCTCTCCCATTTCCATAACGTACGTAATCAGGCCCGTAGCCAGGATTTTTTTCGGGGGGGGGGGGGGGGGGGCCAAGGGGGAAATTTTTTTGCGCCAAATTTTTGGCGCCGAAGGCGCCAAAAATTTGATTTTCAGCGCCGCAGGCGAAAATTTTTTGAATTTTGGAGCTCAAGAAGCCAGATTTCTTCCATTTTTAGCGCCGCAGGCGAAAATTTTGAAAATTTCGAAGGCCGTAGGCCAAAAAAATTCACTTTTTTTTTGCCCCAGCCCTTCCCCAAAATTTTCCCTTTTTCCCATTTCGGGGGGGGGGGGGGGGGGGGGGGGAATTCCCCCCCCCCTACCCCCCCCTGGCTACGGGCCTGTACGTAATAGGGAAATAGTGGAATTGAGGAATCAAGGGGGTCTTACAATAATGGGGGGAAGGGGGAGGCGAAACTCGGCCCTCTCAAAGCTTTACCCCCAATCATTTTAAGGGTTCAGCTCTCATTGCCAAACTCAGCAGATATCGCCCACCGGTATTGGACATAAACGTTCTTGATGGCGATCCTCCACGACCACCACAACCTTCTTCAAGTTGTTTTGATTTGTTGCAAACTCCTCAAAAATCTTTTCAAATAGATGACGTTTTGTTAAAACATTTTGACGAGAATGTGGCAATTGAAGACCAAAATAACTCGGAAAAACCAGAAAATGCACAAATTGTGACTTCAAAAACGGATTTTACAAATACGGGAGATGATGTCAAAAGGGAATTTGGACCATCTTTGGATCTTATTTTTTGGCGAAAATTTGTGGAAACGGATGACCCTTGTTGGAGGTTCTTTTTTAATGTTTTTGATTTTTTATCTTTTGCGGGTCTCCCGTAAATGGTTGCAAATATTCGGAAATGGTTGAGGATATCCGAATTTGTTTTTGGATTGTCCGTAAGAAACTGCGGCTGTCAGTAAACGAGTTAAGGATTGTCTGTTAATGTTTGAGGATTAATGACTAAACATCTGAAAATAATTCTTAACTCGTTTGTGGACGATTTACAGATATTCACGGGCGATTTTAAATTTAGCTTCGAAAAACTAAAGTAACAGAAGATTAAAATGTTATTAGAAAATTTTATTATAATTGTTTAGAACTAAAAAATTTTTTATTTTTAGAGCAGTTGTGTTAAAAGCTGTTTCGTTTCTTTCAAGTGCCAAAACATCAGAAATGAACAAACTTTACAGAGAATTCCTTAAATTAATTGAACAACTTTCATATGGTTTAAATTCCTACAAACAAATTATAACTTATGCTGATCAGCTTGCACAGGATGTTTTGATTAATAAAAATGTTGAAAGACTTGAACAGGTTTTTTAATTTTTGTTTATGGGCAGTATCTGTATACGAGGCTGGGTCCGCCTTTTAATTTGGGGGGGGGGGCTAAATCCACCCTCCCCCACTCCATGAAATGGAGGAGAAGCGTAAATATTTGGAGAAAGATGATCGAAAGAGTTAAATTTTTTTCGCTTACGACCTTCAAATTCAAAAAATTTTTGCCTCCGACGCAGAAAAATAATTTTGTTTGGGTTTTTGTTGTCCGCATTTTTTAAAATAAATTTTTTATACCTTAATTTTCAGTTCAATCTACACTTTCCCTCATTATTATTAACTATTTTTAATGCTAGAGAGGCTTGTCAAGTCAATAGCTTATATGCATTGTATGACCTTGTTGAACAAAAATTGTTGAATATTGAAGGTTTTTTTTGGGTTTTTCTTTTTAATTTTTTCAATTTTTAAAATTGTAGCTATTCAAACTATCATTATTGGCCTCTTCGACTTTTTGTCAGTATCAGAAGAAATTGTTAAACAATATCATAGTTCGGAAATTAATGAGGTTGAGGATTTTTTTCAATTTTTCAGGGTTTTTGGGAGTTTTAAGTTATTGGACATTTTGCCCTGAAATTTTCTATTGGAGTTTGGAGTTTCTTTTAGGTTTTTTTCAAAATTTGAAGTTCAATATCCCGTCCGAAAAATAAAGTGAACTAGGACAAGTTGTATTTTTGCTGCCATTTAATAGAGATATTTTGCTACCATTCAATTCAGGGGGGGCAAGTGGGGAAATTTTTCTGCGCCAAATTTTTCTTCCCCCCCCCCTCCTGGTTACGGGCATGATTAAATCCTTTTTTCAATAGACTTTTGTTATAAGTTTACAGTCAAGAATGGTGCCACCTTTAAAAATGGATTTTACTTTTAAATTAGGGAAAATTATTTTTTTATAGCAATCCCTCTCTCTTTTTTTAGCTTTTTATATTTTTAAAATACTCAAATAAAAAGTTATTATTTTTAAGGATGGTAGTAATGATGAAGAAGTTGCTCTTTCACTTCAATGCCCAATATATTTAAATTATAATTGGAATAGTGTAATTTTTTTAATTTTATTTAAATAAATTTTTTGTTAATTTCCAGGCTCATTCTCTTATTTTTCGACTTTTTTATTGTGTTTTTTGCAAATTGGAGGATAATAAAAATTTTCTTCCACAAGAATGGATACGGGAAACGTTTTTACCTAAACTTTGTTTTTATTTTGGAGATTCTATTTTATTACAGAAAACGGTTTCTTTTTATTTAGTCTAGGGATTTTGAATTAGAAAATTCTAAGATCAAAATGTAAGGAAACATTTTGTCCCAAAAAATTAGGAGGAATTTTTAAAAAAAAATTTACTTATATATTTTTGGGTGCAAAAATGACTTTTGGGACAAGATGAGCACTTTTGGAATTCTTTTTATGAATCTTAAGACTAAAATAATAACTTTTCCTAATTTTATTTTTTTCAGTCAAAATGTCGCGTTGATTTTGTCACTTTACTTGCTCCAGCAGCTAAATTGCTTGGAACAGAATCTTCAGAAGAATTATTACTTCCAGCATTTCAACGTTATATGAGTGATTCGTCTGATGTTCAAAATGCTCTTTTATCTCAATTATTTACTTTTTGCAAGGTTTTTGAGGGGAATTTTTTAATTTTAGAGAGTAGATGGTTTGGGTCCACAAAACGCTTATAAGTAAGGCGAACGCTACGCTGTTCGGATTCAAAGGAGTTGATAGAACTGACATGAATCGAACGAATGACGCTGAAAAGAAATTACTCTTGTAACCCAACTATGAACTAAGGGTGGGACAGTTTGAAGAAACCCTGCGCTGAAGCGCGATAAACTCCTAGAAAATTGTAGGCCGTAGATCCAGAAATTAGTAGGGTAGCCTGTTCGTACATTGAAATATCACAATATGTTCGTCCCTATATGCTCACATGCCATATAAATTCAGAATTTTATCCGACTTTTAATTTCTTAGGTACTTTCTCCAAAAAGCCGTGAAATTGTTTTACGCGATTTAAGTCAACTCTTTTCTATTGACATGGATGCTCGTTGTTGGCGTCAACGCGCTGTGTTTGCCAAGTTTGCTATTAAATTTATTTTTTAATTTGTTTTTTAGTCAATTAGATTTACTTGTTGGTATACTTCCTATGGAGCTTGTAAATAAATATTTGTGTGCATATGCTTTGACTTTTTCTGCTGGTATATATTTTTGTCGGGGTTCTTTTTAATATCAACTGCTTTTCATTGTCAGTTCTGTCCGCAATTAATGAATTCCAGACTGGGTAGATCCCATGGTTTTTGGTCTTATGTTAGATTTTTAAAAATAAAAATGTGAGTTGTAGAGAGCTTTCGAGATCTAAAATCGAATAGCTGATTTTGGGGATATCAAAAATTTTTTCCTGATTGCGGACAGCTCTGCCTCTTCATTTTTATGATTTTCATCCTCTAGCTTATTCTCTCATGTTTTTCAGTCCCTTCAGAATCCTAAACATACCTAGTTTTTTTACTGAGTTTTCTGAACTCGAGAAATAATTGATTATTGTCTGAAATTAATTTAAATCACTCGCTCTCTCTTCTCCATAACTCTATTCAAATCTTTAATTTTTTTTACTTTTTTTAGACAAAATATCCCAAGTACGAACAAATGGAATTAAAATGTTATCAAACGTCCTGAGTACTTTTATTCAAGTTGAATGGAGGGATCAAAAAGATTTATGGAGAAGACGTACAGAGCATATGTCTGATGCCATTCCTGTTACTGTAAGGGAGAGGAAAATTTTTTTTAGAATTAAAAAAAAATTTCAGTCTTCTGATGCTTCTATGCTTACCGATGAAGAACCAATTAATCTTCCATTGACTTTTGAATTATTAGCAGAAATTAGATCAGGATTTTGGCGTACACGAAGTTGGAGGCGTAGACAGAGGTTTTTTTGAATAAAAAAATTTTTTTCCTTCAAAAAAATTTTTTTCAAGTTTTGCCAATCTTCTTTACCTTCTACTTCGCCATTGTTTACTTACCCCTCTTCAATTTTATTATTTATTCTTTCATGATTTTATGTGCTTGTCTGATGACGGTTTTTTTTTAATTTTTTTAATTAGAATAATTTCTAAAAAAATTTTAGATGTAGCCAATGTTCGTCAATATTTTTGTCTTATTGCTCAATTAAACCGTTTTGAAGAATATGTCGGTTCAAGTGTAATTAAACGACTTGAACAAATGTTAGTAGATGATAATGATTTGGAAGTTAGGCATTTATCAAAGGTTTTTTTATTTTTAATTTTTTTCAGAGGGTTTAGTGGGTTTTTAAGGGATTTTAGGGTGAGAGGGGGTAGGTTAACGAAGGTGACTTTCTAAAGGGATTCGAATTTTTTAGGCGAAGGGGGATGGTAGTTAAATAATCTAAATTTAAAAAAATTTCTTAATCTTCCCCAAAAATATTAGCCTTCCTCTTTCCCAACCTCCACACTTCCGTTTCCGAATTAAGCGGATATTTGGTAATTTTTTTTAATAAATTGAGATTATTTTTGAAAACTCACCAAAAATCCCCTTCCTTCAAAATTAAATTTTTTTGTAAAAGAATAAAGGGCGGGGAAGCTAGAATATTTTCTGAAGAAAGACTCAAAAACTTTAATTTCTTTTTCAGATAGCACTAGGCAAGTTAGATCCATTGCTTGAAGGTTTGGATATTACTAGGCGCGCTAGAGGACTAGTTACTTAAATAAAATTTTGTTTAAAAAAGTTTGGAGTAATAATTTTTATTTATTGCCTTTTATGGTTTGTTATTAAAGAAAAGTTTAATTTAAATAAAATGGAATCTCTCTAATACGTCACCCCCTCAGAGGAGCGAATTCTGCCGGCGTAAAAAGGGAAGTAGGAGGGGGACGTAAAACCAGACCAAAAACATCCCCTCACGCTCACACAAACACTTGTGAGATCGTGACGGGATTTGGAGATGATGACTCCATTACATCATCTCCGAATTTTGTAGGCGTAGGAATGATAGAAGAGAAGTATGCCCGATTTTACGAGGGGACGTAAAATCGGGCAAAAATATTTTTCGGGACTGGACTGGGCGTGATTGTTGAAGGGAGTGACGTTAAAGAGTTTATTCTGTATATTATTAATGTGTGCCATTCCTATCTATCAAGCATTTTTCTCGTTTATTTTTTACTTACAAAAAAATTTGACCATGCAATAATTACGAGTATATTATGCCTTTTTTGAGCTGAGATTTATTTTTGTTTTTTGAAATGTGTATAATTTATTATTTTTTTGTTGAATAAAATAAAAATGTGGGTATTTAAAATAATTATTTAATTTATTAAAGGATTAATAATTTTACTTTATAAATTTTTTTAAACTTTTTTTAATGCAAAGAGGACCCTTTAAAAAGAACCTCTAACCTTTAAAAATTTTAATAAAATAACTTTCCATGTGAGGGATTCGAACCCTCTACCATTGTACTAGAAATTAAGCATTTTCCCGCTAAACTAAAAATGACACTTCTTGCGGCTGGTTGTTAGGGGGATTTAGTCAGTGCTGTTAATAAAAAATAAGTAATAGAAAGTTAACGTCATCAAAAAATTTCAATGAATGATTAAGAAATAAATATTTACACGTTTAACTGATGAAATAAGAAAAAAATAATAGAGGAAGAAAGAAAATTCTTTCTAATAGACGAATAGATTATTTTCCCTCTATTTTTTGGGGCGATAGGAAAAAATCCTTTTTAAACTTCAAAAAAATTTTTTCAGAAAAACAATCAATTACGTCTTCTACTAATCAAAAACAACCTTTGGACGACGAATTTATTAAAAATTTAATTAACGACGAGAAAGTACCTGCCTATGCTAGGGCTATAATTGAATTATTAGCTAATGATCTTTCCCTTTTGACAACAGAAAAATTAGCTATTTTAAAAGCTATTGGAAAGGATCGTTACAAACAATTGGTTGGAAGGGGAGGTGAGGAGAGTTGAGATCTTGTTGATTTTTTTATGAAAAATTTTTATTTTTAAAGCTTGCTGACCTATAAAATTTTTTCGAGATTTTTGTGACAAAATGTCAAAATTTGGTCTTCTGACCATTTTTAAATACCGGCCAATTTTGGTGTTTTGATTTTCTTCCCTTCTCTCTTTTCATAATCTCTAAATAAAATCCTCGGTCAAAACGCCCAAACCCTCAAATTTTTACATTTTGTCCTGTTATTTTTTAACAAATTATCATCCTTTTATTCATTTTTCTAGTTAGAATGCTCGAAGAAGATAGTGGTTGGATGCCCGATATGTTAACCATTCTTTGCATTTTTCTCTTTGTTTTTGTAATACTTTACGCTTTGCGTCAATGGATTAAAGGAGCACAATTTACTGAGAAAATTAGTGCTAGAGGAAGAGTTGCTATTATAACAGGTTCTTTATTGGGGAAATTTTTTGTGAATTTTGTGGTTAATTTAAGGAGCAAATTCTGGAATCGGTATGCAATTAGTTAGGGAACTTAATTTGCGTTATGTTAAGGTAAGGGCTTTTCTGTCAAGTTTTGACTTTTGATCTTTTTCTTTAGGTTTATTTGGCTTGTAGACGTGTGTCAAGTGGAAATGAAGCAGCGAGGGAATTATTTTCACGGGTAATTTTTTAAAATTGATTTCGGGAGTTTTTGGGATGAAATGTCCATTTTCGATTTTAGGGGATTTTGGGACAAAATGTCATCTTTTTTGATTTTATGAGATTTTTTCTACTTTTGGGACAAAATGTCCATTTTAACAAATTAAGACTGAATCCATTGCCGTTTTTTCCTCCTCCTAATAAATTAATTTATTTTAATTAGTATGGCTGTGATATGACTCGAATGATTGTTCGCCATCTTGATTTGGCAGACTTTAGTTCTGTCCATCGCTTTGTAGAGGAATTTAATAGAGGTTTTTTTTTATTTTTCTTTTAAGAATTATTTTATTTTTTAATTTTAGACGAAGAAAAGTTGGATATATTAATTAATAATGCTGGAATTATGTTCTATCCGAAATACCAAAAGACGGTTGATGGGCATGAATTAACCTGGCAGAGCAATCATTTGGGTATTTTTATTGATTTTTTTGGGGTTTAAAATTTAGATTTTTTGAAGTTTTTTGGCACCAAATTTCATAAAAATGGAAAAATCTATTTTTAAAAATTAATTACCCCACGCGAGTTCGAACCTTTATGCTAATCTCGTTCTCACAATTAGGGTTGCCAAAATGGACCGACTCGGATCGATTGGTTCGGTCTTATTGTTAGTTAAGATATTTGGCCCGAAAGTGACTCATATCGGCCCTACTCGATACAACCCCGAAAAAATGCCTCGACCGTCGGTCCGACTCGAAATCTTATCTATCGAATTCTTTAGGCAAAAATAACCTTACATTTAAAGGAAGTGGAATTTTCCCTCAATTATAATTCTTAATATTTTCGCTAGAAAAATTTTTTCTACAAAAATTTTATTTTTAATTGTATCAGTAAAAATCAAAAAATTTTCATCATTTCTCAGGTCATTTCCTCCTAACCGAATTATTACTTCCCAAACTTGAACGTTCTGAAGAAGGAGGCCGCATTATTAATTTAAGCAGCGCTTTGCATTTGTTTGCAGACAGTGTTGATCCAGAAATTGTTGATTCTCCCCAGCATTTTGGGCGATGGAATAATAAAACTTATGCTCGGTCTAAATTGGCTAACGTAATTTTTTTTATTTAAATTAGAGACTGATTTTTATATTTTGTTTTTATACTCAAAAAATCACGTTTTCCATAAATGGTATTTACTATATACGAATTTTTGAGTTTTACTCAGCCTTCCATCATGATTAGGTTGTCGGTTCTGGACCGAACCGAAGAACCGAGGATTTTTTGGTTCAATTTCGGATATCCGAAGAATTTCCAGGAACCAATAACCATAATCATGATATTAGTTTGGTTTTCCCTAAATATTGTTATATAATTTTTAGTATGAACGTTAGTTTTAGGTAAAGAAATGGGGAAAAAAGACGAAAAAGTTTAATTGGATCGTTCAGTCTAACTTAATCTTCACAAATTTTGTCCGCATATTTATTTTAAAAATAATTTTTAGATAATGCATTGTGTTGAATTAACCCGTCGGATTCGTTCATTTAACAGTGCTTCAAAAGTAACGGCTAATGCTTGCCATCCTGGAAGTGTTGATACTTCTCTATTTAGAGCTGAATTTTATCAAAAATATCTAAAAGCTTTAGTTTCTCCGATTATTTGGTTTCTTTTGGTTAGTTGGAATTTTTTATAAAAAAATATCCGCAAATTTTTTGCGGACATATTTTTGTCCGCAAAAATTTTTTGCGGATAAAATACCTGTTCTAAAAATATTTTTTGATAAGAATATGTCCGCAAAAAATTTGCAGACGTATTTTACAGCATTTTTGATTATTTTTTGATTCTTTTTAATTATAAAAAAAAATCAGAAAACGTCACAAGATGGCGCCCAAACTCCTCTCTATTTGGCATTAAGTAAAAAAGTTGCTGGTGTTTCTGGAAAGTATTTTAGGTTTTTTTGAATTATTAAAAGAAATTTTTCTTAAATTAAATTTTTAAAGTGAATGTAAAGAATCCAAAAAAGTCCATCCAATGGTGTCTGATCCCACAGCTTGTGAAATCCTCTACAATAATAGTTTGGAACAGTGTTTATTGGATCGATCAAGTATTGCTTTGGATTGATTTGAAATGAAAATTTTTAACAGATGCGACAGGAAAGAGAGTATATTTTGATAATTTTTTGACTTTTTTTTAAATTTTTTGTAAACAAAATATGTATTATAGTTTGGCCTCGCTATTAAGATAAACTTAAGGAAAATAGGGCGATATTATAAAAACGGGATAGGATTTTGCTAGGTTCTTTTACTCGAATAAGAAAAACTCTGTGTTTATTAGAGATCGGTATCTTTGAAATGCCTGGGCCTGCTCCTGGGCTTTGGTGACCTAGGCCGGATCCTGGGTCAGTAGTCCAAGAAAAACTTAGGAAGGTCATAAATGCCTCGGCCCGGACTCTGGGTACAGGAAAAACCCAGGCCTTGGTCCAGTCCCAGGCCGATCTCTAGTGTTTACAACACCGTGTTGCGGGTTAACCTTTATTTAAAAAAAGAATGTTCGACTCAGAATTCGCTTATTCCCTGGAACTTGAGGTACTCCCCATTATACGTTATGATTTTTTCAACCCAATAAGGGGCATTTTAAAAGTGAGGTTAAACTTTATTTTAAATTTACATTGCCTTTTTAATAGAGAAAAATATCCTTTTAATTTTTGTCAATTATTTTTTAATTTTTGTGGATAAATTTAAATAGTCATTATTAATTTTGTTTTGAAATTATAGTTAATTAACTGTTTATTATTTTATTTTTTATTTAAAAAATATTTTTCTAGTATTTTTAAAGCTTTTGGTGCGAAATAAAATTGAAGGTGAAAATGGACATACAATCCTCAGCAAGACTACCTACTTTGCTTTCTGTTCAACATGATTGTAGACAGGGAACTGTTAGAGCTGTTAGATTTAATGGTTTAATTTAAAATTTAAATGATAGGCGATTTAATGGGGTTTGTTGGATTTGCGGACGTCCGCAAATTTTAATTTTCTTTTAGTAATTCTGTTTTTTAAAGTCGATGGAAATTATTGCATGACAGCTGGATCGGACAAATCAGTAAAACTTTGGAATCCGTATAAACGCATACATTTGAATACCTATAGGTTTGGAATTTTTAATGTTAAAATATTTTAGTTAAAATTTTGTTGGGTTGACTTATAAGACTGACAAATTGGTCAACTTTTGGTACCTAATTTTAGAAAATTTTTGTTTTTAATTAGGTCGGGGAATGAAGTTCTTGACTGTTGTGGCTCTTCAGATAATTCACTCATTTTGGCAGGAGGTCGAGACAAACAACCAACCATTTTTGATGTTGAAACAGGAAAAACTTTGAAAAGATGGAGAGGGCATGGAGGAACAGTCAATGCTGTAAGGGGAAGATTTTTTGGAGAAAAAATTTTGAATAAATATTGAAATTTAGGTAGCTTTTAATGAAGATGCTTCTGTGGCTATTTCTGCTGGCCAAGACGGTTTTGTTTGTTTACATGGTATAAATTTTTAATAATGACTGTGAGAATAGTTTGGAGCTAAATTTTGCTCGATAACCGGCTAGAAAAATTTTCAGGCATTTTTAAGATTTTCTGTGGTTTTTTGATTTATTGATATCCAGAGTGGGAGCAAGGAAAAAGTCGGGGTTTTTTTTTATCATTAAGCGGGTCAAAGATTAACACCAGACAGGTGTTAATCTTTCTACCTTTTGCACAGTTCACTCACCACATATACATAGGTGCCCGACTGCACTATCAGCCTCCTTTTCTTTTCAAAATAAATTCATGTTTATATTTCTAATCCATACTTGATTTAAAAAAGTATTTGTTTAATAATAATTTTTTAATCTTTAGATGTTCGTTCTCGAGGACCACCCTTTCAAGTAAATATATTAGAAAACTTCCAATAATTTTTTAATTTTCAAAAGGTTTTGGATGAAGCTAGAGATGGTGTTCTTTGTTTAGATGTTAATGCTTACGAAATAGCTACAGGTTCAGCTGATGGAAATGTTAGGAGGTTTTATTTTTTATCAAATTTTTTTCATTTATTCTTCCAAAAGTCAGCAAATTTTATTAATAAAAGGAAATTTTTTAAATAGATATGACATTCGAGAAGGACGTCTTTTTGTTGATTTTGTCAAGGATCCAGTGACTTCAGTTAATTTAACTGCTGACAATGTATTTTTTTAAATTTTTCTATTAAGAGGACTTTTCGTTTCCGAGGGATAAACTCCTCAAATAAATATTTTTGTTGAAAATCCGCAAATTTTATCCGCAAACTATATGCGGACTTTTCTTAAAATCGTCACTTGTTTAAAAAATTCTCAATTAAATTTTATCGTCTTTCAGCAATGTTTATTGGTTGCCACAATGGGTAGCGGTGTTATTCGTTTATTTGAGAAATGTAATGGGCAATTACTTGCGAGGTTTATTTTTTTAGAAAATAAATTCAAAAAAAATTATTTTTAAGTTATAAGGGACATCAGAACAGAGATTTTCGGATTGAAGCTGGAATTCTGGCTTCTAATAATGAAGTTTTGACAGGTTAAAAAATTTTTCTATCTTTTTCTCGGGTTTTTGAGGCTTTACAAGGCAAATAGGTTATTTACTGGGAAATAGGATTTTTGTCATTTTTCATGATTTATTTTTTTTTGAATTATTGAAGTGGGTCTTTAAGAAAAGTTATTATGTAGTAGGGCAAGTATCAGGGATGTGATGGTTTACTCGGTATGCGAAATCTTGTGTTTTTTAAATCCAAGACGATCCGAAGAAAATTATTTGAAACCCCGATCCGAGCCCCAAATCAACTTTTTTCAACACGTTCCCTCTGGCTAGTATGGTAAACCGGGGTGCGGAAAACCGGATTTTGGTAGATAAGAGCCTGCTAGATTTTCCCTCTTGGGTGAGGATTTAATAAAAGTTTGAGAAATCGTTTGAGAATCGTTCAATATATCCTTTAGAATTTTTAACTTTGTAAGATTTATTTAAAATAATCACACTAAAAATCTAAAAGAAATTATATTTAATTTTTCAGGTTCTGAAGACGGAAAAGTTTATATTTGGGATTTGGTCGAAAGCACTTTGATAGGTTTAATTTTTTGGTTAAATTATTTTATATATTTTACCTGTTTTTTAGCCAAATTAGAACATCCAGCAGGTTTCAAATATGTAAGAGAATTGTTGTCTTTCTCAAAAAATTTAAAAAATTAATTTTAAGGTTCCCTCACTTTCAACACACCCAAAAGACCCTTGTATTCTTACTGCTTCTCGTGAAAAGATTTTTCTTTGGCAGTGTCCAGAATAGAATTAGAGGTTGGAGAGGGAATTACAGTAAAAGTAAAAAAAGACTCATAATGGTCAAAAATTAAAAAGTTATTTTAACTTTAAAATTTTATTTAATTAGGCGCCTTTCTCCAATTGTAATTTTTGGAAGTAAAGGAATTTATTAAGTCTCCATTATTTTAAGATAATATTTTTCAAAACGTCGTTTTCAGTTTTTAGGAGTTTACTTAAGATCTACACTCTAAAGATATATTCTCTGAAGACCTACAAATTTTGAAAGGGAATATCGAAGGATTGTGAGGATATCGATGATTTGGAGTGATCGAAAGGGATAGAATCACCCAGAGTAGAGCTCTTCAGGGTCAATAGGTCTTCAAAGTGTAGGTTTAAAAGGGATGACGCACATTGTTTATTTAAATTTTTGCCCCTTTTATTCAGACTATCCCCCCTCCCCCCAACAACATATTTCAAATGTTTCTTTTTATTATTTTTACAACATTCCCCCAAAACATTATTTGAATTCCTCTTTATGTATATTTTCCGAATAACCTTTTCCTTAACCTTATACACAAACTAGTACATATTTTTAACCCTTCTTTACTTCCCGCCTTTATCATACTCATTTATAAATAGCTTCTTTTACTCATTTTTTTGTCTTACTTTGAAGTTTGTCTGGGTAAAAGTCAGTTTTGTATAAGTTTTGTACATATAACGCATTTTTCCTCATTTTTCATCTCCCTAGAAAACGATTAGGATAATATGAGTTAAATTCTAGTTACATATTTTAAATCCCGACTTCGAGCTCGAAGAAACTATCAGTTTAGATTCAAATTTTAACTTATAACTTCAAAATTAAAGTCGAATTCGGGCCCGTTATTTGAAATAAGAGTGAAATTTGTACTCCTTTTACTCGTACTTTGGTACGAGTAATAGGGGTGGTACGAATAGGGGTACGAGTAAAATTGAAATTTCTAAGCTTCATGCAAACCTCTAAAATTATCGAAAAATCGCATTTCTTTGAGTTAGTTTAATTAGATTTTCATTAATTTTAGAGAGAGTTCAACCAATTTAAATATAAGGTCTGAGACATTATAGAAAGTGAAAGAAATGACATCGAATTCAGAGGAGGTTAAAAAATTGGAGGTGATTTTCTAAAAGAGAATTCCAATTAAAATTCCAATTTTAGCCAACTTTCACCACCAATCCAGCTGAATTGAAGGGAGAGATTATTAATGTTAGCTTGAAAAAAGGTGTGAAGTTTGGTTTTCATCTTATTGGAATGACTGGGGCTTTAGTGCAAGATAAATTTACTCAAGTATTTAAATTTATGTATATTATATTTAAATATTAAATTTTAGGTCGATGAAGTTGATCCTGAAAGTCCTGCAGATATAAATGGAATTCTACCCGGAGATATTATTGTTTGTATAAATCAAAAGGTTTTGGCCTTATATGGAAAGAGGTGCACCTTAATATTTATCCTTATTTCTTTGCAGTAGTTGAAAAGGGTCAATTTTGAGCTGAGCCTTATTTCTGGGCTTGGGACCAGTGGTCTTGGTGAGTACTTAACACTTTCTAGTTTACTGCAAGGAAAGGAGGAGAAATATAAAAGCGTACCTCATTTCAGATCAGGCTTATTTTACTTATATTTGAAATTTATTTAAAGTGTATTCTCGGTGTAACGGTTGATGATGTTGATGGAATTTTTGCTTCCTTGTCTGTTGGTGATGTTGTGGATATTCAACTTTGTCGTGGATACGCAATGCAGAAAATCCCATATGTCGTTAAATTTTAATCCTATGTGTAGTCTATTTGACCTAGCTCGACGGGCTTATTAAATATCCAATTTACCCTTAAAGGGTAAACTAAGGTTTAGGGCCCCACTTCTCTTTTCCCCAAGTTTTTCCTTATATGAGCTCGGACCTTTTCCTTATATGAGCTCGGACCTTTTCCTTATATGAGCTCGGACCTTTTCCTTATATGAGCTCGGACTTTCTTCCTTTCCCAATTTCACTCTATCACTTTCTCAATCATTGGATTTTATTTTTAGTTTTTTGTATTATACGGATCGGATATTATTGGCAATCGGCAATGGACTTGTATGATAATTGACAAAGATAAGAAAGAAGAGTTTTTTGAAAAAATCAAGACGGGCTTTCGTGGTATTGAGGATTATGCTCAAATCTTATGTTCAGCATATGGTGAAGAACTTCCACAAAAAGTTATAAATAAAATCAGAGAGAAATATGGAGGTGAAGAAGGAAAAAAGTTTACTGAGAAGGAAATTGTAGTTGATAAACTCGTGGTAATTTGTTTGAAGAAATTTTAACCTTAATTAAATTTAATTCCTAGCAACTTCGCATCCCACTTTTATTTGAAGTGAAAAGGGAAGGAGAGATTTACAAAGTCTATATAAAGAATTATAGAGGCTATTTCTCGTTCATCACTGGTGGTGGTCCAGCTTGGTATTATGTGTTGGTTGATAAAGATAAGGAAGTAGCTTTTGTTGAAAAATCAAAGACGGGCAAAATTGTTGTCGAAGATTATGGAAAAGTTTTATATTCAGGATGGGGTGAAGATGCTCCAAAAGATATTAAAGACAAAATGTTTAAGGAATATGGGGTTGCGGATTATGTTGAGTGGTATATGATTTGATGTCAGAATGTACAAAGAGAGAGATTGCTCATCAATATTTGTTTTTGTGTTCACACAACTATTTTTTTGAATAAATTTATATAAAAAGTTTTAACGGTGGGGTATGATTAGGTGCCCACAATCGGGGCGCATACAAGCTCATGTGTGAACTTTCTTCCTCCTAACATAAGTGGGTTATTAAGGAGTAAGCAGCATTTAAAGCATTTAAATGTAGTTCAGAAGGTTGCAGATTTGATTCCTCCCCAAACTTTTGTTAAACTCTATAATTGGATGTCAAAGTGATTAAAGCTCTTGTACTAAAGTAGAGCAAATTTTCTTTTTCCCGGTTGTCCGAAATATCCAGAATTAAAGAAATAAAAATACTTATGTACTCCCAACATCGAGATCTCAAAAACCCCCAAAAATAAACGGAAAACCAGTGTAATTGTCTTTTAAAAAATATTTTTTAGGCCTTATGGCTGTAGTAAATTAAAATTTTTCATTTGACTGATATTAAGGAGTAGAAGAAATGAAGGAAAGGAAAATGTGTGGAGAAGAAAAAAACGATATGTAGTACCCGGTCAAATGGTGTAATAAAAGAGAAATTTGTTTATTTTTTGTGATTCATCGATCTCATATTATTTATCTGATTTTTTAAAATAAATATAAATAAAGTTTAATTGTTTTTCTATCTTTTTCACAATATATTTTATTTATTATTTAAATATTTATTTAAACATTAATTATTTATATTTTATTAATTTTCAGATGTCTTCAAAATCTGAAGAGGTTAAAAAATTGGAGGTAATTTGCTAAAAGAAAATTTTAATTATAATTTAATTTTTAGCCAATTTTCACCACAAATCCAGCTGAATTGAAAGGAGAGATTATTAATGTTAGCTTAAAGAAATATCTGACATTAGGCATTGTTTGCGATTGGAATAGAACTTGTGCACGAGAGTTTGTCCAAGTATTTTAATTTTACATATTTCAATTGGCTTCAACTTTGGGAGCTTGTCTAATTTGGGTACACACCCCCACTCATTTGCAAGAATTTTTGCACCCTTAATTCGTTAATCACTCCAAATTAGATATAATAATAGGATTTACTGCGTCAATCTAAAAGCTGTTGAGCCCCTTAAGATGCGTGCAGAATATTTAATGGCTAATATGTTTATGCTGACCATTTTTAGCTTTCGAATAAGTTGGGGTGTGTAACTAAACAGGCAGAAATATAGATTAAATTTTAGGTCGAAAGGGTTATTCTTGAAAGTCCTGCACATGTTAGTGGTGTCTTACCCGGAGATATTATTGTTTATATCAATCAGAAGGTTTCTTTTCGTTTTATTATCTTAAAAAAGAGTTTCTTTAGGTATTTGTGGGTTATCCCAAACCAATTTTTGTGGGCTAATAATTAGGGCTCGGATTTGTATTGAAATATATTTTTTTTCCTGAATATATTATGGCGAGAGAAGCTCAAATATGCCATTAGTTTTTCTATATTATGATTTTGAACGAAGTTACATTTCAATATATTTCAATATTTTGCCAATTTTCCAGTTATTTCAATATTTGGCACATTTTTCAAATTATTTCAATATTTTTGCATATTTTTACCAAAATTTAGGGATTTTTTTATAAATTTTAGGAAAAAAGTGAAGAAATCTGGCCGCCTGACAACCAAAAATCTCAAAAATTTTGCCTGCTGCGCTAAAAATGGAAAAATAAGGCTTCTTCGTCTTCCAAAATTCTCAGAATTTTCGCCTGCGGCGCTGAGAAGGTGATATTATGGCCTATTATTCACTACAATACCGTTGTCTTCCCACTAATTATTCCCGAGACATTCTTCATAACCTGTGCAAAAACCTCAAAATTTGTTAAGCAAAACCTCAAAAATGGACATTGAGCAAAACCCGCTAAATGTCCCAACCTCATTTTGTCAATCGCAAAATGTCCAAGAGCGTAAAGTAACTCAATTCGTCGGGTTATAAAGCTAATGTGAAATTTTATAAACATGATTCATTTTTTTTAAATTTCAACTTTTTTGGGGGTTTTCTAGTGAATAAACGATAATTTATTTCAATATTTCACTAATTTTTGGTATTTTTTGTCAATATTTTGCCCACTTATTTCAATATTTTATGGCCATATTTTGCGATTTTATTTCAATATAAATCCGAGCCCTACTAATAATCAATGGTAACATCATTTCTCTATTCAGTTTATTCGAGGATTGGGACATTCTGGGGAAATATTGAGAGGATTTCCTTTTTATATCGACCATTATGAGTTAACAAAAATATGTCCGCAAAAACTGGTTTGGAATTACCCACAAGTAACGTTTTTGTAGTGTATTCTCGGCACAACGGGCGAAGATGTTGATAAAATTTTGACTTCGTTTTCTGTTGGTGATGTTGTCAATTTTCAATTTTGTCGTGGGTATGCATTCCAAGAATCAATAGGCAATCGAGTAAATTTTTAAATTTAATTTTGCCTCTTGTGGGTAAAAGGGTCCAAACATTTGTATTTTATCTTTACCTTCATTCACCTTTAAGAAATATTATATATATCTGCAAATGTTTCTCCGCAACAATTTGCATTTTTATAAATTAAAATTGCATATCCCTGGCCAGTGTTAATCCTTGAACATTTTTTAATCATTATAAAAGTTGAGAAAGGAGAAAGTATAAATTGCGGACAGCATTTTGCGGATATATGGTGGTACAAAAATTTTCCTTTAACTTTTTAAGTCGGACGCTGAAGTATTTATTGCTAATATTTGCGAGCTTGTTAAAATGTTGACTCTAAATTTGGACATTGATAGTTTAACAGAACGAGCTGTTGTGTCTGGACTCGCACTTATGACTAAACATGTTTGTGTAGAAGAAAAAATTAAAATGGGGGAAACTGGAATAATTGAGGTTTTTTTAATTTTTATGGATGCTAGGGGGTCTGGGCCGTTTTGGAGAGAGCTTTTTGCAATAATAACTTTCGAACCTTTATCTAAGTTCTTCAAAATTTTCAGAATTTTTAATCTAGTATTTCAGAAACTATAACCAAAAACGTTGATTTTCAAAAAGGCCTAATTTTCAAGTTTATCGATATAACTTGAGAAGTTTTTTTTATGAAAAATTACAATTTATAGGCAAGGATATTAAGGAAATATGAGAAAATTGGGTTTCGCCGAAGTCTCCGTTGCGAGTATCACGCCAAAACCTCCAACCTCGCTAGTATGTGTGAAGTATGTATGATTAGTTGAATATCTTTTGGGTTTCATAATTTTAGATTTATTATGCCCATCAAAAATTTTAAAATTATAAAAGCTGTTAGAGAACATTTTAATTAATGTATGTACAAAATTAATTATTCATATACTCCAAATCTATAAAAATTTAGACCTCGAGCCTTATTAAAAAGGCTCACAAATTAATACTTTCATTTATTCTTAAGTAGATTTTAGTAGCGGTTAATTTTGGATTTCGTAACGTTGCCTGGGTTTTGAGACCTAGGGAGATTGGGTCTGGAATTGTTCGAAACTTATTATTTTTGGTCTGTTCTTTGTGTCCTTCGAATTTTACATATTTATATATAATAGACTAAATAATGTAAAATTTAAACCTCTTAAGATAATTACAAAATTAGTTGACGATAAATTCATGGTGGATGGTTGGTATGAAATTATGGAAGTTGGATGGTCATTTTTGTTCTCTATTATTGGTAAATACAAATATTTTTTCATTTTTATGGTTTAAAGTAGAGACCGGCGAAATGTGTTTGCGGGATCCTGTATGCATTATTTTTTCAAAAAATTTAGCGGGCCGGATTTTGCGGGATAAATCAAGCAAAATCACGCATTATAAATTTGCGGGATCCTGCGCGGGAGTGAGTTTAAAAAAAGAGCTTTTTCAAGGCTTTTACCAGCTTTTTCAAAATCCCTCAAAATCAAAATATTTTGCGGGATACCGCGTGCGGAATTTTTTCTAAAAACCTTTGCGGGACAGGATTTTGCAGGATAAATTCCGCAAATGCAAAAAAGTTTATTTTTAGATGAAGCACCAATAAATAAAACACTTTTCAATGAAGCTGGTGGCAAAGCAATTTATGAAAAATATTTATCACATCCAGATTTTGGTTCTCGTTATTTCAAAAATATTTGCAAAAATTTGGCAAACAGTGACGAGTTAACAATTTTTGGAAGAATTTAAATAATTTTATTTTATTGACAGTGATGAGGAGGCTCATTTTGCTAAATTTCAAAAGTTTGACCTTTCACAGTTTGATGACAATGATAATTTTATTTCAATGGCTAATTTAATTTTAAAACTTTTGGAAATGTATAATTCTGATCTTTTAACTCAACGAGCTGTTGTATCTTTATTCGCCTTAATGTGTAACAAGGTGGAGGTCGAAGACAAAATCAAAATTGGAAAAATGGGAGTAATTGAGGTTATTTTAATTTTAATGAATTTTCTGAGAGATCTGTTGGGAAAAATATTTTCTGTTTCAATTGATAATCAAAAAATATTTTTTGTTGTTTGCGATCGTTTTACCTCTTCAATGTTTGATTAGAAATTGAAGCCAGTACCCTTTTAGAAACCCACTCAATGAGACCTATCGAAAAATAAGGGTCCTGTGCATCTTATTAGGTCAATTACGGTAAATATAAAAATTTTCTTTATTTTTAGGTAATTTTTAAATTAATTGAAAATAAATTTAATATGGAAGAATGTGATATTGTTATGAAAGATGGATTGGTGTTTTTGAGGAAAATTACTGGTAAAAACTTATTTTTTAAAACTTTTAATATTAAAAATTAAAATTTTGACAAATGTAAAAAAAATTTGAAAATATTTTAAAAAAGCTGCGGAAAACTTTTACGAATTTTACTTTCCTAACTTTTTTCACACAGACACAGAACAGCCACAAGTATTTTCTCGTATAAAATACCAATTATTTTCTACAATTTTCAAAATTTTTTGTTTTAAAATCAATGGATCCTTAGAATTTTTAGCTTATAAATGGACTAAAAACGACTAATTTTTAAATTAATTTTTTTTTATAAATTTATTCCTTTTTGTGCAAAATTTAATTTTTTACCTCGTTGCGATCCATAATTTTCTTTAAATAAAATCTAATTTTTTTTCATACAGATGGCATTAAAGAAAATTGTGAAATTTTTGTTAAAACAAGTTTAAATTCTCTTCCTCGAATGATAAGAAAGATAAAAGGTTTTTAATCTTTTTTGTAGTCTTTTAATTTAAAAAATATTATAAAGATCCAAAATATCTACATATTATAAAAGAAGAAGGTGGAGAGGAAATGCTTGCAAAATTAACTGAAAAATTGGAACAAAACGAGGATGTGGAAGAAGTAACTAATGTGATTCTTACGAGAATTGATAAATGGTTTGGATTTTAAAATAAAAGAAATAGGTAGAGACCTTGAGGGAAGAAAGTCCAGTTTTTTAAAAATCCTTTTTTCCTATGGACCTCTTCTTGATTATGAGGATTTTCTAATCTTGCCACCAGTGGGCAAACAATTTCCAAAAATTATTTCATTATTTTTTAGGGGAAAAGGAATTCATCAGGTTAACAAGGAGCTCGTTTCGGAGGATAAAGAGGAGATTAAAAAGCCTGTTGATAATGATAATGTTGAGGCTAATAAAACAAAAGAAGTTAAAAAACTGGAGGTAATTTGGTTAAAGAAAATTTGTAATTAAAATTTAATTCTTAGCCAATTTTCACCACAAATCCAGCTGAATTGAAGGGAGAGATGATTAATATTAGCTTGAAAAAAGATCCCAAATTTGGCATTACTATGTCTGGCATGGATGGGACTCGTGTACAGAATGAGTTTATTCAAGTAATTTTATTATATTTTAAATTATATTGGATTGAAAAAATAAATTTTAGATTACAGAAGTTGTCTCGGAAAGTTCTGCACATATTAACGGTATTCTACCCGAAGATATTATTGTTTCCATCAATAATAAGGTTGTTTTCCATTTATTTTCTTCAACAAATTTTTTAAAGTGTGTTCTCGGTGCGACGTTGAAAGATGTTAATGGAATTTTGGATTCTTTTTCTGTTGGTGACATTGTGAATTTTCAACTTTGTCGTGGCTATGCATTGCAGGAGACAATGCGCAAACGAGTAAGTTTTTAATTTTTGCCTCTTTTGTTTTTATAATTTAAAAAGTCGTTAAAGTTGGATCACACATAACTTTTCATTTATCCTGCCTCGACGAAATCAGATTATTTAATAACTTCCTCAGATTATCTCGAACTTCAAACAAATTTTATTAACAGTCAAATCTCGATTACACCGTTAAAATGAAAAAGGTGAACTCCAGCCCACCATACTCAATGGGCAACTAAGATTACAGAAAAATCGGTACTACTGAAGATAGTAGAGCTATCCGAGACCGAAAATTTTCCAAAACCCAAGACTTGACCCCAAGACTCAAGACCAAAAATTAACAAGACTCAAGACAATTTTTATGACTCACAGAGCAAATTTTTGGTTTATTTTTCGTGCCTTATAACGAGTACTAATTTTGAAAAATTTATAGGATGTACGTATAATCAGAGCTAGAGGAAAAATACTGAATTTGGTGCCGAAGGCGCCAAAAATTTTGATTTTCAGCGCCGCAGGCGAAAATTTTGAGATATTTGGAAGATCCTTAAGCCAAAAATCTTCCTTTTTCAGCGCCACAGGCGAAAATTTTACTCGTCTCAATTCTTTTTCTCCTCGTGCCTACCATCTTTCGCTTTTCTATTTTACATATTTCACGGTCTTTAGGGGTTTATTTTTCAAACCCCCAAAAAAGTCAAGACCGAGACCAAGACTACACCCCAAGACCAAGACCGAAAAACCCAAGAAAAGTCTTGAGTCAAGACTGCTCGCTTCGCTCGCGGAAACCGTAGCGAAGCGGCGTCCGTCGTTCCGCTCGACATGCTCGGCTTCCTCCGCAGCGGCAAAAACTTTTTTCCGCGAAAACCTTGTGGAAGGAGTAAGAAAAAACGGTCATAACTTTGTCAATTCAAGTCAGATTTCATTAATTTTGGTGTCATTCGACTCAGCTCGACAAGCTCTTTCAATGAGCTATCATTTGCTTATTCGAATTTTCTGACCCCAAAAATTCTCAAATTTTGGGGGTTTGTAACTCGGTCATATGAAGTCAGATTTCGTTAATTTTGGTGTCATTCGACTTAGCTCGACGAGCTATATGCATATTCGAATTTTTCACCCCAAAATCGAGCTTACTCCCCCCTTTGTTTTTTCGATTTTCGTGGTCTTATATCTAAGCCCCTTTATGAGTCCGCGCAAAAATTTTTTCATCATTCGACTCAACTCGACAAGCTCTTTCGTATACATCATTTGACTTAATCGGGTCTGCGTAGTATACCGAATTTTACCAAAAAATGAACGCCATATTTTGTATATATTGGTGTTAAATAATTAATTTAATGCTTTGATAGTTGCTCTAAGCAAGAAAAGAGAGGGAAGAAAAATAAAAAGTTCGCAGAAAAAGCCCTATCTTCAGTAGTACCGAAAAATTTAAGGTCTAATTTTTTTAGATGTACATACTGCGTGGTACGCATCCAACATGTGGCCGTCCATTATGCAATCTTGTGTTAGTTGATAAAGATAAGAAAAAAGCATTGTTTGAAAAATACATGACAGGCCGGATTGATGTCAGAGATTATGGAAAACTTCTATATTCAGGATTGGGTGAAGATCCTCCACAAAACATAAGAGATAAAATTAGAGAGGAATATGGAGCTGATTTTCAACCCAAAGTATTTTTTACACACGTTTTTTAATTAAAAATGAGGTTCGACAATTTACAATTTAATTTTTAGCCAAGTTTTACCATACATCCATCTGAACGGAAAGGAAATGTTTATTTTGTGCGTATAAGAAATTATAGTGGTTATTTTTCGTTCATCACTGGTAGTGGTCCAGCTTGGTATTATGTCTTGGTTGATAAAGATAAGAAGAAAGAATTTCTTGAAAAGACTGGCGAAATTAATGTCAAAAAATATGGAAAAGTTTTATATTCAGGATGGGGTATATTTCCTCCAAAAGATATTAAAGACAAAATGATTAAGGAATATGGGATTGATGAATAAATTATGTAGAAACAAAGTCGGTGCTAATTTTTAAATATCTCATGGGAATTGCGAGACTCCATTAAAACCTTTCATCAATTTTTTTGTTCACGAGGCTACACAATTTTTTTGAAAAAATAATTTAAGACGTTGGATCTCGCAATTCAAATTTTCCTATCCCTTATTACTCTTGTCTGGCCTTCCAAAAATTTAAAATATAATTTATGTATGTACTTACCTATATGTATATAAGGAGGCAACTTTTTTCGAAATGGATTGAATTATTGTCTTTTTTAAGAACAACCCTAGTAGTGATTAAAGAATAGGATAATTCATCCATAATAAATGGATGTCAAAAGTGAACAAAGGGGAGAAATAAGCAAAAATTTAGCAAAAAAGCAATCTTTTTCAATATATTTTGCTCATTATATTTATTTTTATGATCAAACATTTATAAAAATATCAGATTTTCTGAATAAAAATATAAACAAAAATTATGTTTTATCTTTTAAATATTCTTCTAAGGAAATATTTTTAAAAATTATTTAGATTTAGACAGCTTTCCGAAACAGTATGTCATCTAAATTTGAAGATGAACAAGAAAAGAAGGATTTTGAAGAGATTAAACAAATGGATATAAAAAATGTGAATGGTGAGGGATTTGGTTGTAAAGAGCAAAAAAGATTGGTAATTTTTAAATTAAAAGGAAATTTTTTTAATTTTTCAAGTCTAACGTTGAAGCAGGTCCGAGTATTATAACGTTAAAACTCGTTGAATTTTTGGTTGAAAAAATGGAAGATAATAGTGATGATTATTTGGATGAGCGTGGTATTGTGTCATTTCTCGCTCTAATGGCTAAACATGCGGGTGTGGAAAATAAAATTAAAATGGGAGAAACTGGAGTAATTGAGGTGTTTATTTTAGGGTTTTTAAACAATTCTTTAACTATTTTTGCAATGCAAACTTCTTTTATGAAATGACCTGATAATTAATAAATATTTTTAAAACTTTAAGGTAATTACAAAATTAGTTGACGATAAATTTATGGCGGGTGGTTGGTATGCCATCATTGAAGTTGGATGGTCATTTTTGTTCTCTATTATCGGTGAATATTTTTTATTATTAGTGATATGGAAGAGATTGAAATTGGGGCTTATAAAGCCTTCCTCTTATTTTTTAGATGAAGCACCAATAAATAAAACACTTTTCAATGAGGCTGGTGTAAAGCTGTTTATGAAAAATATTTATCACACCCACAAATTGGTTCTCGTTATTTCAAAAATATTTGCAAAAATTTGGCAAATATTGATAACAACATTTTCAGTGATAAGTTTGGATTTTTAATAGTTTTTAAAACTTAGAAATAAGAGGTCGACCCTGAAGACATGCATATTTTGAGAGATTTAAACTAAAGGCCTACAAATTTTGAAGGGGAATATAGAGGGGAATAATTAATTACACTATGGATTTAATTACACTGTATTTTAAAGCCTATGATCTGCTATTGTGAGTGTTACCGTAACTCTGGGTGAGTAGAGATTTGCATATATTCCCTTCAATCCCTCCAAATCCTTTGATCTTCCCTTTTGATATTCCCTTTTCAAAAGTTGTAGCTTTTCAGGTTCAATAGTCATCTAGGGTCTAGAGGGTGTAGGTCTTCAAGAGTGTACTCTAAATAAATTTTATTTAAGCAACCATACTGACAGTGAGGAGGACAACGAAAATAATTCTCACCCAGTTAAATTTCAAAAGATTGACTTTTCACAATTTGATGTCAATATTGAAGATAATGTTAAAATGATTAATTTAATTTTGAAACTATTGGAAGCAAACAGTTCTGATTTTTTAACTCAACGAGCTGTTGTATCTATGCTTGTTTTTATGACTGGCAAAATGGAGGAAGAGGAAAAAATTAAAATTGGGAAAATTGGAATAATTGAGGTGTTTTTAAATTTGAATTTGAATCAATTTTATAAGAGGAATTTGGGGCAATTTTTGATCCAAAATAATTTTTCGGCTTATTAATCTCTAATAGTTTGATTTAAAATTGACTACAAGACAATCCTCATTTTAAGGATTCCAAAATTGGGGATAAATCAGTGGTTTCGTCTTTCGTTCCACCTTTCGTCTCATTTCGCCTTTCGCTTTTTAAAATCGCTCTAGCACGCCCCCAGCATATTAGAAAGGAGGGGTATTAGCTAAGAGGGAGTTGATACCTAAGCAATCATGTTCTTATAAGCCAACGATCTACAAAGGATATCTACTTATAAAAATGGAACGGATTTTATATAGAATTCTTTCTATTTTTAGGCAATTTTTAAATTAATTGAAAATAAATTTAATATGGAAGAATGTGATTTAGTTATGAGAGATGGATTGCTATTTTTGAGGAGAATTACTGGTAAACATTAAATTTTTTTAATTTAAATTTTGGCAGATGTAAGGAAGAAATTCTTCTTTTTCTTGGACGGCATTCGAGAAAATTGTGAAATTTTTGTTAAAACAAGTTTTGAAATTATTCCTCGAATGATTAAAAAATTAGACGGTTTTTGATGCTACTTTTATTAAAAAATCTGAAAATTTTTTTTTAAAGATCCAAAATTTATTAATATTGTGACTGAGGAAGGTAATTTAGAAATGCTTGATGAATTGGGTTTAAAAATGAAAGAAAACAAAAATGTGGAAGAATTAACGGATATAATTCTATCAAATATTAATCAATGGTGTGTATTTTAGAATATAAAAAATAGATAAGAAAAATATAGGAGAAAGTTTTGGGATAGGTTAAGGGTATGAGGTGCGGCTCTGTTTTGTACTCAACAGGGCAAAATCGGTCAGAACTAAGGCAAAGTGTAGAGCATTATCTTAAAAATAAAAAAAAGCTTTATTTTAGATTTTTTTAGCTAAATTGAGCAAATCAGAAAGTTAAAAATAGGGACTTCCCACCATAGGCACACATTATCAAAAAACCTTTATCCTAAATTGAGTACCTAATTCAGGATTTTAAAAATATTTTTAGGGGAAAAGGAATTTATGAAGTTAACAAAGAGAAGCCTGCTTCAGATAAAAAGGAAGTTAAAAAGCTACAGGTTAATGATGAAATTAAAGAGACAAATGAGGTTAAAAAATTGGAGGTAATAACGATTACTCGATAATGAATTTCGACTATAATTTAATTTTTAGCCAATTTTCACCACAAACCCAGCTGAACTAAAGGGAGAGATTATTAATGTTAGCTTAAAAAATGAGAAGCCCCTAGACATTCCATTCGGCATTACTTTGACTGGAATGAATGGAACTCGTATACAAAATGAATTTATTCAAGTAATTTATTTGGGAGCTTTTTAAAAGTAAAAACAAAATTTGTAGATAAAAAGAGTTTTTGGAAGGCCTGAATACCTCAAGCGAGTTCTGCCTGGGGATATTATTGTTTATATAAATGAGGAGGTTCTCGTTTGCCTTATATTTTAAATTGAAATTCTTTTAAAGTGTATTCTTGGTGCAAGAAGTGGCGATGTTTGCAAAATTTTGGTGTCTTTTTCTGTTGGTGAAATTGTGAATTTTCAGCTTTGTCGTGGCTATGCATTCCAAAAGACTGGAGTGAAAAATTTTTTTAATTTTAAAATAAATCTGAAAATCTTCTTCGGATAACCTTAACCTAATCGAAGAATACAGCTGGGAAATCCTCGATACTTCCTTCGTATGGTCAAATTCGGTCGTAACCGACAAACTTTTTACCGTGTAAACCAAAATTTCTTTTTACCAATTTTTCTTTTTTATTTTTAGATTCAACTAATTCGTGGTAAGGATTATACCGGTTATTTTTCATTCATCACTGGTGGGAGTCCAGCTTGGTGTTATTTATTAGTTGATAAAGATAAGAGAGAAGCTTTGCTTCAGAAACGAAAGTCAGGCAATGTTGATATCAACCAAATCAAAGAATATGGAGAAGTTTTATATTCAGGATTGGGTAAAGACCCTCCAAAAGACATTAAAGACAAAATGGTTAAAGAATATGGGATTAGCCCTGATTATAAGATTAACCAGTTTCCAACCTATAAAAACTCTTTTCTAGCCTTGTAATAAAAATCAAGATATCATTTATGTACTACACTGCGGTGCATATGTTTATGCACACTAGTTTTTTGTTCATAATTTTATGCAATCTTATTAAAAAAATACGTTCTATATAGCAATCGAAAGCTCTATTTGTATCTCAGTTGACATGTTTCTGCATTTTCCATGAAAATGAAAATTGGCCGAGATAATCCGGATCTACCGGATATACCAAATCCCATATCCTCGGAAAAATTTTTCGGAAAAAATTTAACAAACCCATTTGATAAAGCATATTTTTGTACTCGCTCTCGTGGTTAAACATTCTGATGCAGAAAGCAAAATTGAAATTGGAGGATTGGGAATTATTGAGGTGAGGTTACTATTGAAAAATGAGGTGGCTTTTTTCGAAATACGCTTGCCTTTTTTAAAAAATAACGCTTAGGAATTAATTAAAACAAAAATAATGTAAGGATTATAGTGGTGACATTGAGAATTTTCAAATTTGTCGCGGTTATGCATTAGCGACTAGCCAAGGAATTTCGCAATCAAAATTTCTTATTTATAAAAATCCTTGCCAAGCCTTCCAATAAAGCAGTGAATTTCGTAAAAAGCTTGAATATTATTTAAATATTAATGCAAATTATTTATTTATCCAACATATTTTGCTAATAAATATTACAAAAAAAGTTTAAATTATTTTATCGTTGTTTTCCAATAAATTTTATTATTTAAAAATTTACTCATTAATTAGATTCAGATTTAGATATAATTTTCTTAAACATTATGCCTTCTAACTCTGAAGAGGCTAAAAAACTTGAGGTGATTCGCTAAAAGAATATTTTAAATTAGTAATTTAATTTTTAGCCAATTTTCACCCCATATCCAGCTGAATTGAAAGGAGAGATTATTAATGTTAGGATAAAGAAAGATCCGACATTTGGTATTTTTATTTTTGGAATGAATGGGATTTGTGTAGAAAATGAATTTATTCAAGTATATTTATTGGCTTAAAAATGTGAATTAGATTTTAGGTTACAGAAGTTGTCCCGGAAAGTCCTGCACAAATTAGTGGTGTTCTACCCGGAGATATTATTGTTTATATAAAACAAGAGGTTCTTTCCTTTGCTTCCTATTGTAAAAAGATTCGTTACTTGTGTAGTTTACACCCCATAAGCCCCGCCCCTTTTTCCTCTTCCTTTTCTTTAAAAATGTTCGCAAACTCCTATAAAATTACCATTTGGGTCGGGGGTTGTGTTAATTTTCTAAAAAAGGAAAAGGGGCGGGGCTTATGGGGTGTAAACTACACAGTATCCAAGGTTATTTTAAAGTGTGTTCTCGGCATATGGAGGGAAGATTTTCTTACACTTTTGGATTCTTTCCAAGTCGGTGACACTGTGAATTTTCAACTTTGTCGTGGCTATGCAATGCAAGAGACAATGGACAGTCGAGTAGAAATTTCCAACTCTAAGAAAAAAATTTTAATTTTTAGATTTATATAGTTCGAGGGAGGGATCCTACAAATCTTTTTTCATCGGCCACCCGTGGCGGTGCTTGGCACTATTTGTTGGTTGATAAAGATAAGAAAGAAGCTTTTCTTGAAAATATCGAGACGGGAAATTTGGATGTGGCAGATTATGGAAAAATTTTGTGTTCAGGGTGGGGGGAATATCCTCCACAAGACATTAAAGTTAAAATGAATGAAGAATATGGGACGAAGATAGAAATTCATAGCCACTCATAAATCTGGACAAAATAAATATTTAAAAGAATAAAATGGGAATATGAGAAATATTTAATGTTTTATATGTTTAGTTTGCATTGTTTTGCAATGCTGGCTGACGATTTTTGAAAGAAAGAGGTAAAAGGTATTGTGTTCATTGTTCATGCTGTGGAAAAATTGTGGATGGGAGATGGAATTGAACCATCATGGAATGAGCCCAGACCGAAGCACAACCGACTGTGCCACCATCCAACCCAATGCTGGGTTATTTATTTTCATTTATATTCTTTCTGCAAGTGCGGACACAACACGCCTTCCGCCTTGCTAGACCAAGCGTCCTCGCGTCCTCGCTTGTTGCTTGTCTTCAATAACTATCAACTGTTTTCGATATTTGAGAGAGCACACACAGAAACCCATTTTGTGGCATTTTTTTTTCTGGCTGCGACTCACCCGCGACTTACGCCTCAAACTAGCTGCTCTCGATCACGGAGCCTTACGCTTTTTTTTCTCTAGCTGCTCACACAGTCTTACGCCTTATTTCTGCCCGCACACAGCTCAGGCTATACTCACAGGGTCTTCTCCTTATTTCTCTAGACAGTTAAAGTATGTCAGATCATCACAGCATTTGACGGTTCGCTTGTTCCTCGTGCTATGCCCGGCGGGTCGTGGCACCATTATTATATACGATGTTCTCATGCTGTGGAAAAATTGTGGATGGGAGATGGAATTGAACCATCATGGAATGAGCCCAAACCGAAAGCACAACCGACTGTGCCACCATCCAACCCATTGCTGGGTTATTTATTTTCATTTATGTTCTTTCTGCAAGTGCGGACACAACAAAAGGCACACATAACTATACCAATTTTTCAAAATTTTTTAGCTTAAATTGGAGTTTGGAAGTTTCAGCTTTAAATATAATAAATAGAGTGTTTCAAAAGATGCAAAAGCATATTTTGTACGTCGGTATGAACATTAGGGACCCGGTTCCTATAGCATATTTGTGCACTTTCGTACATATTTGCATTTATTTGCATATCTGCTACGTTCAAAGCACGTAGGAATTTAAGTAGCAATGTAAAAAAGGGTAAAATCAATTGAAAATAGGTGAAGAATTAAAAAAAAAGATGATTAGACAAAAGGATGCAAGAGATGACAAATTAAAGATTGATTCACAACAATTTACAAAAAAAATGTGGGAAATTGTGAAAATTCTTTCTATGTTTTTAAAGATATTATCGAAAATTGTTCAACTGATTTTTTTTACATTTATGCGGAAAATAAAACAAATTAATGTAATATTTTTTGTTTGATTTTCCGTATAAATGTAAAAAAATTCATTTTATTCAATAGATTTTATTTTTAAATATTATTTAAATTTATTTTTTGAAAAATGTATAACATCTAAATTTGAAGCTAAATTTTAGGAATTTGTTGTTAAAGAGGAAAAAAAGTTTTTGTTGATAATATTGCTGATTTTTAAAACTTTTGGAAATGAATAATTCTGATCTTTCACTTTACGAAAATGCTGTATTATCTCTCATTCGTACAGTTAACAAACTAGAACGTGAAGACATAATTGGGAGAACGAGTGTTATTGAGGTACTATTGTTCTTCATGTTAACCAACTTTCAAAGAAAATTTATTTTCTCTTTTAAGAGAGTCTTTGAACTAATTGAAAGTAAATTCAATCTGGAAGAATGTGATATTGATGTGAATGATTGTTTGCAATTTTTAAAGAGATTTACTAGTGAAAGCAATTTTTTAAATTTTTCTGATTTACAAATTCGAGAAAATTGTGAACTTTTGGTTAAAATAAGTACTAATTTTGTTCCGGCCATGGCAAGAAAGATTTTAAAAGGTTTTTGAATTAAAAATACCACATTTTCCTTTTCTATCCTTCCTCTCATAAATATTACAAAATGGGTAGCAATACTTAATCTTATTCATGGCGATAAGTACCAAGCTCTGCATTTAAGAAACTATGATCGGATATGGATATTGTGTTTGTGTACCATAACTCTGGTCGGGTAGAGCCTATTACCATAAGAGATTTTATGGGTGAATATTTTGCAACTAGAGCTAGTGATATACATACACCAAACGTTCTTTCCAACTACAAAAGCTGGAAATAACCCAAGGTACTTTAGAGCTATAACTTTGTTCATAATTGTCGAATCTGGGACGCCCTCGACGAGTTGAATCGAATCATACTTAGACGTCCCGGATTTAACGATAGGGGGCGGGCGTGCGGTACCTTGGCCTGTTCCCACAAAAGCTGGTGACTCAAGAATAGACTTGTTTTCCTATGATAGTATATCGTTTTGGTTTTGTATAATAAATTATATAAAATTTATGAAAAAAAGAAAAGGAAAATATGGGCCGATAAGGTACCTTAAAAACTATTAAGATCCAAAATATCGTCATATTATTATGTCCGATAAATGTAACAAAGAAATGTTTGTTACATTAATTGAAGAAATGGAACAAAAAGAGGATGTTGAAGAAATAGCTTATATGATTCTTGCAAATATTGATCTATGGTTTGTGTATTCTTATCAAAATAGCCTGTTAAGAATTCTCTCCCTTGTTAAAATTTTTCTCCCTTCATTGGTCTTAATATCTTTCCACACCTCCATCTACCACTCCCTCACTTGGATATTCTCGTTAATTTTAATTCCTAGGGGTAAACTTAAGCGAGACACGACTTTATTTTATTGAGGTTTATTTTGCTCAAAGGAGGTATTATCCTATCTGGGAGTAGGCCAAGGTATCGCAAAGTTATAACGTTCAAAATTGTTGAATCTTGGACCTTCCTGGTAAGGTTCGAACCATATCAGGATGCCCCGGATTCGATAATTTTGAACGTTATAGCTCTGCGGTACCTTGGGTGGTACCCTGGGGTGTACCCATTTAATCCGTTATGATGAATATTTATATTTGGACATGGGTTATTTGATTTTTTGAATATATTTTTCGAGTTTTAATTTTGCAAGATTTCCAAAAAATAATTGTTTTTCAAAAATTTCTAGGGCAAACGACATTCATGAAGTCAACAAAAAGCTCGTTGCTGATAAAAAACTTGAAGTAAATTTCTATGTAATATTATAAAATTGTGTTAATTTTTAGCCAATTTTCACCACAAATCCGAATGAATTGAAGGGAAAGATTATTAATATTTGCATTAAAAAAGATTCAAATTTTGGCATTGGTTACATTGGCATGAGAGGGACTTGTACAAAAAATGAATTTATTCAAGTAGTTTAGTATAAGTGACTTAAAAATGTAAATTAAACTTAAGATTGCAACAGTTGATCCTGAAACTCCTGCTTATATCAGTGGTGCTCTACCTGGAGATATTATTGTTTATATAAATCAAAAGGTTTTTTCCTTTTTTTATTTTAAAAAGGAATTTTAAAGTGTATTCTCGGCGCAAGAAGGGAAGAAGTTTATAAAATTTTGGATCTTTTTTCTGTTGGTGAATTTGTGAATTTTCAGCTTTGTCGTGGCTATGCCATGCAAGAGACAGTGGATAATCGAGTAAAAAAATTTTTGTGTCGTAGATTTTGGACAAAAAAATTATTTTTAGATTTATATAATGCGCGGCATTTCTAGCTGTTATTTTTCATTCATCACTAGTCCAGCTTGGCATTATTTGTTGGTTGATAAAGATAAGAAAAAAGCTTTTCTTGGAAAATGCAAGACGGGCAGCATGGATGTCGCAAATTATGGACAAATTTTATATTCAGGATGGGGTAAAGATCCTCCACAGGACATAAAAGATAAACTTAACGAAGAATATGGGACTGGATCTGAAGAAGCAGATCGGATTTAATTAAAACTTAAAAATAATAATAAATAATAAAAACTCAGTCTCCATCAAAAACCCGCACACATATTTGCTCATTTAAAAAAACATACAATAAAAATGTCAATATATGACACTTGAATAAAAAAGTTGCTTTTTCAGCGGACTCTTTCCCTATTTTTTTCTAAAAGTTGGGTGCCGCCAAGCTTTAAGGAATGCCATCCTCCCCATCTTATATGAAATTTGATGCTCAAAAATCAGAATAAAAAAATAGTATAAAAATAGAATCGTAAAAAAAGAAAATTGAATGCTAAAAAAGTTGGTAAGGGTTCACCTTAGCAACACAACAAAAACCACGTTTTTCTAGGGTAATAAAATGCGCTGAGTTCAAAAAACACTATAAAAGGTCTCAAAACGGTGCTCCAAGGCATTTTTTGGAAGATTAAAAAAATTCATCGGGCTCGAAATGCTCATGGGGGAGTAAGCTGTTTTTGGGGTCAAAAATTCGAATATACAAATAATAGCTCATTCGAAAGGGCTCGACGAGCTGAGTTGAATGGCATCAAAATCAGCTCGATTGGATGATTTTTGACAAAGTTATGACCAACAGAATCTTCGCTGGAAAAACTGTTTTTGTGCTGCTACGGAGGGTAGGCCGGGCATGGTCTTCGCTACACGATGGCCGTGCTTCGCTGCGGTCGTGCTCGCTGCGCTCGCGGCGACCGTAGCGAAGCGGCGGCCGTCGTTCCGCTCGACATGCCCGGCTTCCTCCGCAGCGGCAAAAACTTTTTTCCGCGAAAACCTTGTGGAAGGGGTAAAAACAAACGGTCATAACTTTGTCAAATCATGTCAGATTTCGTTGATTTTGGTGTCATTCAACTCAGCTCGTCGAGCTCTTTCGAATGAGGTATAATTCGTCTATTCGAATTTTTGACCCCAAAAATCAGCTTGGTCCCCCCTTTGGTTTTCGATTTTCAGGGGTCTGAAAATCCGGGAAAAAATGCCTTCGAGCACCGTTTTGAGTACTTTTATAGTGTTTTTTGAACTCAGCGCATCTTTTTACACTAGAAAAACATCACTTTCAGTGTGTTGCTAAGGTGAACCCTAGCCAAAAAGTTCTTTTTAAACAAGGAGAGAGTCCGCAAAATGCCAACTCTTCAATAGTGCCCAATTATCTATACTTATTTTGTTCATGTAATTCAATTTAAATAATTTACATCAGGAATAAATATATATTTAATGATTTTTTAAAATAATAACAAAATATATATATTTTTTTAACCCAAAGGAATCGAACTTTCCCCCTCAACAACCAAATTTTAACCCACTTAACCACAAAATTACAATTCATCGATTTCCCTTCGCTTGCTTTGCATCAGCCAATAATTGTTGTAAATTTGTATGATAAGCTCTCACATTGTCGTATAAGACTGCCAAACGTTTTTGTAACAATTCCCATTCAGGACGGCCAAAAGGTTGCTGGAAAATAAAATTTTTTGAAGAAAATTAAAAGAAAAACCTCCTCTTTGTGACCATTTTCTGATGTTGAATTGCTGCCGTTAATTCCTTCAAAAAAAAATTAGTTTTCGAATATGACTGGATAAGAAATTATAATTTGTCATAAAATGTGCTACTCAGAGATTGGAAATTTAAAAGAAATCTTGACATTGTTTCTAGGGTTTGGACAGTGATTAAATTCTTGTCCTCGAGTCAAGAAATAATCGAGGTCTAGATCCAGATCCAGGCCGACTTCTAGTACTAATGGAATAATTAGGGTTTGGGGTTTTCGAGTCGGGCCGACGTTCGAGTCATTCTTAACGGGCCGGCCCGACCGTCTTTTTTGTGCCAAAATTCAAAGCCCGACTAGATCTCTCGGATCTGATCGGCCCCAATAATTCCTTAAAGTATGGGGGAGGGAATAGAAAAAAACAAAAATTAAAACAAACCGTTTTCAACTCCATTAGAATCCTTATCAATATTTGCAGACATTTTTTGAATAAATTAGAAAACAAATCTGAAAATTTACAGGAAAATTTAGAGACATTAAAATACAAAGAAAAAGCAAGAAAAAAGCACAAAAACATACAAAATAACTTAAGAAGGTATTTTGGCTAATTCAAATATTTTCTTTTTTTGGCGTGTATTTTTATTCTTTTCTGGCAAAATGTTTATTTAAATTCGTCATTTAATTAAAAAAGTAATTATAGAGAAAAAAGTGACGAGAGAGTGTGGTAAAATTAGAGGAAATATAGAAAGAAATTAAAAAAGATTAAGGGACGTGTCCGGTTAACTCATCTACTCGTTAACTTATCTACACGGCCAAAAACGTTCAACTCATCTAAACGGCTAAAATTCGTTAACTCATCTACACGGCCAAAAAGGGGTCAACTCATCTAATCGTTAACTCATCTATTCGTTAACTCATCTACACGGCCAAAAAGGGTTAACTCATCTAATCGTTAACTCATCTAATCCTTAACTCATCTACACGGCCAAAAAGGGTCAACTCATCCAATCCTTGGAAACGAGACTATTGAGTCTCCGGCCGTTTGAGTCTCTCGCCGTCTGAGTCTCTCGCCGTTTGAGTCTCTCGCCGTTTGAGTCTCTGGTAAGTTGAGTCCATGACCAATTGAGTCCAGACCAGTTGAGTCCATGGCCAATTGAGTCCATGACCAGTTGAGTCCATGGCCAATTGAGTCCATGACCAGTTGAGTCCATGGCCAATTGAGTCCATGACCAGTTGAGTCCATGGCCAATTGAGTCCATGACCAGTTGAGTCCATGGCCAATTGAGTCCATGACCAGTTGAGTCCATGGCCAATTGAGTCCATGACCAGTTGAGTCCATGGCCATTTGCTACTGGCCATGGACTCAACCGGCCGGAGACTCAATAGTCTCGTTTCCAAGGATTGGATGAGTTGACCCTTTTTGGCCGTGTAGATGAGTTAAGGATTAGATGAGTTAACGATTAGATGAGTTAACCCTTTTTGGCCGTGTAGATGAGTTAACGAATAGATGAGTTAACGATTAGATGAGTTGTATAGGAGCCTTAAGGGAAAATAAGAGAAATGTTTTCTGTCTCTGTTCAATTTCTTTTGAGTTTAATTTCATTTATTTAGTGCTACGTATTTATTTTTTTATTGAAATTTTGTTTAATTTCTTTTCATTCCTTCAAACACCTGTTTAAAAATACTTGATTATTATTTATAAAAGAGCGAGAAGTTTCTCTCAACTAATTTTTTTCTTAACTCTAGAGAAAAATGTGCAGTCCAGCCTTAAGTCTAATTTACGTAGAAAGCGTCTTGCGACTTAAAATTTAAATAAAGGGGGAGGTAAACTCCCAATGTTGTTTTTATCTCAAGATACAAAAATTCAAACCTTGATTTTATGCGTAAACACGTTATGAGTCCGTTTTTCCATAGTTCTAAGCTAGAGATTTCAATTAATTTTAATTTCAATTAATTTTCAGAAAATTTATTTTTAAAAAATCTTCAAAAAACCAAAAATGACTCTTCAATGGACTATTATTGCGTTTATTCTTTACGCGGAGATTTTTGTACTTCTTATACTTATGCTCCCTTGGATTCGACCAACAATGTTTATTTTATTTTTAATTAATTTTTTTTATTTTTATGGGGTCAATCTGGAAGACCTGTTGACCCTGAAGACCTACAAATTTTGAAAAGGGAATATAGAAAGGGGATATCTTTCAATACTGCCCCATATGTTCTAAAATACAATTGTGTACTTATGTTCGTAGAGCTGGCTACTTATCCTCCTTAATTCCTCTTTATTCCCTTTCAAAAGTTGTAGGTCTTCAATGTCAATAGCAAGGGCGTATCCAGGGGGGGCTAGAGCCCCCCCCCCCCCCCGAAATGGGGAAAAGGAAAAAATTTGGGGAAGAGTTTGGGTAAAAAAGTGAATTTTTTTGGCCTACGGCCTTCTAAATTTTAAAAATTTTTGCCTGCGGCGCTAAAAATGGAAGACATTTGGCTTCTTGGTCTATAAAATCCTCAAAATTTTCGCCTGCGGCGCCGAAAAAGTGAATTTTTTTGGCCTACGGCCTTCTAAACTTCGAAAAATTTTCGCCTGCGGCGCTAAAAAGATAAAAATTTATGTACAAAAAAATTTGCGTTCGGAACACCAAAGTGAACGCCAAAATTTTGGCGCAACACCCAGTGTTAGCCCCCCCCCCCGAAACTGACCTCCTAGATACGCCCTTGGTCAATAGGTTTTCAGGTCTGGACTCATTTTTAATTAAAGGTGGAAGAAGGTTTTCAACAGTCGAATAGTTCACAGTTTTAAGAATTTTTCGAATGTTTATGCCTACGCTTTTATTTTTGTTTTGCTTCTTCTGTTTGTTGGTATTTTTTCACTTTTTATTTTTTAAATTTAATTTCCCTAAAAAGATGCTACCAGAGAAGTGCGCAAATACAGCCACATTGACATTGCCAAAGAAATCCCGGCTCGTGCTGATGCAGATGCTGTTATTCATATGCGTTTGTTTAGGTTGATTTTTAAGTTTACTGGCCTGGGCTGGATCCTGTGAATTTAGTTAAGACCGACCATCTCAAAAAAAGTGGGTCCGGGTTTTGGTTTAGAAAAGTGAAAAGGCTTTAGCAAGGCCCAGGTTCGATTTCTAATATTTTTTTGTGGACGAATATTTGTTTTTCCCCTTCGTTGAATTAAGTGAACATCTTATGGGCACCCTGACTACGGACCTGGGTCTGGTCTTTGGTTTAGAAATACCCTTCAGGCTTTACCCAGCTCACATCAGGTCCTAATTAAAGTAACACAAAACCGGTTACCGCTCGGTTAATTTTTCCCTATGGCGGGTCTTTTTTCTCTTTTCCTTTCTCTCTTCTCTTTTTACCCGCCACAGGAAAAAACTAACCGGGCGGTTAGTTTCTTTTGAACTATGAACCTTTTCCCCTTATTGTTAAATCATTCATTTTAAGTAAATTTATGATTTTCCTTAAGATCCGGGCTTTGGTTAAGAAAAATCCTATGCACACTAACCAGACTTATGTCAGCGGGATCTCTTTGGGTTTCCTTGTTTCAGCTTAAAATTTTTCCAATTTATAATTTTTTTTTTATTTTTCAGGGCCCAGCGAAATCTCTACATTAGCGGATTCTCACTTCTACTTGCACTGTGAACTTATTTTTCCTTCATTTAATTTATTCTTTCATTATTTTCAAGTGTTATTCGTCGAATTGTCACCCTCCTTGCACGTTGTGCTTATTTGGAATTGGCAGCGGAGGCAGCAATGAAACAGGCCGAAGGGGCTGGTAAAGCTGCCAAAGATCTCATGGACAAAGTTTGATCTTTGGCGTTTTTTGTTTAAAAGAAGGATTTAAAAATTAAATTTTTAGAGTGATGGAAAGGAAACTGAGACAGACAAAAAACTCCGAGAAGATTTGAAGGAAATGAATTTGAAGTTGAAAAAGGCGGAAACTGATCGTGATGCAATGAAAGCTCAATCTGAGAATCTCCAAGAAGAATATGAACGTGTTACTGCAAAGCTGAGAGAATATGAGGTTTTTTTTAATTTTAAGATAAAGGTTTGAGGGATTCGGGGGTTGGGAACCGAGATTTTCGGACATAGCTGAACCTTGCTTGGAGGTGTCTTGCTTGCCGTACATTGCTATTCTAGTGGTTTAGTCTATTTAATACTCATTAGGGATGTGTTGGAAAAAAGTCTGGTCGGGTTTATATGGGTGTTTTAAAATTTTCTTCGCATCTTGTTTCGAATTCCGGGTCGAGAAAGTTTATGGGTAGGGTAACCAGATTATTCACTTCTCTTAATATAAGCTAAAAACAAAGAGATGGGTATCCGTGAAGTTTTAATCCGCAAGTGTAAATTTACCAAAAACTGATTTTAGTTATGGGATTGGATAGAAATGAATCCTAACCAAATGTTTTGGGGTTAATTTTGTGAAAATAGGACTTCAAAATATTTTTCCGATTACCTTTTCTTTTAAAATTTTTTTCTCGTTTATGGGCCTTTGAATCCAATTTAAAAAACTTTCTTTTTCTATTTTAACTAATTTTCAGGCCAAAAATGCAGGAACTGCTGGAGGTGATAAGAAGAGTGATTAAAGAAGTATTTAATATTTTTAAAGTTGGAGATTGTATGGTTTATCTATTTTAAAAAGCTATTCAGAATTTTCTGATAATTATTTTAGTGGTAGGGATGTGATTTTTTAAAGAATTTTTTTTCATTTTGGGATGGAGTGTCTCCCCACCTTTCATTATTCTTTATTTATTTTAGATTCCCCCTTATAACAAAGAGGGATAATGGACGCATCATTAAGCTCAATGTCAAAATTTCCCTTATTTTCTAATTATGGGACGAAATGTCTCATGCTTCCAAGGTCCTATTTTGGACAATTTGACGACAAAAGCCATATTATTTTGGTGTTTAGACACTTTTGAAACTAGGATTGATTTATTATTTTCAAATAAAATCACATTTCTACATTTTAACTTCAAAACTATTTTGTTTTTCTTTGTGTGCTTTTATAAAATTATTTTGGTAAAAATTTTGAACTTTTTGTTCTAAACTTTTGAATTTTCTAAGTTTGTTATATTTTTTTATTTGTTTTAATTTTTAATTAAATTTAATCAATTTTTTAATATTTAAATAAAATGGCTGCAATTATTGATGAAGACCCTATTGGTGTTGAACACGGTTTGCTTTTTCTTTTTTATTTGATTTTTGTCAAGGTGTAGGATCCAATTATTAAATTCTATCTAACGAGGTTTTGGTGTAGCTGGTAGTAATTTTGTCTTTATTGGGAGAGGGTCCTGGGTTCGGTTCCATATGAGGAAAAACATTTTTAATTGCCTTAAATTTCACTCCCGGAGCATTAAAAAATTATTTCTTAAGTTGATGATGACCCTTTGGCTACGGATGGAGGTAAACTTGAATCAGAAGATGGCCGAGAAGAAGTTTTTGTAAAGCCGTTGATAACGTTTATTTTTTTTCTTGAATTCTTTAATTTAAATTTATTCAGTTATTATTGTCATTGTGGTCAAATGTCTTTAATTTCTGATACTCCAATTGCAAGGATGCCTTTAAGAAAGCGTGATGGGGCGCGCGTCATTGATCCAAAATGGACAATTGCAAAAATGGTTTTTTTATATTTTTATTTTATTTAAACTTTTGGGTTATTTTATAGGGCTAGTTTGGTTACCCGTATTTTTAGGTCTATTTTAGACCAGATTCGAAAAAAATCTGAAAATCCGTGCCAGACCCTGAGACAACTTTCTTCAACCCTGACAACATTGCTTTTAAATTTCCCATCCCATCGATAGTCTTATCTTGACCGGCAAAGCACTGCAAAAAACGAAAATTTATAATTGATTTTAATTTTTCAGATTAAGGGGTGTTTTAAAGTCCATTAAATATTAAAAAAAAAGGAAGGTAAAATGGGAGGTAGTCTAGGGTTCCAAAAATCGAAAAAAATTTTACGGACTGTCTGCAATAAATTTGCGCATAATGGTGATTCTTCCCTTTTACCATTCCACAGCCTACCTTTTTTTTATTAAAAAAATCAGAATTTTATCTAAATAATTTCTAGTTTTATGACAATGGAGATACTGTTTATATTCGCCGTCCAGAAGGTTTGGAGCAACAATATAGAAGGTTTTTTAAATTTTTATTTTAAAAAATTACAATTTTTTAAAGAAATTGTCGTAAATGTGCAGTTCCAATATTTTATCAACACCCTTTTAATCTTCAAATAACCTTCATTTTTGAATCGGCGCTGTTATCTGCTAATGAAATTGGGGGAATTACTGGAAATAATGAAGAGGAGAAAGTACAAAAAGTTATGCTTAAAAAACATGTTAGAAATCAAGGTTTTGTTTTTAAATAATTTTCTTTAGTGGGTTAAAAAAGATGAGGGGAGTCGTTCAAAGGATGATGCCAGTTAAAGGGAGGAATACTGCCGAAAAGCAATGGGGTTACTTCCACCGTTCAATTAGTCTATCCAACCTGATATTTGTGGTTGTTGCTGTTGTGGTAGTCTAGGACCACAATTTGGTAGATCAATTAGTCCGTAATGTCCAAATATCAAAACCCCCCAAAGTCGCCATGTCAACACGCTCCCCTCCCTCAAATTCTTTATTCAAAGCTTTACTACCCCTACAATTTTCCAGCCAGTCAACAACAGCTTTTTAATTCCCTAGAGATTTTCAAAAAATTTTTCCTCTCAAAATTTTTTCTAATTTTCAGGCAAAGTCGGTTCTGTAACCGTAAGTACAGTTAATGATGAAGAAGAGGAAGTAGAGGCTAAAGAAGTTCTCGAAAGTTATTCTCTTAATGCTAGAATTGTTGAAGAGGTTTCCTAATTTTTAAAAATTAAAAAAAGATTCCCCAAAATTTTAGGCAATGACCAGAAAAGGAATGATTCGAAAACGAATGCTTGGAGAAGAAAAAAATGAATCGGAACAGGTTAGAACAAAAAAGAAGCATGGAACGCTGTAAAAGTTACAAAAATTTGCTAAATTGCACAACCTTTTATTCGGAAAAAATATTTTTAAAAAATTTGGAGGATTTACTATACATTCTGTCTAAATAAATTGTTTTTAATAAAGTACTCAAAAATAAATTTTAATAATTTTAAAAATTTATTTTAGATTGTAGCCAATTTATTCAAAAGTTTTATTCGAAAATTATTCTTTTCCCAATTATCCCGATTGAATTTTTAAATTTTCGTTTGTCCGCAAAAAAAGTCCGCAACTTTTTTTTTGATTTTTGATTAATTTATTTTTAAGGATTTTTATTGCCAAAAATTATTCTTAAGAGTAGGATTGTCGGTTCTGGCCGAAAAACAGAGAATTTTTCGGTTTCGGATATCCTAAGAATTTCCAGGAACCGACAACCCTATCAAAAGTCTTCCAAAATTTTTTCGACTAAAAATATTTTCTTGAAAAGAAATTTTCTAAACTTTCTTGGCTACAAATCTATTATTATTACAAAATATCGCATTTAAAAAGGAGGGGAGAGATCGTCTTACAAAAATTTTTTTAAGCTTCCTTAAATTCTAAGTATTTTCAAAAATGAAAATTAATTTTTTAGGACTAAAAATTTTGAGATTTAAAAAAATCTAAAAAAGAAGAAAATCTGGAATGATTTTTTAACTGAAAAAATCCTTTCTAAAAATCCTTCCCAATTATTTTTGACGTCGATTTAAATTCTCCAAATCATGTGTAGCCAATGTTTGTGCTGCTGTAACTAGATGAACCTGGAAAAATGAGAAAATTGATTTCTATTAAGATTGTTTTTTTGGGGGAAAGTTTGTTTGTTGTCGGTGAATTATTTTCGTCCGCAAATATTTGCGGCTCTTTTCCCCGATTATCCCGAATATGAAATTAGAAATATGAAATTTGGTTTGTCGCTTAATTCTCTTTGTCCGCAAAGACTTGCGGATATTTTCCCTATTATCTCGATTGGATCAGTACCTATTCTCAGGTGGAATAAATAGACCTTGTGATTATTTTAGAAATTCTTAACCTTGTTGTTTCCAAGCTACTGATTTAAATCAGTAGCTTGGACAAAATGCTAACATAAATAGTTCAGGAAAAAACCCAGTCTCATGATTAAACCGAAAAAATGCTTGCTCTTTTTTGTCAACAGAGGAAATATCCAGGAAAAGAAATTTAATTCTACTATGGCAAGTTCTAGTTAGAAAGTAAACCGAACGGATCCAGTTCCCAGCGGTCTTACAATTTTTGAGACTAGAAAAGTCCGCAAGTTTAAAAATCCGCAAAAATTTTTAAAAATAAAAACTAACCAAACTAATAGCCGATTTAACAGCAGCAACAGGAAAAACCAAAAAAGCCAATAAATTCGTAAAATTAACAAAATAAAGACTTGGACCAGGCCAAAAATGAGAAATATATAAAAGTCCATAAAATGCTTCATTGCCAAAACACATTGCAAAAAGGAAAGGTTTTGAAGTGTAGTAATAATTTAAAAGAGGATTTTTTGATTCTTTGTGGGTTAATCTGTAATATGTGAAAATAACTAGGGTGAGTCCGCAAAAAATTTGCGGACTTGGTAATTTTGTAGGAATCGTTTAATTGTATTAGCCCAAAATTTTGTGTAGCCCAAAATTTTGTATTAGCCCAAAATTTTTATTCTCCGCAAAAAAATGTCAGCAAGATTTTTTAAAGAAATCTTGATCCTAGCAAGGGCGTAGCCAGGGGGGCTTCTGGGCTATAGCCGTCCTGAAACTAGGAAAGTGAAAAAAATTTTGGGCACTGAAAATTTTCAGCGCCCAAATGCAAGAAATTAGCTTCTTGGCCTTCCGAAATTTTCCTAAAAAATTACCAAAATTTTCGCCTGGGGCGCTGAAAAAATATATGTACAAAAAATTTGCTTTCGGAACACCAAAGTAAACGCCAAAATTTTGGCACACACCCCATATTAGCCCCCTGAAATCGACCTCCTGGCTACGCCCTTGGGTCCTTGGAATCGTTTAATTGTTTTTCTAATTTATAGGAAAAAAACCAACTTTCCAGTCAAATCCCCAGCATGTAAATGAAGCCAATGAGAAGCAATATCAACAATTCCAACAAATTGAAAAACAAAAATACAAGAAGGATAAAAATGGCAAAGTGCCATTATAAGCCCGAGAAAAGTGCAGCGATCAGTTAATTGGTCTAGCATTGCTCCAAAACGAGAACCTTTAAAAAATTGAAGTTTTTTTGGGAAATAAAATGTCCGAGAGTTCAGTCGGAATAGTTTATTTTCTGGTATATTTCACGTCTGGGAGTTCACAGTCTAGGACAACTCACAATCAGGCCCGTAGCCAAGGGGTTCCTTCTAAAAATTTTCCCCAGTAAAGGTTCTTTTCTGCAGCCACAAATTAGTCTGCTGATTTAGGAAGTAAGGGACCATTAGTTCTTGGCCTGTACACGGGTTGAGAAAACTCGGAAATTTGCCCGGATCGGGCTTCGGATCGAAAAAAGTCCGAGTTTACGGGTCCCCTCCCTTTCTCATGAGTTCAAAGACCGAGCTGATGGATTTTGTCGGAACCCTAGATTTTTCAAGATTCGGAATCGTTGTTTTTCGACGGTAAATTTCAAACCTAGACCAAAAAACCCCCCAAAATAAAATCCCAGCTCCCCGATATGGAATTTTTAAATTTAATTTCAAACTTTGATTATATTTCCTAGCCAAATATCCATCAAAAGCATCCAAAAAAGCACTCAAAAAATACCAAATAGAAGCTGCTACTGGACGTGTAGGCATTGCAGCAAAAGAAAATAAAGCAAAAATAATTCGCAAATAACCAATTAAATTTGGGTAAAATAAATAAATTGGATTTAATTGAAAATCCATTTTTTGATTGAATCTAAATAAATTAATTGGTGAGGCTCCAAGAATTTTTACAAGTGCAGTTAATGTGTGAAAATTAGAAAGTAAAAAATAAAAATGTAAAAATGCTTCAAAAAATAAGGAAAACCCTATGTTAACTGTCCGAATTAATTTTCGTAAATTTAGGTATTATGAAAAATTTATTCCTTGTTACATTTTGACTTCTCTTGCTTTTTTTCTCAAAAAACGCAAGCCGTTTCAGTGCCAACTTCATTATCTTTCTCACCAATGCAAGCCACTTGAGTGCTAACTTCATCGCAGATTTTGAGTGCCAGCAAGGGAAACTCTCTCTCATTAGTTCAGGGTTTAATTACAAATTGTATTTAATCCTCGACTAAAATAAATCCGAACGCAGAAAAAATAACAAAATAAAAAGCCGCAGACGGTACGCGGATTCGGAAAGGAAAAAATGCGGAATTGCTGAGACTCAAGACGATTAAGATTTTGAAAGGCAAAAATTCTCAAAAATGCCCTCTGCCTAGCGCCATTGCCTATCAACGTGTTTTACATTGAGAGAAATAATCATAAGGGCAAATAAGCAATTATACGTAATAAATAGAGGGCATATAATCATGATCAGGGGTGGGATAATAAATAAATTCGAAATTTCGAATCGAAATTAAGCAAATTAAATATTCGAAAAACCCGGTTTCAAATCTCGATTTCTTACAAAATGTTTAAAAAAAATTAAAAAATATAACCAAATCTTCTACCAAAAATTCCTGAAATAATATCCATTTTTTTGCTTAAGAATAATTTTCTTTAAAAGAGACGAAACAAAATATTTTAATTTGCCTTTAAACGACTAGGTGCGAAACTGGGGACGAAATTTCGATCAGCCCTAGATTATATATAGATGTTTAAACTGACAGAGAGAGTGACTATTCATATAAAACCAGATTGAATCCCCCTCAACTTATTCATTTAAAAATTTAAATTAAAAATCTAATTTAAAAAATTTAAAAAGCTATAGAAATCATTCATTTAAAAGAGAAATGCGGGTAAAATTAAAATTGTTGTCAATTTTTGCTTTGATTCTCGTATCGAATTTTGATGTTGTCGCAGCTGGGAACAACTTTGATGAAGGTATGAGTATTTAAAAACCGGTTGTGTACACGATACTCGAGAGATATGTTTTTCTGGAAGCAAACTTAATATAGATATAAGTTGTTTTTAGAAATATTTTAATTCATTTTTATAGATGGAGTGTTAAAAGAAAGTCGCATTAAACGCTTAGAACAAATTGCTGAGATAGATAATTCAACTGGAATGCCTCGTGGAGGTGTATACTCAACTGATTCAATTAAATTCGAGGAATATAAATATCTTGAAGGAAATGTGGAGTATAAAACCCTTTTCGAGACATTTAATAAAGCTTTTGAAAGACTTGTAAATAAAGTTGCCCAATTTGCTCAACTAACTTTAAAAAATATTAATATATCTCTTGATGAAACAGATGTTATTGCTAATGAATTAAAAAAATATGATGAAATTGTAAAAAATAGTAAAAAAGTTGATGAGATGTTAGAAGAAAAGGTAATGAGTAGAACTGGACACAGCTGAAAAAATTTTTTTTAATAATTCGTATAAAATTTTGGAGATCCATCCGACCCTAAATATAGCTATATCGTATTTATTCGAACTGAATGAATTCCATCTATTTTTAATTCCCTAAAAGGGCATTCGATTGGAAGGTCAGTTAATTATAAATTTCAAGGAATCTGCTACTTCGTCGGTTAGAGAAAACTACTTGGAATTGATAAATATAATTATAAAATGCAAAACATTTATGATAAATTTACATACAAACGGCTCAGAAGGCTCTTTGATTGATATTTACTCTTTTATGGAAAAAGCATCCTCTTTAAACTACAAGGAATCATTGTTTAATTTTACCGCAATAAATGTGTTGAAATTTATTTTTAATTTATCAAAAATACAAAGTAAAGAAATGGATAAAGCTATTAATGAAGAAATCTACAAGCAGCATTTGAAAAACAAAAAATTGAGAAAAGAATATAAAAATGTAATTGTGGAGAGTGAAGGTCTAGTTGGTTTATATGCTGCCTTCGAACTCTTTATGGGTATTTTAATTATTTTTGAAAAAATTAATTACTTTTAGAGGGAATGAATGTAACTCTTGTAAATAATCGTTCTGAAGATTACACACGAAATCGAGATATATTTTTTGATCGAAAATGGATGCCACAATTACGTCTAATTTTGGGGACTGAATTTAATATATTATTTTTTGCGAATAAAAAAGGAAAGAGATCATTGGGAGGAATTCCTGCTGAAAACGATGTGCTTGTTAAAATAAAAAATTTGGAAAATGTTTTGAAAGAGCGGTTAAAAAATTTATCAAATTATATAAATAAAAGAGAAGACGAAAGAATAAATCAGGAAATTCAACATGATATTACAGAGGAAATTCAACAAGAAAATCAAAAAGGAAAATCATTTTTGAATTTGATCTATAATACAACAGTCTTGGACATAAATACAGACTATGAAAAGCCTTTGGCCATCCTTGTTACTCCAGTGAATCGTCCTCAATCCTTTGATTTTGGACATTTAAAGCAAATATTAACAAATTATGAAGGGATGACAATGTTTGAATTAAATAAAATAATAAGAATTCCTTTTGATTTGATTTTCTGTGATTTTATTAAACAAATTAAATATGGTGCTGCTATTCTCAACAAAAAACATAACAAAAAAATTTTCAAAGAAAATCAGCAGAAAATGTCTTTTAAAACAGATTCGATTGATAGCAGTTTACACATTTTAAACGATTTGATTAGAAATAAATTTTTCCTTACTCAAAAAATTAGAAATCGTTATTATTATATGGATCTCTTGATTCACTATGATATGGAAGAAATAATAGATAATTCTCAAATTCCTTTGACTAGAACGGGTAAAATTTATAAAACAAACTCAGATGGAAGACTTTGGTATAATAATCATCCCAGAAATGGTGAAAATATTTCTGTCCAAATATTTGAGACAAAGACAAAAATACAAATTGAATCAGATATACCTATGGCAATTGTTGAATTTATTGAGGAAGTTAAAAATGAAAGAGAGGAATTGGAAGAGATGAATGAAGCGGATGTTAAGAAAAGATGGTATGAAGTAATTATTGAAGAAGTAAAATATAAACATAATAATGAAGTTGGTGAGAAATTAAGACAGATAGAAACAAAATACGGAGGTAAAGGATTAAAATATGAAATCTATAAGTTCAAAGTAATAAATAAGATGCAAAACGAACAGAATAAAATATTGGAAGAAAAGATTAAGAATATAAAAATCGAAAATGATAAATTATTTGAAAAAGGGCTATTAAACATTGAAGAAGAACATGAAAAGTTGTTGAAAAAATATGACGATTTTATTGTTGAATTAAAAGAAAGATGGTTTATAGCCGTCTTTTATCATGTACTTAAATACAAAAGTGAAGGCAAAAAGAAGGTGACAATAGAATTAAGTAGAGAAAAAGAAGGGGAAGCAAGTAGTAGTAATATTGCAGCAAACGAGGAAGAACAAGACGAACATATTCTTTATTTTGACAAAAACAGTTTAATTAGAAAGACATTTGTGAAAAAAATTTATGGAAAAGAAGATAATGTAGTTAAAGACAAAAGAGATTCAGGAATTCTTGTGAGTATAAACGATGAAAATACTACAGACAAGATAAATGGAGGTAAGTTTTTTCAACATAAAATGAGCGAGATAGATACGCATTCCGACGTTTCACATTTCTGGGCACGGTATCCGGTATTCTTTCATGTTGTACAGGGTATCAAGCCCGGAAACGAAATCCGACTTTTGAATTTTTGTACGTGAAATATCACCCCAAAGGTAATACTTCTAATTTTGAATTTTACTTGTTCTTGTCTTTTGGTTGATACTACCTCGGAGCACTATGTAGTAATGATGCTCGGGTATCCCGACTTCCGACTCGGGAATATTTCCCGAGTTTTTGGCCTCCCGATCCCGACTCCCGGTGTCAATTCCCAACTAAGTCGGGAAATTTTTACACCCCTAAGTATGGATTTTTTTGATTAAATTTTATTTTTGAAAGGAAAAAATAAAGGGAAAAAATAAAAAAGGTAAAGGGAAAATAAAAAATACAACATTTTTCCAAGATACCTAACTATGTGGAACGATGGTTGAGTGGTTAGGGTGTGAATTCACTCATTCTGATGGGGCTGGGTTCGAATCCAGGGTTGTGAAATGTGAGTTAAATAAATTTTAATCCCCAAAATAAATATTTCTTGACCTTGATTTTGATTTTAAAATTGCAAATTTATTTTTTTAATATTAGTAAACGTGAAAAAACTAGAAAAATTAATTCAGTCTCGAATTTTCAAAAATTATATTTTTAAAATCTGGCCTCTTAGTATTCAAATTTTTCTAAATTTTTGCCTGCAGCGCAGAAAAAGGATGAAATATAACTCATTGGCTTCCAATTCTCAGAATTTTCGCCTCCGGCGGTAAATAAAAGAAGTCTGGATCTTAGACTTCCAAACTAAGAAATTTTCGCTTGCGGCGCAGACAAAGAATTTTAGATTAAGAGGGATATCGAAAGATTAAAGGGTGAAAAGTTCGATTGAATATGTGAAAAGTTCCCTGCAATAGTTCGGTTTTCGGATACAAGGTGAAAAGTTTAATGGAATAGGGCGGGAAATGACTCCCGAGGTCATTTCCCGACCCGACTCCCGTTTCCCGAGTTTTTTTCCTCCCGAGTATCACTACTATGTAGTCAAGTCTGTGCCGATTGACTATAAGACGTGAAGCATACATATTAAGATTTTTATTTAAACTTTTCAAAGGTTTGCTCGAGGTTGAGAAAGCAGTTTCAGCAATCAAAAAATATAATAAAAGCGGCGAACAAATGGATTTAACAGAAATGTTAGTGGAAGCGTTGAAAAAAACTGAGTTAAATTAAAAGTTGTATAAAAGGAAATTAAAAAATTAAAAAAATTGTGTGATATTTTTCAATCACTAAAAAATTATATTTTTCAATCACTAAAAAAGTGTGCAATATTTTTCAATCACTCTCTAGGGGGCCATTCTATTAGAGGGGGCCATTCAAATGTAGGGGGCCATTCTATTTTTCGATCATCCTCCAAGGGGACATTCTATTAGAGGGGGCCATTCAGATGGAGACCAGAGCTGGGCGAAAATGAAATTTTTCACTCAACGAAACGAAAACTAGCTATTATTACTGAATTTAGTTTAATGGATTTTCCACTTTTAAACATTTTTTGATATAAAATAATATTTTCCCCATATCGATTTTGTATCTATCTAACATAATGTTTTTAAATTTGTAACTAAAATTTTATACAAATCTAATAATAATGCTTATAAAAAATAGTTTTTAAAAACGGTTGTCGGTAGGGTAGTTCAAGGTTAAAAAATATACAAGGGATTGGACATGGATGATATTTTAATCAGCATTTGGAATGAATATTTACAGGGGGCAATAATTAAATTTTTTTGATAAATAACGTATGTGATATCTTTGGGTGAAGGACAAAACACACTCCATCCAAAATATAAGTACATAAAATTAAAAAACACTGTCCACTTTTTCAATATTAAATTAGATTCATTTCGATATATGTTATCTTAATATCCTTACGTATATTGTTTCTTGTTTAGTAACTACATTACTATCTCTAAAATTTTTAGTTTTATCTAATGTATCGGACCGATGGAATATGTTTTGCCCTACACGGATATTTTTTTAAATGTTTGCTTTAAAAATTAAATAAAAAATAATCGTTTAGTTTGGCTTAATAAATGTTTTTCTTTCTTTTTTTTTGTTTTTTTAATCTGTCTTTTATAAATTTACATTTTTTACATTCTTCGATTCTTCTTTTTTTTAATACTTTTTAATTTATCTCAGGTTTCTTCAAAACTTTCATTAACATTTCTGCTAAATCATTTTGTTCACTATTTCTATTGTATTCTTTAATAGCAGAAACTGTTTTCTCAACTTCGATCAAACCTTTAAAAATTTAAAACAAAAATTTTAATTGAGCTATCCGCTTTTGTATGACGAAAAATTTTAATAGTCAATTGACAGTCCCGACTAGTGCTTCGCAAATACATGGTTATTTAATCGGTACTTTATGGATATGTCACCCCTCCTATTTTGAGTCTCAGAGTTAGCCTTATGCGTAGAAAATGGTCAGAAATTATTTTCTTCTCCATGTCAATCATTTTTTCTTCTTCAAGTATTTCGCTTTTTTATTTGCCTTTTCACATATTTTTGAATTTTGTACTTACATTTCACTCATTTCGTTTCCACATTTCACTTATCTTGCTTGAAGAAAAAATGATTGACATGGAGAAGAAAATACATAATCTCTGACCATTTTCTACGCATAAGGAAAACTCTGAGACTCAAAATAGGAGGGGGTGACATATCCATAAAGTACCATTTAATCTTATTTATGTAGTTGTCTTTAGAAAACTTGCCTTCATTCACTTCAAATATATTTTTATCGTTTAAATTCACAAAAATCGCCGAATCCTTTTTTTCTTTATGCAATTTTATTGCATTTTCTTTTCCATAAATGTGTAGCAAAAATGGTTTACCAATTAGACTGTTTTTGTCAAAATAAAGAAAATGTTCCTCTTCTTCATCTTTAATTGTTTTAGTGCTAGTACATGCTTCTTCTTTTTCTTCGTTTTCCTTACTTAATTCAATTATCACACTATTTTTATTTCCACATTTTAATACTTCATCAGGTAAATGATAAAAAAGAGCTCTAAACCATCTTTCTTTTAATCCAACAATAAAATCATTATATTTCTCCAACATTTCCTTACGTTTATTTTCCAAATTTTCTTTCAAAATTTTTTCATTCTCAGCTTTTATCTTTTCCAATTTTTCTTCCCATATCTTCTTTTGTTCATTTTCTATCATGTCTAACTTTTCATCCAATTCTTTATAGTTCTTGTCTTTAATTTCTATATTTTTCGCCATTTTATCTCTTTCGTTTATTTTTTCTTTCAATTCTATCGACACCTCTAAACTTTCAAGTTTGTTTTCCAATAATTTAATTTCCTTCTCTATTTTCTTATATTTATCAAATAATTTCAATTCTTCTTTTATTTTTTTATTTTCTTCAATATTTATTTTTTTATTTCACCTTTCTTATATTTGTCGTTTAATTGATGTAGTTCTTCTAGCAACCTTTTATCATTATCGATTTCTATATTCTTGATTTCTTCACTGCCATTAATCATCTCATATCTATTGCTTATTCCTTCATAGTGATATTTGTGTTTAGACATGTTGGGTTTTTTTGAAGTATCCTTGTGTAATATCATTTCAGATATTTTACTAAATTTTCCTTTTCGTTCTTTATTGTTTCCCATTTTTATATCTTTTATCTCTTCAAATATTTCATCTATCTTGTCCACTTTTTCTTTTAATTCTTTAGACTCCTTTAAATCTTTGCGTATGTTTTTCAATTCTTTTAGTTCTTTTTCAATTTTCTCATATTTTATATTTAATTCTTTCAAGTCTTTAAAAATCTCGTATTTTTCACTTCTTATCACTTTTAATCTTTGGGCAACATCCTCATCATGATTATATTTTAACTCGTCGATTATTGCTTCATTCCATCTCTTTTTAAATTCCGCTTCGTTCATCTCTTCCAATTCCTCTCTTTCATTTTTAACTTCTTCAATTAATTCAACACTTGCCACGGGTATATCTGATTCAATTTGTATTCCTGTCTTTGTCTCAAATATTTGGGCAGAAATATTTACACCTTTCCCTCGATGATTCTTAAACCAAAGGCTTCCATCCTGGAATGTTTTATAAACTTTGCCTGTTCTAGTCAACGAACTTTGAGAATTATTTTTTACCAAAGTCATGCCAAAACAAATCAACATAACTATATTATAGTAACGTGTTCTAATTTTTTGAGAAAGGAAAAATGATATATTAAGCAATTTTCCTAAATTTTCGAATAAAATATTCAAACTCATTTTTATATTTATGGAGAATTTACTTTCCTTGTATATACTTTTGTTGTGATCTTTTTTGTTGATGATAACAACACCATATTTCATTTGTTTTGTAAAATCACAGAAAAATAAGTCAAATGGAATTTCATCATTCCTTATTTCATCAAATTTATCTAAAATAGCCATTGGCTGCTCATTCACATTATTAATATCCAAGACATGTTTATCACTTATAAATTTCAAAACCGAATTTTGCCCTTTTTCCTGTACAAAAATTGACAAAACGTTTAAACGTTCTTCTAGCGCATATTCAAAATTTTTTAGCTTTAGAACAATTTCATTATCAGCCAATTTTATTAACGAATCTTCTTTTTCAAGAAATAATTTATCAAATTCAGTAGCCAATATGAAACGAATTTTTGACAAAAATTTATTGTTAAGATGTATTTTATCGTCTAGAATGTTAGAGTATCCACTCACTGTAGTTACATTCATTCCTTCTAAAAATTAAAATTATAGACTCTTTATAAAAGATCAGTGTTAAGCAGAATACAGACTAGGCAATGCAGACTCCCAGGACCTGCAAAATTTATTAAAATACCCATAAAGAGTTCGAAGGCAGCATATAAACCAACTAGACCTTCACTCTCCACAATTACATTTTTATATTCTTTTCTCAATTTCTCTTTATTTTCCAAATGCTGCTTGTAGATTTCTTCATTAATAGCTTTATCCATTTCTTTACTTTGTATTTTTGATAAATTAAAAATAAATTTCAACACATTTATTGCGGTAAAATTAAACAATGATTCCTTGTAGTTTAAAGAGGATGCTTTTTCCATAAAAGAGTAAATATCAATCAAAGAGCCTTCTGAGCCGTTTGTATGTAAATTTATCATAAATGTTTTGCATTTTATAATTATATTTATCAATTCCAAGTAGTTTTCTCTAACCGACGAAGTAGCAGATTCCTTGAAATTTATAATTAACTGACACTACATAGAATGCCCTTTTAGGGAATTAAAAATAGATGGAATTCATTCATTAGCTATATTTAGGGTCGGATGGATTTCCAAAATTTTATACGAATTATTTAAAAAAATTTTTTCTCAGCTATGTGTCCAGTTCTACTCATTACCTTTTCTTCTAACATCTCACCAACATTTTTACTATTTTTTACAATTTCATCATATTTTTTTAATTCATTAGCAATAACATCTGTTTCATCAAGAGATATATTAATATTTTTTAAAGTTAGTTGAGCAAATTGGGCAACTTTATTTACAAGTCTTTCAAAAGCTTTATTAAATGTCTCGAAAAGGGTTTTATACTCCACATTTCCTTCAAGATATTTATATTCCTCGAATTTAATTGAATCAGTTGAGTATACACCTCCACGAGGCATTCCAGTTGAATTATCTATCTCAGCAATTTGTTCTAAGCGTTTAATGCGACTTTCTTTTAACACTCCATCTATAAAAATGAATTAAAATATTTCTAAAAACAACTTATATCTATATTAAGTTTGCTTCCAGAAAAACATATCTCTCGAGTATCGTGTACACAACCGGTTTTTAAATACTCATACCTTCATCAAAGTTGTTCCCAGCTGCGACAACATCAAAATTCGATACGAGAATCAAAGCAAAAATTGACAACAATTTTAATTTTACCCGCATTTCTCTTTTAAATGAATGATTTCTATAGCTTTTTAAATTTTTTAAATTAGATTTTTAATTTAAATTTTTAAATGAATAAGTTGAGGGGGATTCAATCTGGTTTTATATGAATAGTCACTCTCTTTGTCATTTAAACATCTATATATAATCTAGGGCTGATCGAAATTTCGTCCCTAGTTTCGCACCTTAGTCTTTTAAAGGCAAATTAAAATATTTTATTTCGTCTCTTTTAAAGAAACTTATTCTTAAACAAAAAAATGAATATTATTTCAGAAATTATTGTAAAAGCTTTGTCATATTTTTTAATTTTTTTAAACATTTTGTAAAAAATACTTTTTCCGGAACGTCCCACTTGTGTACCGGCCGTTTGTGTACCTGGCCATATTTTGGGCTATAACTTTTTTGATTCTTAACCGACTTAAATTATTATTATATCAATTGAAAGCCCTGGATGTGAGGATTATTTTCGCCAACAGGATTGATTTGATCAGATCAAGTTATAAAAAGTTATATCTCGATAAATGCGCTCAATCGTGATTTTGATCTTTATCTGTCTGTAACTTTTTGTATGATGATCCGATCAAATCCATTCTGTTGGCGAAAATAATCCTCACATCCAGGGCTTTCAATTGATATATTATTTATTTAAATCAATTAAGAATTGAAAAAGTTATGGCCCAAAATATGGCCAGGTACACAAACGGCCGGTACACAATGATCCCCCGCCCACTTTTTCCGAGTAAACTTTTACGATTTAAATTCGCTTCGAGATTTGAAACCGGGTTTTTCGAATATTTAATTTGCTTAATTTCGATTCGAATTTATTTATTATCCCACCCCTGATCATGATTATATGCCCTCTATTTATTACTTATAATTGCTTATTTGCCCTTATGATTATTTCTCTCAATGTAAAACACGTTGATAGGCAATAGCGCTAGGCAGAGGGCATTTTTGAGAATTTTGCCTTTCAAAATCTTTAATCGTCTTGAGTCTCAGCAATTCCGCATTTTTTCCTTTCCAACTCCGCGTACCGTCTGCGGGTTTTTATTTTGTTATGTTTTCTGCGTTCGGATGTGTTTTAGTCGAGGACCCACTCAGAAAATTTTCGAATCAATGTCATCGATTTGTCTCAGCCAGCTGAGTTGACGGTACCACTCTCTAGAGCGAAATGCCTGTAAACCGAGATATAGGTACCAGTGCAATCAGAATGAGTTTTAATGGAGCTACAAAAACTGCAACGGCAAATGTCAAATAATCATCCGGAGAGGAAAATGACAGTCTTGATACAACTGGAGAGACTGTATCAACAATTAATTAGAGGATGAAATACCGCAAAACGAATTTTCTAAAAATTTACAGTATTTTGGCAGGATTTTGGGCAATTTTCGCAATATTTATCCCGAAAACTCCAAAATGCATTATTAAAGCCGGTCAAAGGCGACTGGCACCCAATTAGCCGCGCCAAGTTGGCCCGTTCCTAGGACATTAAGCAAGATAATAAAAGTCATAACACGTTAAAACACATTTTGTAACCTAGTCTTTTTTGGGTAAATAAAAGAATTAACTAAATATATTTATCAAAACTTGGCTTTTGTGCAAAATTTGTGTAAAAAAATTTTATAGCGAAAAAAAATTATAGACATAATAAAATTTATTTTTCAATTTTTTATTCTTCCTTCTTTCCTCCTCCTCCTCCACTTCTTTTTCCCCCTCTAATTGAATTATTAATTATTTCAATATTTAAATAAATATAAAAATAAATAAAATTCAAAAAGCAGCACAAAGCATTTAATAACGAAAATAAATCTGGATATAATTTTGGTGGTGAAATAAATAAATTTGCCAAATTAATTGATATAAGGAGAAGAAAAGATGTCCAATTAATTAAATTTTCCTTTGAAAAAAATTTTTTTAATTAAAATTAATTTAAAGGGATCAACTCAGAAGGTCAACTCCTATGAGGTCTACACCTTAGTGGTCAACTGACTCTGGAGGTCAACTCCAAATATTAGGACGGATAAAGGGGACTCCAGATCAGGAATACGTTGACCTGCCCATTTTTGCCTTATCTGATAGTTGCACGAGATAATTTCCGTCTTCAGTCTCTTAATCCACCTTAACCCCAATAAATCCTCCTAATCCCAACAATCCCCTTTAATCCATCCAAATCCCCCTTAAACCGCACAAAACCTTCTTTATCCGCCCTAATATTTGGAATTGTCTTCCAGGTTTAGCCGACCACTGAGAGTATTGCCCTCCTGTAAGTTGAACTGCTGGGCTGTTTCAAATTTAAATTACCATTATTTTCGTTTTATTCTCTTCTTTAACCAAATTTAATTTTTTTGCCCTTTCCTTTTCCATCCAAACATTAAATAAATGATAAAAAATAAAAAAGGGCAACATTTCTGGCACTCCATCCTTGATACACAATTGATATAAACTTAAAATTGATAAATTTTAGAAATCAAAAAAAGTTCTATTTAGGCAATAAAATGCTAAATAAATTAATTTTGAACGTTCACAATTACCAATTAATTTAAAGTAATTATTTTCCCAAAATATTTTGAATAAATTTTTGACGAGGAAAGTTTTTGACAAGAAAATTTTTTTGAAAAAAGAATTTTGAAAATATTTTTTGCCAAAAAAATGATTAATTTTTAGACAAAAAATTTCTCTAAAAATGCATCACAAATTTTAGTAAAAATATATATAATTTCCCGAAAATATGCACGTTTTACAAACACTCAAAAAAATTTAATATTTTATCAAATAATTTAAAAAAATTCACCTAAAACAACAAGTTGATAGCAAAATTCCCATAGAATTGCCTAAAGTTTTGTCATCCAAAAGTAAAAGAGCTGGACTTAAAAAATAATTTTAATTAAATAAAAAATATTTTTTTCAAATTCCCCCTTACATTCCAACCAACAAAATTGACTTTTCGTGTACTTGAAATGAAAATAAATAAAAGCTGAGAGAACAAATAATTAAAGAAAGCCGAAAATTACGTCCATTAGGTTTTGATAAAAGACAATATAATGAAGGTAAACATGTTGATAAGACTAATAATGAACTGGAAAAAATTGAGGGAAATTTTTAAAAAATAAATTTAATTTGGAATTTTAAGCAGATTTGAGTATTTGTTGACATTTAAAAATTTTGAACATTTCAAGTTTTACAATTAAAGTTGTCACGACCGGTTTTTGGTTAATCCAAATTTTAAAAATCGGTTTTCGGTTTTGAGTTTTAGACGAATAAAGGTTTTATTTTGGGGGAATTTTTAATAAAATCACTCATTTTTACAAATTTTCGGTTCTTAAAATTTTCTAAAAACGGTTAATTTTTGTCAAAAAAAATCAAAATTTTCGGTTTTAAACCCTATTTACAGTGTTTAGAATTTTTAATTAAAAATTTTTTTAAATAATCCCCAATTCGAAAAATCAATTTTCACAAAATTTGCATTTTAAATTTTTAAAAATTGACGTTTTGAAATATTAAAAACTACCTAATTTTAATTAATTTTTCAACCGAATAAATTTGTTTAAATTTAATAAAAATAGAAGCACAACACCAAAAATTGGCAACTTTATCCTTAAAAATAAAAAATAATTTTTTTCTTTAAAATTAAAAAAAACCTCAAAAAGTCCTCTATAAAAGGGAAATAATCTTTTCAAAACTTGTAAAGCCACAGAAGGACTTGGCAGCAAAAAGGGAACCCACAAAATGAAAAAAGTATCAAAAACAACAAAAGCCAGCTTTGACAGATTTGAAATACTTTAAATTAAAAAAAAAATAATTTTTGACAATTTTTAAATTTGCAGTTAAAAATAATCCCCGATTTCAAAAAAAAAATTTAAAATTAAAAAAATCTTCTTCTACCTTTCCACAATTGCTGCAAAAATACTTTGGCCCCTTTTAAAGCTTCTAGAAAACAAAAAAACGGCAACAGGCAAAGCATGGTATAACTAAAATTGTAAATGATAAAAATTGAAATTTTTAAGGTTTGTGGGCATTTTGATGAATGACAGAAAAAAAGTTTTCGAAAATTTTTAGTCAAGAATATAACCAAATTTTAGGTCAATAATATATTTTTTATTTTTGACCATTTCGAAGTTTGACCATTTTTAAATAAATTTTTAATTTAAAAAATCAACCTCCATTTGTTTATGATTTAATGCCAAAACAAAAAGTATAGAACCCAAAAATAATCGGCCTTTATCAAAAGCAAGAATTGCCCACAAAAATAATCCGAGAGATAAATGGTTGTATTGAAAATGGGCACAATCAATAAATAAAAGTCCAGGAAAAAGTAAAACTTGGGCTAAATGAAGGAATGACTGAAAAATAAATTTTAAAAATTTTAAAAATATTTTTCTGTTCAAAATTGGCTCTAAAATCCTTTTAAAATAATTTCTCTGGTTTAGTTGGAAAATCCTTAGTTTCCTCCACTAAAGGGGTTGAAGGTTCGAATCCCAATTAGGGAAATTAAGTTGTAAATTAAAATTTAAATAAAAAATAGTAAAAAAAATGAATTTTAAAGTGTTAAAAATTTTCTTTAATTTTTAAAAAATTTTTTCTTACAATTTTATTTTGCTTCCCCTCATTTTGAATAACCAACAAAATTAAAGCTGGCGCATAAATTAACATTAAAGTAATAATAACACTAAATCTCATAAATAATTTAAGTTCAATTTGTTCGATTCCTCTAGATTTGTCTAATTCTACCCAACTTGAATTGAATTTTTGGGAACTTAAAAGATTGTTTTTTTAATTTTTAAAAAATCAAAAAAAAATTTTTTTACATTTTCCCCAAAATCCAAGAATGGTAAGCAGTCAAAACAGGATCTTAATAAATAAATTATTTAATTTAAAAAAAAAATTAAGAAGAAAACTCACAATCTAACCCCCAATAGTCCAAATCGTAAAAATACCTAAAAAATATAAATATTAATGAATTTATCAAAATATTCGTAGGGGCCCTCTCCCCCTTCCCATATTCCAAAAAATCACAAGCGAAATGAAAAGAGCATATTTTTAGAAAAAAATTAAAAATATAATTATTTTTAAAAAAATCCCCCAACCCTTACTAACCCCGATATCCCTCCAAAATCCCAATTATTAGTTAAAAAATTAAAAACCATTTAGAAATAGGCAAATTAACTGTTACTTCCATCCAGTGCCTTTGCGCTTCAAAATCACCATAAATTATCGGCTTATTGTAACCTTTAGAAATTTTAAATGAATTATTATCAAAGTTTCAAATTAATTTTCGCTCTTAAATTAATAAAAGCAATATTTTGGTGTAGTTGGAAAATGTTTGGTTTCCTCTAATTAAAGTTCGAACCTCAGGCAGGGAAATTAATTTTTTTAATTTAATTTTTTAAATTATTTAAATGAAAAATACTAAAAAAATAGATTTAAGAGTTAAAAATCAACAAAAATTTTTTGAAACTATTAATAGGTATGTATATCTTTTATGTATTCGAAAATGTTTACAATTAGTTTCCTACAAAAAATGGTTAAAGGTTCGAACCCATGCTGTGGAAATAAAAGTTTTTAAATTTGTGGAAAATTAAAAAAAATTTTCTGCCAAAAAACATTTTTTTCCAATTTTCTAAAAATATTTTAACAAAAACAAACCAGAATATCCACAAACAGCCAAGCAGCTAGCAACAACAAATAAAAGAGCCAAACAACTCAAAATAATTATTTTATCTTCCCTCTTTTTGTACAATCCAATAGAAAAATGATTACAAACTTTTAATTTGTCTTCATGATCTGTTGGATTATCACACTAAAAATTTAAAAAAATTTTTAATTAAAAAAATAAAAAAAAATAAACCGTATCAACTTTAACAAATTCAACAAGCATATCTTCCTGTTTCTCTATCAAAAAATTTTTTTAAGGAAAAATTTAAAGCAAAAACAAAAAATAAAAATAAATAAAAAAAATATAATTTAAAATATTAAATTAAAATTAAAAAAAATTTTTATTTTCCAATTATTAATTAAATGCTTTATTTATTTTTAATAAAAATAAAATTATAATATAAAATCACAAAATATTTAAAAAAAATATAAACGGACAAAGAAGGGGAGGGAAAATCCAGAAAAACTCAAAAATGTTTTTTTAATTAATAAAAATTAAAAAAATTTTTTTTGAATTTCTGGATTTTATTTTTAAAAAATTTTTTGAAAGGCATTTCTAAAAAAATAAAATTAATGGCATAATTATTATTTAAGTAATTTATTTAAAAAATGAAAGGCTTATATTCAATCTAAAATATAATTTTTCTTTTTAATTTCAAAAGAAATTCCAAAAAAAAATTCTCTAAAAATTAAATCAAAGCCTTTCGAGTAGAGGACGAACCGAGAGGGTTGACGAGATTGAAAAATCATGAAAAAATCCTTCGACGATAAATGTCCGCAAAAATTTTTTTAATTAAAATTCAAATAACATCTCGGTTAGTTCTCTACTTAAGAGAATATTTTCAAATAAAATATCACAAACAAACAAATATTTCCAACTTAATCTCTATCTTTTTTGGTTAATCTTTTTAATTTTTGTAAACGTGAAGATAATGAAGGTATTAAACGTAGAATTTTATAAATTTGTTTAGCTAAAGGATAAATAGCAGGAAATGATTGGTTGGAGTTATAATAGGCAATTAATTCCAATAATTGAATTCCAGCAGAATATAAGGGTTCTGAAGAATTAAAAATTTTGGCGGTCAAATTTTTTTATGCGTCCAATCAAAATAAAATTGAAATTTTCTTGACAAATAATTAATTCATGTTCGGGACCTTCACCCACATAGATCTGTAACAATTCCTTACCCTATTCCTCAAAATTTCTAAAAGTTAAAATCGTTTTTCTGAAATTTTTAAAAATTGGCTAACTATTTCAAAAATTTCGAGCGAGTGTACGGAACGGTCCTAGACACAGTGGGCGTAGGTCCCGAACATGAACAAATGTTTTGGTTGATTGGTCATTAGACGTATAAACTAGACCAGCGACCAAAAGTTTCTGACGTTGACCTCCGCAAATCGAATTTAAAAGAAATACCGTTGTCCATTAAATTTTCTTTTCCAACAAATTCATTTCCAATTAAATCCACAATCTTTTGAATATTATTAAAAATTAAATTATCAATATTTTGTGTTGTTTGTTGTTGGTTTTTTAGAATAAATAAAAATTGTAAACATTTGTTTAATAAAATAATTCGATTTAAATGGAAAGTTGTTGTTGAAATATTTTTTGAAGAAAAATCTTCTTCTTGGAATTGAAAACTAAAATATAAGGAAATTAATTATACATAAATTTTTGCTAAAAAATATTTACAAAAAAGTTTTTCAAAAAAATCTAAGTTTTCATTATCAATGTCCGCAAATTTTGTCCGCAAAAAATTTTTTTAAACTTAATTTACAATTTAACACAAATTTGAAAATAAAAGTAAAAATTATGTATTTATGTAAATAACTAAAATAAATATCGAAATTCAAGAGTGAAAAATTTTGCTAAACTCATTCGACTCATATAGGCTCGAATAAATGCGCCGAATGTTTTCAAAAAAATCGTTCGTTTTAACTTTATAAAAAGAACTTTTGGACCACTAGGGTGGGGGACAGCAAGCAGAACCGATATAAACAATAAATTAAAAAACAATCTGCTGACAAAAATTATGTTATTGAAAAATTAAAAAACCTGATCAACCAATGCAGAAAAGAATCAAAATATTTAAAAGGAATTACTCGGCTTTCAACATCATTATTTTCCTCTTCATCATCATAATCCTCCATTTCCGGAATAATTAATAAAAGTGAAAGAAATTGAGCTACAATTTGTGAAAATTTTGAATTAAAAAATGAACACGATTGAATGTGAGTAAATTGTTCCAATGAAAAATTGAGAAAAGCAACTACCTATAAATAAATTAGAAATTATTTAAAAGTAAATACTGCCAAAAATAATTAAAAAAAACTTAATGTTAGATCGTAAAGGAACATTATAAAGTCGATACAAACCATTTCCAACTAGATACGAGTAGAGACCGGACCTCGATAGAAAACCTCGGTTCAAGGTATCGATTCTCATACGACACTCCCAGTTCTGTCTCTAATCACGAGTGCATTCAAATTTTTTAAATCAAATACTCAGAAAAAAATTAAAAAATAACACAAACGTGAATAAAATCTAAAGCAACCAAAGCAATATGAGCAGATTGAATAGAAAGTTCAATACGATCAAGAGGATCAGATAAAGATGGAATGCTAAAATTAAGAAAATATTTTTGTGTAAAAGTCTCTTTTGTTATCCTTTGTCGTCTTATGAAAAAATGTCAGAAACTTTTTATCCGCAAGCCTCACCCTTATTGTGATTGTAACACGTCTTTTTATTCAAATTGCGGACAAAAAATTTCCTCCGTAATTTTACAAAAAATCCAAGTTCCATCCTAAACCTCTTCCAAAACCCCCCAAAAATAAGTAAATAAACATATACCTAACAAATAAATTAGCCAAACATCCTTGTAAAAACGCCGCTCTAGACGACGAAAACTTTACTTTTCTTGTAATATTCAATGTTAATGATTGCACTTGTTTAATAGTCCAACGTTGAATTAAATCCCAATTTGGAAAATTAGCTCTACAATCAACCAAAAAATTTAAACATTGTTCTGGATCGTCTTCAACTTGTAAAGATATTCTATCCAATGCAAAACAAATTAATTTTGTATTTTCTAAAATTTGTTCTAAAGGAGCGCTAAGTTCCAAGGAATCATGTAAAAGTTGACAAACAGAAAAAATCTTTAAAGAGAAAAAATAAAAAGTTATTAAAATGGTTGTGGTCCTTCAAACCCGTTCTCAAAGTTTCAAGCGAGTTTTCCTCTCAGTCAACCTTATTCGAATTTAGACAATCTTAAAGAAAAATCCAATAAGGAAATAAAAATGAATAAAAATTCCTTATTCAGATAAGGAGTAGAAAATAACTTGCATAAGACTTTGAGAACGATTTTAAAGGAATACTGTTAGTTATTTTTCTCTATGCTTTGAAAAATCTGAAACTTTATCCGCAAGTAAAACCCTTTACTTAATCATTTTTTATCTGTATTTGTTTTATCGTAAAATAAGTATATTTTGAAAACAGCATTTAGAAATTTTTTAAAAAATTAGTCTTGATCTTATGACTTCAAAATAATCCCCCTTTCTTCATAAAAATTTCCAAACCCTTCAAACAAATTCCAAAAAAATAATTTTTACAAAAAATTACAAAACCTGATAAGCATCACTGACATTCTTAAATTCTCCAATTAAATGCCTTTTCACAATTCCATTCAAAACAACTTTGGCTGCTTCAATTCTTAACGAAGCTGGAGCAGCACGAAATATTACAAAGAATTTTGAAAAAATTTCTAATTCAAGTAAAGGTTTAATTTGAATAGATTGATTAAATATATTTGACCAAATTGAGAGTAATTGAGCAAAATGGGCTTCATACTGAAAATAATAAATTTTTTATTTTAATAAAAACTACATATTTAAAAAAAATTTCTGTGTTAAGGCAATCCAAACAATAACCAAAATAATTCTTGGAAACAAGAATAAAGGACAACAACTATTTATTTTTAGTTCCCAACGGAAAATGTTTAATCGATAGGCAAAATAACAAAAATCCGGGACCAGATTACTCCCCTTATTGTTAATATACAACAAAATATCACATTTGTCACACTTAAATGAAGGCACTTTGGACACCGAGTCGATCCTATCTGTGGTCAGTTAGTCGGCCTTGAGGGAAATCATATGTTCAATTTTATCGCTTCCATCTCCCCGTTATATCATAGATTTTGCGCTATAAGGAATTGGCTACTATCCCATCCTTCCTAGCGGAGGCATAACTAAATCCCTTGCATATAAACACGAAAAACATCTTAAAGGACAAGAATTGTATCTTTCTGAAAACAAAAACCTTACGAACGAAAAAACTTTAAACCTTGTCATGCTGCAATTTTCTAAAAATACTTTCAAGAATAACTTCAAGTTCATTTTTAGTAAAATGGCGAACAACAAATTGACACCAATAATCACAACAAGACAAATATTCTTTCGTTGAACCTAAGCGGAGAACACACCTAAAAAAGAATTTTCAGAAATAAAATTTTTTTAAATCAAACTTCCACGATGACCGCAATATCGGCTTCTTTGCAGCTCGAGGAACATCGATTTCGAGTAATCTAGAGCCTAGAGCACATAATTCTTCTCCTGTTACAATTTCGGAAGATACGACCTAAAAAGACGAAAAATTTCAAAAAAAAAATTCTAAAAATTTTCGCTTACAATTTTGCAAACTTCCAAAGAATATTCACCCAAATAGAGACGAGGCAAAGCATTTATTAGAGGAATTAAGACTATTGGGCGTTTATCTACTCTTTTACAATATTCCCACAATGGATGTAAATCTTCATATATAACAGCTCGATATGCTGCACATTGAATTATCCATTCCATTGCTGGCCATAAAAGTGAACACTAAAAATCAAAAAAATTTTAGGTCAAGACAAGAGATCCCGGTTCATGGATAGCCCTAAAGTTTTTGATTTTTTAAAAAGTATTGCTTCAAAATTTTGGTACCAAAAAACCCACTGAACGGTAATCTGATGTATTCAAAAAGGAAATCAATTCATTAGGAAATCGAATTAGACAGAAATTGGAACTTTATAGCTTTCCTAATTTATAGCAGGAATCTCGGGAAACCAAAACTTTTCTAAAAATGAAATTTAAAACCGGTGGTTGACTATCAAAAGTCTGCAACCAATCATTTAAACATTTCCAATGTGGCGCTTTATCTGTCGGTTGAATACGCATAGAAACACGGCACAAATAACAACGCAAATAAATTGAGACCAAAGGATGTTTGACTGCACTACTAATTGAATTACAAAGTTCCAAAGCATTTTGTTGAGCTGCTTGAGGCCATGGGTCCATGAAACGTTGACAGGGAAGAATTGCTGCTAACACTTGAAAAATTTAATTAAAAAAATATTTAAAAATTAACAAAAAAATACTATAAATTCGAGAAGAAACCAGTTTAACAATTTGGTTAATCTTTCCAAACCAATTTCTGGCCTTTAGACGAGTTCCTTCTGCAAAAAAATTTTGAAATAAAAAATTCCAATCCCCAAAAAATTCCAACTCATAAAATATCAAAAAAATATAAACCTAAAATATCGCCAATATTCCATTCTTCAGGCAAATCACCAAGTCCAGCCTTACTTTAAAAATAAATTTATTTTTTAACAAAAAAAACAAAACCTGCCTTCTTTCTTCCTGTGCACATTGCAGCAATCTTAACCAAACCAAACGACCAAAAAAATCAAGCAAATCAGTTATATAAACAAATTGGGCTGGGTAAAATTGCGCAGAACAAACTGTTTTTTCTGTTCCCAATTGACCCAATAATTCTGAGATTAACTAAAAATTTATAGATAAATTGACGTTTCGAGTCATGGACGTTTTTAAATAAATCTGTAGATTTTGAAATGTTCACAGCCTTTCTTATAGAAAGTAGTGGTGAAAAATCAGGAATTTTTATTATCTAAATAGACGAGAACTAGACTCACAATTAATTTCTGAACACCCAAAACTTAAATTTTCTAGAATAAATTCCAAAATTAATCCCCCAAAACCCCTACTTTTCTTAATTTTATAAGAATAAAAACCTTTATACAATCCAAACGTTTCTCTTCTCTCCACAAAGCCTTCAATCTAACACGTAATTCCCCCAATTTTCTACACCACTCTTCTTGTGTAAGTTCAACAAGTTTAAATGAATGTGATGCCTCTCCTTTTGAATTTTGTCTTTCAAAAAATTAATTTTAAAAAATAAAAAGCATTTAAAAACCTCTTATTTTTAGTAGAAATACTAGAAAGTAATAATTGTTTTTGACCAAATTTTGACGAATCAATTTTTTGTTCCCCAACTTCTGGTAAATGTAAAAATGAATTTTGAAGAGTCAATCGAGCATCAGTTTTAAACTGGAAAAATTTTATTAAAAACATGTAAGAATAAAAATTTTTGGAAGGAAGAACCTACTAAAATTACAAAAAAACCTTATAACGGGTAGTCTCATTATAAATTTATTAACACAAAAAATGCATAACCTTATCCAAAATTCGTTGTTTAATTTCCCTCCAATGACGAAATCCAACCAACATTTGGTCACTTTTCCAAAGCTCTTCATCCTCTTCTTGAATATTTGAATTTGTCAACAATGTATTATCCAAAGGACTGATTGCCTTTTCTTTTGGCAAATTGGATGTCTAAATTTGTTTTTTAAAAACTAGAAAAAATTGATAAAACCTTTGATGAAGAGGAAGCATTTATCTCAACAGAAAGAGGCGAAGCAGCACCAAGTGGGTCTAGAAACTTCTCCTTTCCATCGTCCTCCGAAGCCTTCTGTTGCTGTTGAAGTTTCTTATCCAAATGTTCAACAAGTTTTGATTTATGAAGGAGAGGGTGGACCAGAACAGGGCGAGCATCAGAACAAGGTAGACGTTGGAAATTGATCATTTGAAAAGAACTGTTTTAGGGAGAAAAAAAGCAAAAAATTATAACTAAAAAACAAAAAATATGAAGATAAATTAAAAAACTAAAAGACGCAGAAATTATAAAGTTAGCCCGTTTATCGAAAAATATCAAATAAATAAAACTTTTTTAAATAAAATAAAGCTCTAAGTAAAATAAATAAAACTTTTTTTGAGGTCAAATAAGGTCCTGAGATTAAGTTGAGCCATCTTCTCTTCTGATACATAATTAATCCGTCTTATCTTCAGTCTGAACCGTCTCCTGTTGAATGGATTTATCAAAATGGACTCCTTGAATACCTCCATCTCCTTCATTCCTGTCATTGTTTTGTTGGGACTAGAATTAAAACTTGTTACAGAATGAAAATATAAAAAAACATACACTATTATTTTGAGAACGTTGATTTGTCACAATAGGATCAGTCGTTTGCATAACTTTTAAATCAACGTCTTTAAACCATTTGTCAAGAATAAATAGAAGAACAGCAAACAAAATCACAATTAATATCACGACTACCAACGTTCCATCTATGATTGCAATTCGAGCTTTAAGTACTGCCGCATCCGAGATACTTTCAATCTCCTCCTTGTTAAGACTCTAGAAAATAAAAATATTAAAGATATTAAAACCTAGGTACTTATCGGTTATCTCCCTACACATTGTTTTCCTTTTTATTTCCCCTTCTCTTTCTTTCCATAAGTTACAAAAATGCCATTTTCTTTCCCTGTTTTCCCTCTTCTCCTTCCCAAAAGTAATGTGTGGGGAGATAACCGATAAGTACCAAAAACAAATTACGCTATTTCTCATTTTGGCCAGCAAGTCGTGATCGTATTCGGTATTCAACTAAAAATATTTAACCAGCTTTTTATATTACTAGAAACAAATATACTTGTACAATCTTTAGCAATGAAAATCCACCAATAAATAGAACGAGAATAAAGACCAGAAAGGAGATGACAATTTTGTTATCCACAATACACTAAAATGATAAAACCTGATAGATGAAATGTTAGATACCCGGGGATGTTTATTTTCGTCTACCTAACGCTACCCCTGAGTTAAACACTTCAGTTAAATCAATCTTTATTTGGATATTCAAAAATAACCTTTTTAATTTGATTAAATTGAATGCACATTTCTGTCAAAAAGGTTCCAACAATGCAATAGTAATTATTTGTTTAATACTAAAGAAAGATAAATCGATATTAAAAGAAAAACAAAATACAAAAAGAATTTAAACTTTAAAAATCAAAATTTATTGATTGAGATCCATTTATTCCAAATATTCATTGAAAAAGAAACAAAAATCAAACTCAAAAAATAAATTAAAAATAACAAATTTATTCCAGATCATTCTCAGTTTTAAAGAAAACATGTCAATAACTTGAAATCCCAGTAGAACCAAAGCCATTATCCCCACGGTCAGTTTCATCAAGATTAGTTACTTCAACAAGTTCTGGTCTAAAATTTTATGGAAATTAAGTAGATTTTAGATTCATAAAAATGCGGACAAGAAAAGTCGCAAGGACTTGGGACGTATCAGTATTCAAAGAATAAATAGAAAAACGTTAACTTTGTCATTCAACCCCAACCATAAAAATATTACAAAAAATACTTTATAAACGGCGTGCAAACAAGTTGAGCAATACGATCACCAACAGAGATCTTTGAAAAAAAATTTTTAAACAAAAAAATCAAAATTTTAAAAAACCTTAAAATCAGCATCCGAAAAATTGAAAAGCAAAACTTTAAGTTCTCCACGATAATCCGGATCGATTACACCAGCACCCACATCAATAAAGTTTTTTGAAGCAAGTCCAGAACGTGGAGCAATTCTGAAATTATTGAAAAATTAAAAATCTATTGAGTTTCAATTAGTCGAGTAGAAAGATGTGAGGCATTAACTCCTTTGTATAGGAAGGACCGGTACCCCAAACAAGTTTATGCGAAGTTAATTTTGTACTTCTAAAGGCCAGCCTAGACAAAATCTCGAAGAAAAATCTCTGTTATTGAGACAGCTATATTCCGAGATAACTATCTCTATCTTCGTACGACCCTCTCAATCCGGGCTTTACTTCCAATACTTTCCCCCTGCGACATTAATTCTTCAAAATATCTCCATTCCCAGTCAAGTTTCTCTACATAATCAAGGAAACATGATAGGAAAAGTGCATGGCCTTGATCCAACCAATAAATTTGTCCGCATAAACTGATTTGGATTACCACTTGGCGCTGCAAAATCTCTTAAAGAAATTCCGTGCCTCATAAAAGTCAACTTGTCTATATCAAATAGAATCCACAAAAATTAAAACAAAAAATATACCTTCCATAGTACCCCTCAGGCAGAGCGATTTGAATTCCAGTTGGCACCAAATACTTGCCTAAAATTAAGAAAGTAAACATTCCAAAGACCAAAAAAGAAATAAACCTTTAGCCGGAACAACACATTCCTCAGCACTATGTAAATCTGCACCAGCAGCACCTTCCGACCCAAAAACGGGTGCTAAAGCTTCTTTTTTAATTTTTTTGTAGCTAAGTTGACTCCTTCGTTCTTCATCCTCCAAGGCAGCAGCAACTACAGCTTCCAAGGACCCCATTCTAATTTTTAATAATAATTGGCTGTTATTTGTTGAAAGACCTTTGAAAAACAAAAAAAAATTATTTTTTTGTTGGAAGGACAAGAACTGAAGATAAAAATGTAGAGAAAATCAATAGACGAAAAAGGTAACGTACAGTTAAAGAGAAGCTTTGCTCTGTGGAAAAACATTCCTTAAAAAAAGTAAAAAAGAGAACAAAGTTTATGAGAGAATTCAAAAAATTGGAAATCCTAAATGGAAAAAATAATTTTAGACAAAACTTATTCAACAAATTTTCTCGTTCAAACAAGTCTAGAAATCCTCAACTACTAGAAAAACAACAAAAAACATTCAAATTTTCAAAAAAAAAACAAAAGAATTTCCAATTTTCTTCATTTCACTCACTTTCATCTCATAATTGCATTATCTCTCGAAAACAAAAGTGGTAACAACACATTTCGCCAATCTACGGAAAAAAAAACCATTTCGTCACAAATTAAGTAAAAGGACTGTTGAGTGCCGCTTATTGAGAGCAGTTATTTGCTAAAAATAAGCTTCTGGAATTTCTTGAGTAGAGAGGAGTCTCTCTTAACCTGTCAACGATTATTAAAGAAAAATACAAAATTGAAGAATATCTTCACCAATTGGGAGTGAACAAGCATTTTCAGTTAACCGGACTGTTGTGTTTGTTATCCACTACACCACGCTGTCTCCTGCCTAGGCTTTAGAAATTAAATACGTAGATTATATGCAAAAAGGTTGGTGGATTCGAAAAAGGGCCAGATATTTCGGTTGGATATCTGAAGATCTCCTCCAACTTTAATATCCACTCAACTTTCAATCATTATTAACAAATATTTTAAAATGTTTTATTCAACATAATTTCTTCTTTAACACCTTTACAAATTTATTATTGAAAAAATATTTACTAGAAAATGAAAATTAATTTTCACATTTTTTAAAAAATAATATTTAAAAAAAGACACTAAATGGTGGATTTATTGGGACTTTTATAGTAGAAAGGGAAATGCAAAAAGAAATTAATTTTTAGACTAAATTTTAGTTTATTTTTGGCTTTTTTAATTAAAGGAATATTAATTAATTTTTTCTTCTTCATCTTTAATTTTCTCTTAATTTTTGAACATAATTTTTTTGACAAAATGTCGAAAATTTCAAAATATTTGAATTCCTGTTATTTCCACATCTCCACCCTGAAAAGAATTTTTTTATTAATCGAACCTCGTTAAAGATACACTCAATATTAGATACACCTCTAATTAAGACTTTATTAAAATTAGACTAGCCATTGGGTGGGGGAACTGTGTAAGTGATGCCCTAAATTGAGATAAAGTAAGAGCCTTCTCTTTTATTAGATCTCAAACCCCCGCCTAGTAAGCGTTTTAAATGCTAGCCAGCTGGATCTTTCTCTTTCTTACAATAACCTCTATTTAAGAAACACCTCATTATAAGATACGATTTTTCTCAGCTCTAATCTAAGAGGGAGGTATGTTATAATTAGGCTTAAAATATGGTAAAACTGTAATTTAAAAATTCAAATAAATTTTAAAAAAATTTAAAAAATACAATTTGAAGTCCGAGAAGATCATGCGGCTCCATACTAAAATAATTATTTTTTAATTTAGGTATTTAAAATAAAAATAACCGGTGAGCATAAGAGCAAAAGCGTTCCTCGTTCAAGAAAATCTAAAAAAAATTTTAAAGAAAATTTTTAAAAAGAAAGAAATCGAACTTTTAACTAAAATAAGCCTCAAAACTTCAAAATAAAAAAGAATTCTTTAAAGATGTTCGAACCCATATACTAAAATAAGCTCTAACGCAAACCTATCCAACTACACTACTGTGACTACTTGACAAAATCGATTTTATATTCACGCTTATCTTTTCCGGATACTTTAGCAAAATTAAAATAAAAGATTTTCGGAAAGGGTGACCCAAGATTTAAGCTAACAAAACCTATCATACCATACCACAGTGACTACTTGTTAAAATCGATTCTATTCTTACCCAAATTTTTTTCCTAAAGTATGTATTTTACAATAAATATTCCTAACTATTTTTTCATTTTTTTTTATTTTTTCCTAATATTAAAAAATAAAAAAACCTGAAAAGCATATTCCTCGTTAACTATTTTCAAGTCGAAACCAATTCCTTTCTCTAACGGAAGTTTTCCTTCACGTTCCTCATTTCCCCATTCATTTGCGATTAAAGAATTGCGGACTATTGCCTTTAAAAGAAAATAAATTTAATTAAAATTAATTTAAAAAAGAAACCTTTTCATCAAAGCGCGGATTAAAATGCAAAGCAATATCTCCATTCTTTCTTAACTGAAAAAATAAAATTTTTAGAGTGTTTAAAAAGGATAAAAATGCATGAAAACCCAATCACAAAAAATTAAAATGTATGCAGACAAAATTTGCGGATTTGTCCGCATGTCAAAAAATATAAATATCCTAACTAAAAAATTCAAAAAATCAATCAAAAATTTACCAAATTAATGTGAAAACGCTTTCCTTTCTTTTCAGGAGTTCCAAAGATGAGCATAGTTTTACCAGGAGCGAAGCCTTCACCGACAATACCGCTTTCGTAAGGGACAGGCTTTAAATAAAATTTTATAAAAATCAAAAGGTCAGAATTTCAAACTGTCCACAGAATCAAATTTCCAATTAAAACTTCTCGATAAATTTTTAACTAAAAAACCCTACTTACATAATATTTCCCTCCCCAATGGATATGCGTCACAAGAATATCTCCATCAATAGAAAAGTGAGTGACCGAGCTTAAAAAATAATTTTCTTAAAAGTAAAAATTTAAAAAAACCTCAAAGGGACTCTATGCTCGTACTCTTTAATTTCTTTTTGATCAGCAAAAATGGTAAATTTGCTGTCATGAGCGCGAATCTAAAAAATTCTAAAAGTTTCTCAAAAAATTTTCTAATAAAAAAAACAAACGCGAATATCAATATCATCTCCCTTCTTGTATGGGTTACTCTTGCGTTCTTCCTTGCCCCATTCTCCCTTAGCGAAAGTGTTGTAGACAATCTTGAAAATAATTTAAAAAATATTCCAAACTATTAAAATTATTTTCAAATTTTTCAAAATTCACTACCCAATTTAATTTTGAAATTTAATAAACTGAAAGGGCCATTTTGTCCAAACAAAAATTTACAAACCTTTCCCTCATCAAATCGAACAGAAATGTGTAACGGAACATCATTTCCACTAAAATCAGGACTAGCATGATGCAAATTGATAGTGAAACTGAAAAAAACGAAGTTATAGAAATGCGGACAAAAATTTTGCGGACATCCGCAAAAAATTTGCGGAAAAATTTTTGTCCGCAAAAAATTTAAAAAATACCGAACAGAATCCTCAGCTGTTTTTCCTTTTAAAATTAAAGTTTGGCCAGGTTCGAATTGTTCAGTAAGTTTGCTTCGGTAGGGAATGGGCTATAAAGATGTCAAAAAATTAAATTTTAAAATAAAATTTTTTTACATAATTAGTTTCAGTAGCCATTAAAGTAATAAGGTTATTAGTAGGTGTAGTAGTAGTTAAATTATCTGAAAAATTTATTTTAATTTTTAAAAATAAAAATAAATTAAAATCAAAACAAAGAGTTCACTGCCCACACATTTTGCCAATTCCACATTTTGCCAATAAGGCTAAAATCCCACATTTTGCCAACACACTTATTGGCAAAACGTGGTTTTTTAGCCTTATTGGCGAAATGTGGTAGAGCATAAATTTTGAAGGCTAAAAACTTTTAAAAAATAAATAAAAATAAATTTGTGGGAGATTTTTAAAAAAAGATTAAACACAAACAAAAATATAGAGGAAAGAAAAAAGAAAAAAGGTAGTTAAAAAGGAATGATTCATCCAACTATACTTTACTACTACTATTTTTATTTTCACGCAATTTATTTTTATGGTGGAGAGGGAAGTTTTGGCGCTGAAATGTTTTTGGCGTCAAGCATTTTTATTTTTAAGACTTTGTAAGGAAAGGGAGGGAGGAGATCCAGCTGGCTAGAATTTAAGATACAGATGCTTATAACTTAGTGGTTTAAGATCTATTAAAAAGAAGGAAGATGGAAGCAGCGGACCTAATAGCTTAGTTGCTAGAGCATCTGCAACCGTGGGGAGCGAAAATGCACCTTCATCTCGAAAACGATTATCTCCACCTAAAGTCCTCAACATGAAATGCTAACTCCAAACATTCAACCCCAAACATTCTTGATTCGAAGGTAGAGTGCAGTTACTACTTGCAATTATTGCTGTTTGCCTACTTGCAGTTATTGCTACCATATACAAAAGCTCTACCACTGGCAGGCAGACATTTGAGGACGGACATTTGAGGACGGACTTTTGAGGACGGACATATGGGGACGGACATATGGGGACGGACATATGAGGACGGACATTTAAGGACGGACATTTGAGGATACAAAATTATGTACAAATCGGCAAAATCTTAACAAAAAATGCCAAAAGAAATATTGAAATAAATTATGATTTATTTGTAACATAAAATGAAAAAGAGCTTAATTTTAGTAAAGAATGCTTGAAACCAGAGAAAATCGTCATTTCAGGACAGAAAATTAAGGAAAAGATATCTTGTGCAATTTCAGATGGACATAAGACATTTTGGGAATGCTTAGTGGATTTTGAGTTTTTTTTCAGTGGAAGGTTTTGAGGGCTTATGTTCAGAGGGTGTTTCGAGGCATATTATGTTTATAGCTCGACGAATTGAGTATTTTACTCTGTTGGACATTTTGAGATTAGGCAAAAGATGGGATGTTTTAAGGGTTTGCTCATTTTCGGGTTTATTCATTGGGACATTTTTTCTTACTTTAAATAAGCTAGGATTTCCCCTTTTCAGCGCCGCAGGCGAAAATTTTGGAAATTTCTGAGGACAATCGCCAAATTTTTTCACTTTTTCTGAAAATTTATGAAAATTCACAAAATTTTGGCAAAAATTTGCAACAATATTGAAATAATTTGCAAAGAGTGCCAAATATTGAAATAACGGACAAATTGGCTAATTTTGTAGTTATTTTTTATTTTTTCCATATATCCGTCCTCAAATGTCCGTCCTCATATGTCCGTCCCCATATGTCCATCCTCATATGTCCGTCCCCATATGTCCGTCCCCATATGTCCGTCCTCATATGTCTCACCACCCTACCACTGTGCTATTGTGGCGAATTATGCTTTCTTTTTTATCCTTTTTAGATCGTTTAACCCACGCCTAAACGTTTTAAGTGCTGCTAAGTGAATCATTCTTACAATATAGTCAAATTAAATAACTCCCACGCCAAATTATGTTTGCGCCAAAACGTTGAAGATATAAATAAATATTTTTCTTCTCTCTAGTATTGAATTATAAATGCAGAAAAAGTATACAACTACTAACCACCACTCATCAAGGACAAAAATTTATTTTTTAAAAAAATCATCGAGAAACCCCTAATTTTCTTTAGATAAAAATGGCAAAGATAAGAAAGAGTGGTCGAGAAATTATAATAAAAAATATTTACGAAAATCAAAAACAAGGATATTAGAGGCTTGAGTGAATAAACTCAACCGAGTGACCAAAATTTTGCTAAATAAGCCATTAATATGGGTTGAGAAAAAAGTTGGGTCGGGATTTCAAAATTTTCTTCGGATCGGACATGGATCCGGTTCCTTAACTTTCGGTTCATGTGAATCACTAATAAATAATTCTAGCCACAGCCCACACCTAAAAGTAAAATTCCAGCCTCTAATGTCCCCCAAAATCTGGTTTTTAACTAGAAAAAATAACAGCAAAAATAATTAAATAAAACGTGTGTATTTATTGCAACCAAAGCAAAACAAACTTTGAAAAAAAATTTATTTTCTTTCCGTTTCATATCAGTTTTCACGTTTTCCCCCTCCCCAAAAGAAAGAAAATAGTTAAAGAAAAAATAATTTTTTGGGACATATGGGCATTTTTAAATGTTTTTATTTATCTCGAAATGTCTAATCGATTTTTTGTTTTGAAAAAAAATATTTGGAGAAAATTAATCATAAAAAATTTTGAGTCAAATAAAATATGCCTCATGGAAGGTGATATTCGAGTCTGAGTAAAAATTCGATCTACGTCCCAACTTTGACTTGAAAATTCTCAATTCTGTAAGGATGATTCACCTGCAGCTTAGAATAAAAGAAAGAATTAGTCGTCGCCCCGCACAGTGGTAGAGCTCCTATGTACTTATAAGCGGTGAGCGAAAGGCCTAGCAATAACTGCAAGGAAGTCGCAGATTGGAATCCTGCCTAGTAGCTAAACTTTTTCTAAACTCCCTCTTACTATTCGACTCGAATTGAGAAAATTAATTTTAACAAAAAGATAATCAAAAAATGAGAGACTTTAGATCCTGGAACACTTGAGGATACACATTTTAGCCTCATGGGGTATCTAATATAACGGGGTATCTAAAGTTCATACCAGGGATCTAGCCGACATAAAAATTCAATTCCCGATTTTCGGGAATCGGGGCGTCTAAATAGATCCCTGGTTTATACTCAATATTTGTACAATTTTAATAAAAATAATTAAAACAATTTTAGTCTCTAACCGGTTTGTAATTGAATAATAAATATATTTGATACATATTTGAAGAATAAATTTGCGAAAACGATAGAAAATAGAGAGAGGAATTCTCGTTTAAATTTGTGTTTAAAATTAAGAAAAAATTCTAAAGGGGAAAGGAGAAAGGAGGGGGGGAAGGGGGATGTTTTTGTGGGTTTTTTAATTGTGTTTGTGTGTAATATATAAAATTGAGTAATTTTTAGTATAGATTTTTAAATACTATTTAACTAAAATGATTAAAAAAGAGAGAATGTTTTTTTAAATGTAAAGATTTAAAAAAAACAGGTCCTTAAAAAAGTAGAGAAAGGAGTGACTCATTAGGTGAATAATCGAAAACAAAAAGAATGTTGGCAAACTTCTAATTTTTAAAATGTGATATACACAATAGGATCTAGTTTATAGATACCCCCTTGGGGCTAAAAAAATCTCTTATAATGAGGTGTATGTTAAATAGAAGATATTGCCTAAGCAGCTTTTAAAAACATACCCCAAATAGAGGTATATCTTATAGAATCCTATAATGAGGTAATCTTAGATAGAAGGTATTCCTTTTCAAGAGTGTTCCCTTCACACTGCTAAAATGTTCCTTTCACACCCACAGGGTATTGCCTAGTAGCATTCCCACCCAGTGGCGAACCAATTTTTAAAAGTAAGGGCCATTGTCTTATAGTGAAGTTTGACTGTATTAAAACGAAGTATTTTCTCTTAACCAGACACTCCCCTACTATCAAATATAAACAAAATTACCCTCCCCACCATTTTCTAAAGCAATATTTTCATGGACTCCTTCAACAGTCTCAAACTCGTTTTTGACAATCTCCTCAACATTTTGGAGTTGCTCCGTTTCAATATTTAATTTTTGAACTGTAAAGAAAGAAATTTTAGTATAGGGAATTAAGGTGAAAAAATTGGAAAAACAAGAAAACAATGCCTTCTAGTTCCAAGAAACAAAATTTGGGAACCACCAAACTTTTTAAATCCAATCGGAAGTTTTATTATTTGGAGTTTTGCGCAGAGAATTAAAATCTAGCTCTACAATTCCCTCCTCTCTCCAAGAATATTTCTAGAATGGCCAGGAACTAGAACAACCATAACCTTTTAATTTTTCTAGAATCGGGAGAACGTACATACGCACACTTACAGAATTGTCAAGAACTAGTAACAGAAAAGTGTCATTATTTTCTGGGACACGGAGAAATACTGTCTCATATAGCAACCTTCAAGACCTCCCCTCCAACACTTCCCTTACCTCCTTCCCCTCCCCTTATCCAAAACAACAAACTCACTCATTTCTTCAGTCGTCAATTCATCCACTCCCTCTCCCACTTTTTCTTCTTTCAAATTTCCATCTTCAGAAGCATATTGAACATCAGTTGTGCTAATTGGATGTTCTAAATTAATATTTGTTTGGTCATCCACCCCATAAACATATCCATCATTATAATGATGAAGTTGGTTTTGGGCTTCCAAAAACTCTTCATCTTCTAATCCTCCATAGTTGTAATGCTCCATTTGGGTAAATAAATTGTTTTGAAATAACTCTCTAAAAAATTTGAAATATATTCGAACTCTCACTTTAAGATACACCCTTTGGGTCTATAAAATCTTGCCTTATAGTGAGGTATATCTTAAGTAGAGGGTATCAATTACCGAGAATGTTTTCTTCCTACTATCAAAATGTTCCCCTCACACTATCCTTCACACTACATCCCCAGACTACTCACCCAGCGAATTATATCTAATACTGGAGGTATCTTATAGGGAGGTCCGAAAATATTTCGAATGCCTTAGAAATTGGGGGAAATATCAGAAATAATCCCTCCTATTTCTTCTGCCACCCGAACACCAGAAAATAATTTTTTTCAAATTCATTTTTTGATTTGACTATAAAATAATTTTTAAAATGATAGAAAGAAATTTAATATTAATTTCAATTTTTTAATTAAAAAATCCATTAAAGCAATAAATCGAATTTTGGAAATATGGCTTCCTCCCCTTTCACTAATTTTTTAAAGGTTTTACCTTTCATTTTGGATATGACTCTGCCGAATTAAAAAAATTTACACAGCTGGGATATAAAAAAGTTCTTCTCTAAAATTGTAAAAATTTCATAAAAAAATTTTTTAAAGTTCAAGACAATGCGACATCTACGGACTTTGACCAAATTTAAATTTTGTTAAGGAGTAAATTTATAGAGAAAAATTAGTTTGAGTATGATTTCACAATCAACATTTTCTCCAAAAAGAATCTGGACATAATCTTTCGAATGTATCAATAGTTCTTAAAAAATAAACTTTATTTGTCAACTAACAAACATTTGCCGAATCACTAATCGATTTTAATTTTATCCGAAAATATTTTAGGCATTTCTTTTTCAAATTAAATTAATTAAATCTAGGGTAGCGCCCCGTCCCCCATCTATTTTTTTGGCAAAAAACCCGACCCGAACCCCGAAGGCTCTACCCCGGTAAACTCCGATCCCCGTCGATCCCGCCCTCGAAGGCCCGGGTTGCAACACTAATTAAATCTCTTGTACGTGTAAAATTTCAAAAAAAAATAATTTCATTTATCCTTCCTTTAAAACACAAATAATAATATCAATTTTACATTTAATATTTTGTAACCAAAACAAGGTGTGTATATCAAAAATAAATATAATTTTGAGCTCTTTTTTTTTGAAAAAAATGAATAAATTGTAGGCATATTAAACAGAATTTCTTCTTTTATTTGTCAATTATTTCAGCTTCTTCCACCTTAAAAAATCGAGAAATCAAAATATATCCACTACGAACAAGCTCTATTGGAATGTCAAAATTTGTCATCATCTTTTTAATTGTTGAATCGGCACTCTTAAAAAACAAAAGTTAAAGATATAATCAGACCTCAATATTTAAAGATAAACTAAATACTAGATGACTTAAATTTAAGATACGATTTTTTAATTTGGTTGTCAAGTAGAGTGGGGGAAACTGCCTTAAGATATTTATGGTAATGTGAAGGGAGGGAATCGAAGGTAACATCTTTGGTAAGGTGAGGGGAATATCCCTAGTAGTCTAAGAGTATATCTCATATTGAGTCTCTAATTTCTTATCATTTAATTAAAAAATAAATAAAAATCCTCACAATATAAGTAGACAAAATGTCTGCAAATTGGTCAACTGAACCTGAACCGCCTTTATATTTTTCAGAAAGAAACTTTAAAAAATAAAATTTTAAAAAGGAAATTAAATTAAAGCAACTAACGTCTCTAATTTCTTTTTTAAGTTGCTCTTGTGTTCCTTTTAAAGGTTTCCTTTCAATATTTGGACCACTCAAAAGCATTGGACTATTATTATGGAAAGATATCATTAATGATTTGCCATTTGAAGTTTCACAGCTATCTTAAAAACGAAGAAAGAAATTAAAAGTGAGCAAGAAACTCAAGCATAAAAATGGTGGAGGTACAACGATTGCGGATAAGACAATTAAGTACGACAGTTCCTGATATGATAATTGCTGAGTATAGGCTAATAGTTTCCGAACCTTCCAATTTATACGAGGCTGAAAACTTTAATAAATCTTAAATTTTTTAAATTTTATATCAGCAACTGTCATTCGTAATGGTCATATCCGAATCGCCGTACCGCCATGTTAATGTCATAAAATCGATTCTGAATTTTGCTGTCAGACATCCGAGTTAAAAAAATACCCCCGCTAACTTGCTCCGAACTTTTGCCTCGACAATATGAGGTGAAAAAACTCGTAATAAATTAACAATTAATTTCAAAAAATAAAAAGCTTTAAAAAATATTCAAAAAAAATAAAAATAGTTACAGAAAACTATTTAAAAACAACAAAAAAAGAAATTATTCTTTAAAGCTTTATTCATTTTTATTATAGAAAATCTTTAAAATAAATTTTTAATTTCATCAAAAAAATTCTTATATTTTAGAGATGTCACGGGTTACCTATCACCCGACACGAGATTTAAAAAAAAATATTTTTTTCTTCTAATGCCCATCTAAATCCCACAAATCCTCAGTACTGACTCGACGCGTTACCACAAACCCTAGACTTTTTACCCCACCAGAAGAAAATTTCTGAAAACCAGACCCGACATTCTTTCTCTGAATTACCCTTTTAATCCCTAGATCCCACAGTCCTGACCCACTCGAATAATTTTTGGCCCGAAATCCGATCCGAAAGAAAGTTGGAAAATTCGACTCGAAATCTCCTGACTTTTTTAAATCACCCCGTGACACCCCTATATTTTCTCCCTCTCAAGTTAAATTGTACGTAAATAAAAGGACAACAAAAAATATCCAAACAAAATTACAAAAATTGTACGGGAAGAAAAAAATAAAAAAATTGTTAAAATTATTGAGATTCCAACAATAAATGCTAAAGACTCACCAAATTGATTTTGATTGTTGTTGATTATGTTTTGGTTTGTTGCAATTTTTGTTGGTGGTTTAGTTCTACCCCAATTAATTGGGGGCATTCCTTGGTGCTTATTTTGTTGATTATTATTGGTAGGTAATGAATTCCTTCGAGGAGTTATTGCAACAACATTATTTGGTGGAGGAGGAGGAATAATAATTGTATCAACAGAAGAATCGTCTTGACGTTGTCGTTTTTGTTGTTGAGGATTATAACCCTTTACTTTGTTTGCCTAATTAAAAAATTATTTTAAAAAATTGTAGAAATGGAGGGAACTTTTTAAATTATAGAACAAGTTTTCATTATTGTCGGGTTCATAGCTGGCGGAATATTTAGCTTCGTGATGAAAAGAAAAATTTTTCCCGAAACGATTCGTTCAAGTCTAATAGGGTTTAAGGTTAATCTAAAACCTCTCTAACCTTCTTGGACTAGTTCTTGTAAGAAAAAGACTCGTCATTGTTAGATAAACATACCAAGCAAAAAGGCACATTAAACATTCGAAAAATACCCAAAGTATTCTATGTAAGTGACCAAGGATTGCGGTCCCCAATATAAATAAAACTATTAAAGATTCCAAAAAACCTGAATTGGAGGTGGACGCTTTTTTAACACAGATTTAGATTTATCCAAATCAGTCTCCTTTAATTCTTTGGAGTTTGTAGTCGTTGCATCAATGATGTTCTCCTTTTTGTACTAAAAATGGATTTATATTTAAGTGGACCAAAAAATATTTAAAAAAAACCTCCTTAATCGCCTCCTTCAATCCAGCAATCGTTATATTCTCCTTATCTTCCAAATTTTCAAAAAATTCTTCATCCGCCACATCATTACCCAAAACACTTTCCAGAAGAATCTTTACATCTCTACAATATCTTCGGACAGATCCTACACCCAACTTGCGATCATTTGACGCTTTTACAGCGGTAACTCCAAATAAAATAATGTCCAAAATTCCTGAACGCATTTCAATTTGGGTGCCAGCTTTAAAAGTATGAGAATTCAATACTTGATCGATAGCTTCTTCCATAACTGAAAGTTAAAATATTGAATTTTGATTTTCGTGAAAAGAATGGACTGTCGGCTTATGGAAAATCATCTGACATTAGAAACCGAAGAAAAAAATCCTCGGTTCTTAGGCCCGGTTGATAAAGAAGCCCATCTTTTAACACTTGCGGACATTTTTTGCGGATTCTTTAGAACAAAAGATCATCTGTTCTGTCTATTCAGCTCCAAACCTAAAACCCTAGTCAAGAACCCCCTGCTACCTTTAGTGTCCTAACCCAAAAATTACGGTTATAGAGACAGGCTCACTACTCAAGTACTAACGACCCTAGAAATGACAGGCTCTATCACAGTTGGAGGATAAAACTTCACCTAATTCCTACCTAACCAACCTTTAACCATAAATTTATTTTAAAAACCTGTAGGAAATTCATGCCAACGAGGATTTGTAGGGATTTGTTTACTATGGACTCGAACAGATTTTGTAACACTAACAGCATCGCGATTTACATTAGGAATTGTAACATTTTCATTTGGAACATCAGGCAATGGAATGGCTTTAGTGGAAGTTGTTGTTGGCTTTTGAGAAGGACCAAGAGCTTCGCTAGTTGAAGGCGCTATAAAAAATTTTTTTAAATGAAACCCTTCTTGCTCATTTGCGGACATTTTGAAAAAACCTTCCTCTGGGTGGAGTAACCCTCACAAAAATTAGAAAAAATCTATCCAAAAAAGCTACCCCCCCCCTCCCCCAAATTTAAAGAATAAACCATTAGTTTTTGATCTCGTATTCATCTTTGTTTCAGTCAAGTCATCTTTCTTCTTATTTTCATCCTTTTTATACAAAATCAAAGCTGAAGACGAAACAGTCGTGGTTGGAGAATAATCCCTTTGATCCTTCCAAGTCAAAGCTTTTAACGAATTAACAGAAGAAAGAGTTTTAGAACGAGTTTTGACTTGAGAGAGTGTTGGAGGTAATACTTTTAATGCAAGAGCCAAAGCTTCACTAAAAAGAAGTTAAAATTATATCAAAAAGGAGAAAATGGAGTTGAAAAAATTTTGGGCAATAATGAATTTAGCGTCATTTCTACGAACATTTATTCTTAAATTTCATTAAAAATATTTAACGGATTTTATTCCACAACCCGACAGACTACAAATGGCTATTTGACAGAAATGCCAATCGACAAATATCTATCACAACAATGATATTGACATACGATTATTTGAACACAATTACTCTCGGAATGTTAAGTAATTGACAGTTGTCATTGACATTTGTCGAAGTTTCGAAAAAAGAGTTGTTGTGGAATAGGACCTTTCTGACAATTTTCCATAACTCGACAGAAAAAAGTCCACAAAAATATTAACAGAAATAACCCTCCTTCACTACTGCTTAAAATTTTCTTAAAAATTTCCCCCTGCTCCCCTCCACTCCCTACAAAAATTCTCCAACCAAATAACTCGAATAAATACAATAAAAATATTGTATTTATTCGAGTTATTTGGTTGGAGAATTTACCTGTCTGGATCCTTCGAGCCACGAAAAACTTGTTCACGAGCTTCTTCTTGGAGTACCTCAGTTATTTTACGTCTCTTCTTCCTCACAGTCACCTTATCATCAGATTTTTTATTTTTCGTCTCTTTCTTCTTAGGCACCTCTTCTTCCTCATTTTTTCGTTTTGGAGGTCTTCCGGGCTTTCTGGTCTTTTCAGGCGATTTTGGTTTTTCAGTTAAAGAAGATGAAGTTGTTGGATTTTCCATTTCATCGTTGTTGCTTTCATTCGACTTTTTTGGTGATTTATTTTCTTTGGACGGTTGGACATCTTAAAAGAATTGAATAATCAATTGTTGGTGGAATAGGCCGAGATCTTACCGCCGAGTTATGATTTTGTTCAAAAGTGTCAAATCGATGACGCCCTAGTATGATTCGATTTAGCTGGTCGAGACAAATCAAACCATACCAGGACGCCACGGATTCAACAATTTTAAACAAAGTTATAGCTCAGCGGTACAATGGGCTCGCGGTACCGTCCAAAAATGTTCCGACGCCTTCAACAACATCCCTTGTCGTTAGAGCAACATTCCCCGATATCGGAACAAATCTTCCGTTGCTGGTATTTTACTTTTGGTATTTAAAGGGTTTTTTGGTCAAAGGATGAGAGAAGGAATAATTCCTTATAGGGCCCAAAAGGTGTCAAAATGCCAAAAGACTCTAATTAATTTGCTCTATTGCTAAAAAAACAGTCAAAGGTATACCAAGCTTCTTCCTAGCTAACTTCAAAAGCGCCTCCAATTGTTTCAAATCCAGATTGTGATTAGAAGCCGCCGAGCGTTCCTGGACCTTTAAATTTGTTTAAAGAGTAAAGGAGTAAATTTTAAAGAGTAAAGGAGTAAATTTTAAAGAGTAAATTTGTTTAAAGAGTCAATTAATTAAAGAAAAAAACCTTCCCGGTCAACACTTCCAAAGCAGCTTCAAAATATTGATCAACAAAATCATCTTCAATCGAAGTATCGTCAATTGCCGCATTTACAGCTTTTTGGGCTTCATACTCATCATAAATTTTTGGTTTTACCATTTTTGGAAGTTATAAAAATATTCTAGAGGAAAAAATAAGGATACACCCCGATGTACCGCGAGCCCAATGTACCGCTGAGCTATAACCTTGTTCAAAATTGTCGAATCTGTGGCGCCCCGGTATAGTTCGATGCGGCTCGACCAGCTGAATCGAACCATACAAGGGCGCCACGAATTCGGCAATCCCGGAGAATAGGGGTTTCTTCGAAAAAAAAGTTTAAAAATAAGAGAAAGGATTTTTCTAGGGTAAAAAAATGTGCTGATTACGAATCTGAGCTCGGATTTTGAAAAAGTCGTACCCGGACCCGAATATAGGTCCTACAAAATCGAAAAACCATAGGGGGGACCAAGCTGATTCTGGGGTGAAAAATTCGAATATTCAAATAATAGCTCATTCAAAAGAGCTCGACGAGCTGAGTCGAATGACACCAAAATCACCGTGATTGAAAAAGATCTGGCGAAGTTATGATACCAAAATCAAACAACGTAAACCTATGTTTTTTGTGTTGTAACTTTGTCTGTTCTTGTTCATTTTCGGTAATTTTGGTGTCATTCGACTCAGCTCGTCGAGCTCTTTCGAATGAGCTATTATTTGACCAATTTGCGCTCTGAGAAAATTTTCCCAAAATGTCGAATGTCCGAATTCGGGTTCGGGATTCGACTTTTTCAAAATCCGAGTTCAGATTCGTAATCAGCATACTTTTTTACCCTAGAAAAACCCTTTTTCTTATTTTTAAACTTTTTTTCGAAGAAACCCCTATTCTCCGGGATTGCCACGAATTCGACAATCCTGAACAAAATTATAGCTCGGCGGCACATTGGGCTCGCGGTACACTGGTCTGCTCCGAAAAATAAAAAATTAAAAACAAGAAAAATTAAACAAAAATGAAGAGGAAAAATTAACCAAGCTTAAATACAAGAAAAATACCCAAGCTTTCTTTCCGTGCCCGCTCAAAGGATAGATGAATCAAAGGATAGATACGGCTAAAATCGATCAAAGGATAGACGCGGCCAAAAGCTGCTAAAGGATAGATAAGGCAAAAAACGATTAAAGGATAGATGCATCAAAGGATAGATGCGCCAAAGGATAGATAGGGGTAGAATCCATTAAAGTATAGACACGTCTAAAATTGGGTAAAACATAGATAAAGTTTGGAGTCCAGTTGAGTACCAACTGTTGAGTGCCTGATCTTTGTTTGTTTTTTTTCAGATCTTTGTTCTGATTTCATGTTTCTGTTCTGATTTTTATTTTATTTGTACTTTAGTATGTTCGCGGAAAAAAGTTTTTGCCGCTGCGGATGAAGCCGGACATGTCGAGCGGAACGACGGCCGCCGCTTCGCTACGGTCGCCGCGAGCGAAGCGAGAACGACCGCAGCGAAGCACGGCCATCGTGTAGCGAAGACCATGCCCGGCCTACCCTCCGTAGCAGCACAAAAACAGTTTTTCCAGCGAAGATTCAGATTATTAGACATTTTTGTCCAGACTCAAACGACCTATTCAGCTGTCTATCCTTTGATCGCTTTTGGCCGTATCTATCCTTTAGCGCATCTATCCTTTGATGCATCTATCCTTTGATAGTTTTTGGCCGTATCTATCCTTTAGCGCATCTATCCTTTAATTCATCTATCCTTTGTAGGGGAGCCTTTCTTTCTCTTTTCCTTTTCCTTTTCTGTCTCTCTCGAAACTCTCTACTATCTCGTTATGTTTTTAAAACGAAAGGACACAGTTGAGTCCCTCCAGTTGAGTCCCAGCGCCATATTTTGACCCATAACTTTCTTGATTTTTAGTCGATTTGAAAAGATATTATATCAAACGAAAGCTCTGGATATAAGGATTATTTTAGTTCAAAAGACTATTTTTATCAGAACATCATAAAAAGAGTTACAGTTTAATAAAGCCAAAAAACACGATTGCGCGCACTTATCCACTTGTAACTATTTATTTGATAATCTGATCGAATCAATCCTTTTAGCTAAAATAATCATCTGATTCAGGGCTTTCGAATGATAAAAGATATATTCGAAATGGTTGAAAACACAAGAAGTTATGGCTACGGGACTAAACATGCGTAACTCAATTATCCCCTATCTTTTTGAAAAAAGGACGCTCTGCTTTCTTGGCATTCTGTTTTGATTGCGAACTTTTGAATGTTTAAACGGACTCTAAGCTGTTTAAAATAATTTTTTTGTTTAAAAAATTTTTTTTAAAAACATAGAAAATTGTAAAAATTTCAAGACGTTTTGGAGGATTGAAAGAGAACCAGAAACAAAAAAATAGACTAAAAATACCCCCTAAAATCCAAAAAAAGATTCTAAACAGCTGCAACAATAAATACGTTAAAGGCAAATAAACAATCTCCTCCATCGATTTAAATTGGTAAAAAATACAATAAAATCAATTAAAATATTATTTAAGCATTTATTTTACAATTATTATTTTTACAATAGAATTTGAGATCAACTTTTTGGAGAGGAAAAACTTTTTTTAGAGAGATCAGGCTTCGAGAAATGAAGAGTATAGATTGGTGGAAGGAAGAAGAAGGGAGTTAAAAAGATTATCAAGGTGGTGGTACAAAAGAGAGGTGAAAGAGCAGGTGCATTGCTGCCTGAGCCACGTAGCTCAGTCAGCTACGCTACGTCACCACGTAGCTCGTCAGTAGCTGTTGACTGAGCTACGTGGAGCCGGAAGCACTTAGCAATAACTGTCCCAGGAAATCGAAGGGTCGATGCCTCCCGGAGTTTTTTCTGAATTTTTTTACTCATTGACAGTTCGAAAGAAATTTGTTTTGGAACTCGTAGCCAGTGTGAAGGAGAAAAGGGTGCTCTAAACGACACTAACTACCCTTAAGGGAAAAAAGCAGATGCTTTGAGGTAACTTTCTGGTACAAAAGAGAGATCATTTTAAAAAAAATCATTTTAAAAATTCCTTTCTTCTCTCTAGAAAAATCGAGCAGTACTAGACGCATTTTCCTGACGTGCAGAGAGAGTAGAACATTTTAGACTTGAATTGTTTGTGTAATCATATTGGAAGTTTGGACAAAGCCAAGTTGTTGGAAATTGAGTGGAATAGGAGGAAGCTACAGCTGAGTTGAGAAATCGAGTGGCATGAGGCTGAAAAGACCAAATTAGGTGTTAAAAATTTAGTTTTTGCGGATTGTCCGCAAATATTTTAGCGGATCGTCCGCATCAATTTTTGCGGATTGTCCGAAAGTCTTTTTGCGGACATATTGCCCCCAATTTTTCACCTGTAAAACCGCTGCAGGATTACTCATAAATCTATAAGCCGCCGCTTGTTGCATAAAAGTATCTGCCGCCATATTCGCTACACTATTCCCATTCATACTTAAACGAGAAGCTTGACTAAAAAGTTCGCCGGCAGCAGAAACTGCTGAAGAGGTGGATGAAGTATTGTTGTTGTTGTTACAATTATTTGTTATTGAGGACATTACTGCTGCCGAATTTTGACAAATTAGTGAAGAATGTTGGTGGTGGTGGTGGTGATGATGTAATGAGGATGTTTGGGGTTGCATTGAAGCTACAATGCCTGGAAATATTTTTAAAAATTCTTTTAGGTTCCAAAATTTAAAGTCTCCAGGCTACAAAAAATTCAAAGGAATTTCAAAATATCCAGGCATAAAAATGTCAACCTTTCGAAATTTTGGTACTTTTCTGTTATGCCACCTCACACTAAGTTAATGCTAAAAATGTCATATATGGGATAATAAAAGGTACTGAATCGAACGGTACCACTCTTTTTTCCAGAGATGCCTGTGGACCGAGATATATGGCTCAAAATGGTCAGAAACCAAAGGGGGAGTAAGCTCATTATACTATAACCTTATATGTGACATTTTGATCATTATTTTATGGGGGGGGGGGGTGGCCTCAAAAATTTTTCAGTACTACCTGGAAAATCAAATTTATAGGCATATCTCTTCCCATGCACTTTAGTCATTATTTGTTTGTCATAATAGTAACGAAGAGCTCTCGACATTTTATCATAATTCATGTGTGGTTTAGATTTTCTTTCACCCCAACGTCTTGCAACTTCGTCTGGTTCTAATAATTTAAATTCTCCTTGTTCGCCTTCCCACAAAATTATTTCTGAACATAAGGGCTCAATTAATAATTCTAATAGAAACTGCCAAAGTTGAATTTGTCCGCTTCCAGTAGAAGCTAACAAGCTTCGAATAAAAATGTAGTAGGGGTCTGAAAAGAAGAGAAAAGAAATTATTCTGATTTTGTTCTGATATTTATTTTGACATTATTCTGATTTTTTAAAATTTTATTCTGATTTTTCTGGTTTAATTCTGATATCGTTCTGACCTTATTCTGATTTTGTTTTGGTAATGTTCTGATCTTTTTGGTTTATTCTGGTATAATTCTGATTTTTTCTGGTAATGTTCTGATCCTATTCTGATTTTGTTCTAATATTGTTCTGGTATAATTCCGGTTTAATTCTGATAGTTTTTCTGATTTTTCCAATTAAAAAAGGATCCTCCCTTTTTGACTTTTATTTATTTTCCCCCTCTTTTGTCCCTCCAAATTTAAGCCAAACACGCAATCAAAAGCTTCATTCATTTCAAGTTTACATAAAGAACAAAAGAGAAAAGAAAATTCCGGATTGAATAGCCAAACAAACAAAAGAGATGCGCTTAAATAATATACTCTCTCCTCCCTCTCTAAACGGAAATAAAAGAGACGGAAAAAAAAGAAAGCTCAACCAAAAAGAGGCAAAATTTTATCCAAATTAAGAAGAAAAAAAATTTAAATTTTCTATTTAAATTTAAATTCTTTGGTTTAAAAATAAGTTTATTAAATGGAGAAAATAAAGAAAGAAAAAGAAATTTAAAAAATATTTTATATTGTTGGAAAAAATTCTAATTGTAAGGACATGGTGACAATGTGGAGGTTGAGGGGCGTCAACGACTATAACTCTGGAATGACTTGACCAATTAAAATAAACTTGGTATCATTTGATAGGGAATTAAATTTGCTACAAGATAAAACAGAAAATAAGATTTTTGATCTATTTTTGGAAAAATTATGGTCGAAAAACTAAGGTATCTGAGAGATAGTAGAGAGGATGTGAGGCAGCCCCGACGCCTATAACTCAGAAATGACTTGACGGACAAAAATGAAACTGACATCATTCGATAGAGAATTAAATTTACTACAAAATGAAATGGAAATTTAAATTTCAGATTTATTTTTGAAAAAATTATAATCGAAAAACAAGAATTTTTAGAGTATTTCTGGCCTTTCCCAAAGGCTCTTAAAATTTTTTATTTCTCTCAAAAATTAATTATTATGTTTTAAATAAAATTTTATATTCTCTTCCAATACCTTTAAAAATATATTAGAGATAATTACCAATTAAAACAAATTAATTATTATTTTATTGTTGACCTGGTTAATCTCCCCCCCCCCCATTCTCCCGTTAATAATAAGCTTATTTTCCACTCCATTCTTTGCAGCATTTTTTCTCTAATTTCTTTTAATTTCTTACGGTAATAGAACAAGCATGGAAATAAATGTACCTATTGTTATATTGAAAATTAGGGGGTGACCTTAAGATTCTTTTAAATGAATGGGGATTTTTTGTATTTACAATCTGTTGTGTTTAAGGATAATTAATTAAGAGATGAATATAAATTAATTTATTTTCTTGCTTCATTTAAGACCACAATTTGTGTATAGAAGTCATATTAATAAAATCCCACCCAAGGAGGCCCATCAAAAAATAAAATCCTACTCAGTGTCCTATTTAAAATAAAAGCCCAGGCCCTTAATTGCTAAAATTGGGCTACTTCCATAAAAATTTACTTCCATATTATTCGAAATAAAATTTTTTCCAAAAATTTTATTTTTTTACCACTAAAAGTAACTCAAAAGTTCGAACCCATTCTTCAAAATTCGGACCTATTTTGGCCTTTTTCTGATTTTTTGAACCTATTTTGCTACCTCAAAAACCTAAAATAGGAACCTATTTTTCAATTTTTCGGGCCTAAAATGTCGGACTCTAATTATAAGGTACATACCTACATATTAGGGTTGTGGATATTTTGAAGGAGTTTCGGTCCGGACAACCGGAAATTCCATGGATCCGCTAACACTAGTATCTATATCTTCCCAAACCCAAATTAACCTTAATTCTAAATTTTTATTTCCGCTATTGTTTATTAGCACTACCCCCCCCCCCCCTTAATTAACTCTACTACACATACTAACAAGCTTCTTTTTTGGAAGAAAAAATTTGTCAGTCCTTAACCAATGAAAAATTATTTTTTATTTGGCAGCCTAATTTAATTTTCTCCCCACTACCTTTTTCTTTTATTGTTGTTTTGATTGCTTTATTTAATTTAAAAACTTGATTGACTTTTATTATTCAAATTTAATTTATAAAACAAATTTTAAGGGGGAGAGAGGGAAAATTTGGTGGAATTTTTAACGAGAGAATTTGCATTAATTTGAGGCTTAATTTTGGTATTTTTTGCATTATTCAAAATGGCAATTTTTCAAAATGTTAAAATTTGAAAACTTCCAAATTTCAAAGGCTATTGTCCAGATTATGCGTCCAATCGCATAATTTTATGCAATGGCGATAATTTATGCATCCAATCAACGGCGATAAGTACCCGGTTCTGGATTCTATTACCATAAAATCTATGGGAATAGAAAGCTCTAGTAAACGATACCGGACTATGTGTTCCAATACACCGAACCGGGTACTTATGGACATATATTAGACGCATAGTAATTTGATTGGATGCTTAAAAGTACGATTGGACGCGTAATCTGGACAATAGCCATTTCAAAATTCCATCGTTCAATTTTGTGATATTTCTGTCACCAAAATTTTTAATAAAAATAAAAACACAGAATTCACCCCATTTTTAATTCTTTTGTCCCCAAAAATGTTCCCCTTTTAAATATTCAGCTTAATGATAAAAATAAAGCCTTAAAAAGGAATATTAAATTAAATGCGGTATTTACCCCTTTTTGAATACTAAACGATAGACAATGATTGAAACGATATTTACACCGGAAAAGCATGCAAATAAGAGAAAAATGAAGGAAAAGCAAAAAAAGGAAGAAAATTGAGGGGAAAATTGGTGGGAGAAGGGGGGGGGGGAGGGAAATTGGCCGTACACAAGGAGAGAGGCGCTTCTTTAAGAAAAATTTTTTTCATGAAAAGTAAAAAAAGATTTATATACATATATAGTATAGTATATATTTATAGTTGCCGCAATTTATTTTTGGCCATTCAACAAAAGAAAAAATTGAAAAAAATCAAAGAAGGCTGCCGAAAGGTTGCGCAGTCCATTATATGGCAAAAAGCGCTAAAAGCTCATTTCTGTGGCCAAAAGCTTTGGTGGTCCTATTATTATATATTCTATTATTGTCCGGAAAAGGTGGAAATGAATAGAAAAAAGAAAGAAATTTTAAGAAAAAAAGGTTTAATTTAGAAAATAAAATGGAAGAGCGCCTCGAAAATAAGGGGAGGTAGGGCTGAGTTTTTGAAGAGTAACTCGTGAATGTATTGACAGTTTTTCATAATTTTGGATTCATTTGATAGAAAATTGAATTAGATATGAAATCCCCAAAATATCAGAATTTCGGGGAATCGGATAAAAAAGATATATTCAAATAACTGAAAAGGCGCCTAGAAAATACGGGGAGAATGGGGGTAGGGTTGAGTTTTACAAGTGTAACTCATGAACCGATTGACCAGCTTTTCTGATTTTTGATTCATTCGATAAAGGATTGAATTAATTATAAAAAACCAAAAAATCAGAATTTTTAAGAATAGGACACAAAAGATATGGTCAAGTAACTGAAAATGGAAGATCTGAAATAGGGAAGATGGAGGATAAAACTTTTTTACTCTGATTAACTCGTGAATCGATTGAGCATTCTCTATAATTTTGGATAGATAAAAGATTGAATTAACTATAAAAATTCAAAAAATCAGAATTTCAGTTAAAATTAAGAAAATTGTTTAAAAAATTGCCGAGAATTTTTAGGTTTGCGCCGAAATGACCCCTTTATTTTAATAATTAATTTATTTAAAAGGTCACAGTTTCTTATAATTATGAAGAAGCATGTCTTTTCTATAATTTTAATGAGCATTTTTTAATTCTACCTCCAACTGCGAGGCTTTTTGAAAGAACAAAATAAAATTTAAAGGAGCAATTTAAGTAACCCTTTTTTACTGTTTTTTCGCGCTTTAAAAGGAGTTAAAAGGCGGGAAAAGCCTCTTGAGAGTTCCTTTTTTTAATAGAAGAAAAATCAAGGACTACTCTAAAATTTTTGAAAGTAAATTCGAATAAATTAGAAAAGATTCTTGATTGAAAGAAAAATTTTTCAAAAAATTTGGGTACACCTTAAAAGGGATTTTCGGCGCGGCGCGGTTTGGCGTGACCAAGCGTGACATGTAGTGCTTCAAAAAATTTTTTCCGAAAAATACCTGTAGGTTGATGGCAAGAAAGCGTTACAGTAGCTGGTTTGCCCCCATGAAAAACTCTGGCTAATGAGGAAGGTGAAATGGTACTTGAGGAGGAAGTAGCTGCAACAAAGGCGGTAGAGGAAGAAGAAATTGGCTAAAGAAAGTATTAAATTTTTTTTAATTCCATTTATTTTTTTTCACCTCCTCCTTAACAGACAACATCATACTATTGTTGTTATTCCTTGCATTTTGAATGTTAGGAGTTTTATTATTTGTAGATGACTGACTATTTGAATTAGTTGAAGATTGGAGTGAGAGATTTAATCCTGAATTGGGGAAAATTAAGTTTGGAGGTATTTTTCATTAGGGGTATTTTTCAAAAAAAAAACCCATTTTTACGAGAACTTTCAGAAGACGTCCCCCATCTCTTACCAGAATTTTCCTCAACTTTAGCCGTACTTCCCCCAATCCTTGCTGTTGCAATTCTCCCAATATTTGCTGTATTTCCATCAAAAAAATTAGCAGCAGCATTTCCTCCCCAACGAAAATCAGAATTGTTAATTATTGTATTGAAATTGTTGGTATTATTTGAGGAATTATTTAGAACTCCAAAGAAGGGGTCGTTGAAACGGGTGTCTATAATGCCGTTCTGAAATTTGTATTTTATTTAATTCTGATTTTTGTATTTTCCTTATTGAAATTCTGATTATATTAAAATCAGAATTAATTGTAATAATTCTGGTTTTGTATTTGTGTTTGATTTCTGGTTTTAATATTTTTCCTAATGTCTTTGTGTTTTACTTTTATTCTGATTTTTGTATTTTCCTTATTGAAATTCTGATTATATTAAAATCAGAATTAATTGTAATAATTCTGGTTTTGTATTTGTGTTTGATTTCTGGTTTTAATATTTTTCCTAATGTCTTTGTGTTTTACTTTTATTCTGATTTTTGTATTTTCTTATAATAATTCTGATTTATTTTCTTGTTAATTCTGGAATAATTCTGATATTTGTATTTTCTAAATTCTGATTTTTGTATTTTCTTATATTCTGATTTTTGTATTTTTTTAATTCTGATTTTTGTATTTTCCTTAAATTCTGATTTTTGTATTTTATATAATTCTGACTTATTTTTTTCTTGTTGTAATTCTGAATTATAATTCTGATTTTTTAAATAATTCTGATTTTGTGTATTTCAAGTTTATTTTTATTTTATTCTGATTTTTGTATTTTCCTTTTGTATTTTTACTTTAAAAATATCTTTACATTATTAGTAGCAAGAGTAGGCATAAAAGGATTAAAAGGAAAAGCAGCCGCTGTACCGTAAGTCCCACAAAAAGAATTTTGTTGTTGTGAAGAATGATTTTGTTGATTGTTAAATATATTTGTTTGGGGGTATACAATGCCTTGAGGTTTGGAGTCATTTCGTTGTTTTTGTTGGGTATTTGGGGTGTTTGGAGTGTTGATTGATGAGGTATCTGAAGAGAAAAATGTTTTTCTGAAATTTCAGAATTTTTTTTCTGAATTTTCGTTCTGAATTTTCAATTTGAATTCTGATTTTAGGGTGAATTTTCAGAATTTTTAGAAATTTCCTAAAATTTTTTCAAAAAAAAATTCCAACCATTTTGTTGCTGACTAGTCGTAGCTGCTTGTCTACTATTACAATTCTGAACCTCCCCTTTGTTTTGTGTTTGTTCCCCAAGCATATTTAACGTGATTTGCGCTAGTAAGAGGAAAAGGGGAAAAGGAAGTTGGTTGTTATCTGTCTCTTGGACAAGTAGTTAAGTTAAACTGTAGAGGAAACTAAAAAAGGATTTTTAAATATGTATATTAAGTAGCTATGAGAGTTAAAATATTATACAATATTACGTTTATCCAAAATAAAAAGTACACATTTTTCAAATCATTTACAGTCAGATCTTGATTTTCGAGGAGTATCTAAAATAGAGGATATCGCTTAGGAAGCTCTACCAACTGAGCTGAACGGGGTAGAGCTTCCTAAAGCGATATCCTAGATTTAATATAAAACTCATTGTAAAGGTTTTCAACCTCAATAGATAAGGTCCGACTGTATTTTATTAATAGAGGGGTATTCCTTTTAGGCACTTCTTTTATAAGATACAACAATTCCTTTCGGCCCCAAGGGTGTACATACATATATCATAGTGAGATCAAACTGCTCACATATACATATCATGTGATTCGGGTGATTTAGATGGCCATGAGGGATTTCTTCTTATCCTCCCTCCCCTTCTAATTAATTACTCTCTATTCTATATCCATTCTATATCCACCTTCCTTTACTTATTTTAAATAGATAGGAAAAACATCAGGAAATTTAGTAAATTTACAGGAAAGGTATACAGGCAATTTCATCCTCTATTTCCCTTTAAGGTTGTTCTTAGCTAGTAATCATCAATGTGAAGAAGGGAAGGAAGTTTGGGGAAAAGAGGAAAAAGGAAAGCAAGCTTTGGGGGGATCTCTCAAAAATGAATCTCAAGAAAAAAAATTTTTTTCGGGAAAAGGAAGGAAAGAAGGGAAGGAAGGATGGGGGGAGGAGTGAGTGAGGCAAAAATATTTTTTTCCTCAAAAAGAAGCTGGGGACACGCCTTCAATTGAGTTTAGTTGGCTAGTTTGTTTGCCCATTGGTTGGTGTGGGTAATTGAAAAAAATAAATTTTCCTTCAGTGTTTTTAAGGGTAAAAAATCTTTTCTAAGAAAAAGAGTCTTGAGTTAATTTTAGAATAATTACAGTTTTTTTAATTTTTTAGTTAATAAGCCAAGAAAATTTTTATTCAGACCTTCCAATTTAATCGTGAGGAAACAGAATTTATATTTTACAATCAGAATTGTATTTTTTAATAATTGTAAATTTAATCTTATTTTTAAGGAATTGACAAAATCAGAATTATTTTTAAAAAATCAGAAATAAAATTCTGATTTTAGAATTTCAGAATTATTAATTAAAAAATCAGAATTACAATTCTGGTTTTAACCAGAACTACAATTCTGATTTCAAACTTATAATTTTTTAATTTGTTCTGATTTTGTGTTATTTTCCAATAAATATTCTTCTGTTTGTGTCTATCCAGAATATCTACTAGTTTTAATTACTTTTAATTGCCGCCTCAAAACAAATAATAAAAAAACTTAATTAAAAACACCTTTTGTTTAACCTATTTACATAATATTTTCGCGCTTATTTTCATCCACAAAAATTTTATTTCGGAAAATTTCTTTAATATTTTTTTTGTTTTTGTGGGCACGCTCCAATATCAAAAAAGAAAATTTATTTGTTAATGGAAAATATTTTTGAATAAAAATATTTTTGTCAAAAAATGTTTACGCAATTTTAGCAACTTTTTTACTCATCCTAAGGATGTTAAAGTTATTCAATTTAAGAAAAATAAATATTAAATATTTACATAAAATATGACAGTAGTCTTATTAACCCAAAAATTAAAATAAAAAACGAAAATCAGAATATTAATTGTAAAATTTAATTTAAAGTATTAAAACATCAGAATTGTAATTTTTAATAATTGTAAATTTAATTCCCGACTTTTCTGATTTTTTAAATAATTCTGATTTTAGAAATAATTATTAATAAAATCAGAATTATTTTAGAAATCAGAACTTTAATTTACAATTATTGAAAATTACAATTCTGGTTTGATTTTTTACAATTCTCATCTAAAAATCGCAATTTACCATTAAACAGACCAGAATACTGTCATTAACTTCATTCTCTCCTTAATTCTCTCAAAATTAATAATAATCACCCAAATATCCTCCTCCCTTCTCTTTTACCTCTTCTTACCTTTTATTTCTACTTATCCTCCCCTCAAAAATCTTTTTTTTTCAATTTTCTCAATTTTTATCTTTCCAACGTCATTTTCTACTTATCTATAGGGGATTTTGTGTTTGTTTGTTGGCCATAAAAGGCAGTAAAATGGCACACAAAGGATTAAATTACCTTATAATTTTCATTCTAAGCATCTGTCGGCGCTTTTTTTTCTTCATTTTTAAAATCCTCTTCCTTTATTTAAAGTCATATAATATACTCTCCCGCAATTATTGCACAATTCTGTTTGTGTCATTATATGTGAGGTCAATGGCATTATTAAAAATAAAATAATAAATAAAATAAATAATCTCTCAATAAAAAAGTGTAGACTTGTCCCCCCAATGCAATTGGTTAATATCAACAAAAATTTCTATGGCGAATTTTACTCATACAAATTTATGGTTGATATTATTCAGTTACACGGGGATTTTTAAAAGAATAATAATTGTAAAAATCAGAATTTTTAAATATTTAAGAAATTAATTGTCTCAGAAAATCAGAATTGTAAAATAATAACTAGAAACCAGAATTTGTATTATTTAGGTTTGTAAAGCCTTAAATATTAGTAGAAAATATCAGAATTTGGAATTGTAATTTTAAAATCAGTATATTGTAAATAAATTTAAACCAGAATTTGTAAAAATAAAAATCAGAATTGTAAAATTTTAATTAAATAAAATTAGAATTTTAAATAAAAATCGATGAATTGTAAAACAATAATATTAGTTAAATATAAAGTTAAATCACAAAATAAACAAAGATAAAAATAGCTTCTGATGCTAATCGTCCAATCCCTTTTGCCTTTTAAACAAAACTTGAACAGTGTTGTGGGAAGGGGGGGGGGGAGTGTTGTAAAATAAATAACCATAAATTTCACCTATTTTTTGCATCTGCCAGTTTTGAATGGAAAAAAAGACAAAAACTTTTTTTGTATTTTTAAAATGATTTTTTAAATTTTAAATAGAAAATATTTTTTATTTAATTCAATTTTATTATAAATGGACTTCTTTAAATTAATTCTGTTTGTATTACATATATTAATTCTGATTTTGATATTTTTTTACAAATTCTGATTTAAATTTACATATATGCTGAATTTAAAATTACAATTCAAAATTCTGATTTTAATAATTTCTACAAATTCTGGTTTTATAAATTTTACAAATTCTGATTTAAATAAAAGCTAGATAGTATAACGAGATTACAAACCTCAAATTCTGATCTTAATATTTTTTTACAAATTCTGATTTTTAATTTAATAATATACCCATCTTAATTACAATTTACAATCCAAAATTCTGATTTTTATTCTGAAAATTATATCTACTCGTTAAAACAAATTATAAACTCTCCCAGAATATTTTCATCTCCTTTTACAAAAATAGGGGTAAAAAGACGAACATCTCAAAAATGACAGAGACGTTTTTAAAAACATTTTCAATCACTTTTCACTATTTTTATTTTAATGCTTTATCTAATTTTACCATCTGCAAAAGAGTAGTTTAGAAATTTTCTTTTATTTTTACAAAAAATGATTGTTAGCCTGTGTATTTTTTTGTTTTTTTTGTTCTTTATTTAGTTAAATTCTTTAAGCGTGTTTGTGTATATTTTAAAGTAAAAAATGTTTTTTTTTGTTGAGAAAATGTTTAAAATTTAAGAAAGAAAAAAAGAAAACAAGGAAGTTTAGACTTTAAGGAAAAAAATTATTTTGGATTACTGAACTAATCAGAATTATTCAAAAAGAACTGTCAGAGGTAGAAGGAAAAACAAAAGTGAAGGGTAAAAATAAGGTGAAATTCTTTGGAAGGATAAAAGAAAGTCCGTTCATTCTATTATTTTTCGATAGACCAAAAAATTGTCATTTAATTAGAGTAGTTATTTAATTACAAAAAATTATGAAAATTTTTGCAAAAATTCTTTTAACAAATTTTGAGTTCACATTTTATTAAATAATTTTATTTAACGCCTAAGATTTAAAAATTTGCTCAATTTATTTTTTGTAAACAAAAAAAGCTCAAAAATTGGAAATAAAAATTAAAAACTAAAATATATAATTTTATTTAATTTTAGGTTTTATAAGTTTAACTCGTAAAATTCCTGAATAAAAAGCATATTGTAAACCCGAGTAAACTGTTGTGCAGGCAGTCAAAATACTTTAAAAAATAATTTAGAGAAAAAATTTCAAAAAAAATTTTTAAATTTCAAAATGGTCAAAACTTAATTTTGAGAAAAATAATAATTAAAAATTTTAAAAATGCCCAATACCCAAAATGGTCAAACTTTTAATTTTAATAAGAAATTTAATTCTTTAAAACTATACCTGAGAATCTGAAGAGCAGGATGATCAACAAAGTGAAAAATTGGACTTGCCAGACTAAGTGAAAGAAGCAAAAGTTGGAGGCCTGTATTGAACTGACAATGAATGGGAAAAAATAAATTTTATAAAATTAAAAAAAATCCAAACTTTGCTAATTTTCGAAGGATTTATTTGAATTGACGAAATTGTTGGATTAAAAAATCTTGTAAAAGTAATTGGTGGATCCAACATTTTATAACGAAGAATTAGGCCTCCAGTGACTAACATTCCATCCCTTACAAGTGCAATTACAGTTAAATAAACTTGAAAAGAAAATTTTTAGAAAAATTATTTTTTGAGTTTTAAATTAATGATAAGTTAGGGGTAATTCATCAATTATACTAACATTAAGATATGTGTTCCCTCAAAAAAGTCAAAAATATAAAAAATTGGAGGGAGATTAGTCAAAAAATAAATTTAAAAAATTTTATTCTTTAAAGTGTGTTCAAGTCATTCCCTCTACTGCCAAAATACCATGAAAAGTCATATTGAACAGCTATTTATTTGTGGTTAAGCATAAAGTTGTTCAAAAAACGTTGTATATTTATTAGACCAATAACCGGGTGAGAAAAAAATTTGGGGTGGATTTTGGATCTTCGTTTAAAAATTTTTAGGAAGGAATGAACCAGATTTGGGTTGAGAAGACCGGGTAGCATCCCTGATATGTATTAAGCAGCCTATTCACCCTTAAAACCCTTAACCATAAAATTAAAATTTATTTGGATAATACGATTCTACAACATTGTTGGACAATTCTTATTGGAAGGTACTTAAAAATAAAATTTTCAGGTTATTCTGGCTATAGTTAAGAACCTAAAATTCCAATATTCACCTTTCTATTTAATTTAAAAATAATTTTTTAATTAAAAAACCTGGTATTAAATGCATATAAGTGAGTGTAATGAACAATGTGCTAATTAAAAATTTATCTGCCACGGGGTCAATGATGCTTCCAAAGAGAGATTTTTGTGAAGGGAAACGACGAGCAATAAAGCCATCGACCTGAAGAATTTTTTAAATTGCTTTTATTAATCTGAAAAATCCGCAACACATGTCCGCAGATTAGAAAATGTCCGTAATTCTAAAAATGACTGCAATAAAATTCTCTAAGAAAAATTGAATCCTCAAGCTTTGTCCGCAAATTTCAAAAAGTCCGCAAGGGTTATTCGTAAAATTAAGAATGTCCGCAAAAATCAAAAAAAATTTTAATATTGAAATAACCAACCAAATCACTAACACCAGCAATCACAAAGAGTACACAAGCAGGTGAATATAACTCATTTACCACCAACCACCCAATAATTGGAGTAGCCACAATTCTAAAAAAATTAATTTAAAAATCTTTTTGAATTTTAAAATTAAAAAAAACCTTCCAGCACTGAGTAAATTTGGAATAGTATTTAAACGTTCATTAGCCAACACAAATTTCCTTTGATTTTCTTTTTTCTGTTCTTTTTGCCCATTTTGTTGAGTATTTGATAAAGAAGAAAGAGAAAATCTTCTCCAAGGTCTTAAAAAAATTGAAGAAAATTGTTTTGCTCCAAGTGGAATATTTCTAAACGCTGATAACATTTTTGTAGAATAAAAATGTTGGAAAATTCATTTACTGAAAAACTTTGAAAAAAAAATTTTTTTAAAGGAAAAAATAAAAATATTAGAAAATTGAAAAACAAAAATAAAATTAAATTAAAAATTAAGAAAAAATTTATTTTCAATAAGCGAATAAAAACAACATTAGAAAAGCATAATATGCAAAAAATAAATTTTATTATAATTTTAAGAGTTTTGTAAATAAATACGTAGGAATAAAAATCAGCTTAATTTGCAAAAAAAAGGCGCCTAAATAGAAGCTGGAATCGAACTCGGCATGGTACTCTTTTAATTACTGAAAGAAGACATAGCTTAATTTTAAACGAATTTTAATTAGTTCTAAAATAAGTGAGTCTAGTACTACTCTAATAGGATGGGTAACCGAACTCTTAACGTTATTTTAAAATCAAAGAGAAAAACATTGGCATAACCAGAATACCACCTCACTTAAAAATAATTTAATCCGACTACCCTTAAATAAAGTGAATTTAAAGAACCATTAAAAAAAATAGGCTAGTCACTCTAGAAAAAAATTAAAAAATAATTTATAAAAATCTTAAAATTTTATATAATTTAAATTACAATTTATTTATTTATTCATCACATTTTATTTATTTTTAAAAATCACAGGGTAGTTATTTCCCCTCTACACCCAACACAACCTGTACAACGGGCTTGTAAATTATTAGCACCACCGCCACCGCTATTAGAACCAGAACAGGTTGCCTCAGAAGAGGCTTTTTGGTCTACTGGCTGCAAAAATTAAAATAAAAAATATTTTTTGGTAATTTAACGTGGTCTCCCAAAATTTTTTTCCTACTGACTTTTCTTTCCCAAAAAATTATAAATGGTCAAGGATACATTATGGTAGGAGGTTAAAATTGAAATGATGTCTGCTTACTTAAAGAACTTTTATTCGATTAATATATTTCTTAAGATTATAAAAAAAAATTTGTTTTTATTTTATTTAAGTAGCTGACCATTATGTCCCTTTGGCCATTTACAATATTTTGAAGAAAAAGGGAATGTAGAAGGAGTAACGACAAGGTATCTATTACTCTTTCTTTACATTTTTTAAAAGTTTTTTCTGGATAAAAAAATTTAAAAATCAAACCATTGTCTTCTGCAAAGTCTCCACAATTTTCTTTAAATTATCAATTTGTTTATGTCGATCATTCACCAATTCATTATTATGACTGTCTAAAATTTAAAAAAATAAAAATTAATTTAAACTTTAAATAAACCTTTATTAATTAAATTATTTTCCTCTTCAGATTTTTGGTTGTCTTCAACTTCAATACATTCAGTCATCAAAAAGGAATTTAAAGAATTACAAATAGTTGATAATTGGGTCTGTAATTATGAGAAAATACTTTTTTTTAATTGAAAATAGCTTTGGAATTTTAGGAATCCACACCCCCTCCCCCTACAAGTACCGAAAAGATTTTTTTTAATTAAAATCTACAAAAATCAAAATTTTTTCCAATTAACCCAACCCCTACAAGTACCGAAATTAAAAATTTTTTCAAGAAACATTTTTTCAAAAAAAGTTTCGAAAAACATTTTAAATTTCAAAAAAATCCAAACACCTTACCATCAACTCAAAATTCTGTTTTTTATATTCTTTAAGCATAGCCTCATTTTCGGCAATTCTTTTTTGAACATTTCCTCTTTGAAATCTATACAAAGCAACATATTCTCCAATCGACTCATTTTCTGTTTCTACAGCAGTTAGCCAATACTGAAGTTTTTGATTATCTAAACGAAATCGCTCGTTTTCTTGGCAAAGTTGTTCTAAACGTTTTTGGAGTTTTTGACGATTATTCTCTTCATCTACCGCTTCTTCTTTCTCTTCATTTTTCTTCGCTTCCTTCCCTTTCAATTCTCCTTCCATTGCCGTTTTCTTCACTTCCTCTTCATTTTGCCTCTTCTCTTTCCCCTCCGTATCTTCCTCTTCATCACCTCCTCCATTTTCTTCAAATCGTACTCTTCCTTCATACTCAACATTTTCTTCGCTTAATTCCGTCTCAATACTAGAGACTTGGTCTGATGATGGGACGTGAACCATTAATGAATCATTTGAAGCAAATGTGTCTGTAAAGGAGAAAATTACAAAGTAAATAATTATCGATCACTGGGGTTTCTTTGTTTTTATCAATAAACTCCAATAGGTCCTTATGACTTGTCACCAGTCGAAATTGAAAGTAAATTCTTACAATGGTCCCTAGTTGGCTCTACAATGATATACATGTCAAGTATTTTGTAGAGTGTCAAATATGCTTCCCAAAATAAAATAAAAATCCACGGAACAAAACACTTGACATTAAACAACATGGATCCAATATGGTAAAAATTTAGTAATTCGCTCCCTCCCATAAATCAACTACGTTTCCTAATAAATTAAAAAATTAAAACCTGAAGAAAGTAAAGTCGAAGATTGATCCACATTTTTATTTTCCAAACTTTGTAAATTCACTTCACTAATTCCCTCCTCGTCAGTTTGTATTTGCTTTTCAACCAATTCCTTCAAATTTTCCTCTTTTTCCTTTTCCTCCTTCAATTCATTCAAAGCCTGTGTCAATTTAGAAACTGAATTTAATGCTGTTAAACGTTCATCTTCTTTTTCTGCAGAAGAATTAATTACTTGAACTAAACGATTTTGAAGTTCTCCAAGTTGAGTTTTTAATTCGAGATTTTGAGCTATAGCTCTTGAAACTGTTGCTTTTTCATTTTGTAATTGAATTGAAAGGGTACTGGCATCCTTTTAAAAAATAAAATTAACACAGAAAGAAATATCAGGGAAACAGGGAGGAACAGTCAACCCTTCTCGAATCATGACCGAGAATTTAACAAAGCCCGACTCGCAAAAATTATGGAAAAGATCTGTTTTTATAGTTTTTTTATTATTTTTTGCTTCAAAACCACTTTCGAAGAATCATCCCATAATTATATAGACTCTAAAAGCTTCACACACCCCCCAGTTATAAGCTATGGCAGAAACGGGCTTTTGGGCAAAAATCGCATGCGTCTTGCGACAAAAAGTAATAAGGAAAAAAGTCACTCTTATCTCTTTTTTTTAATGTTATCAACCAAATTTTATGTCACCCATGGAGTTCAACGTGAACTCAAAATATGTAGGTATCCTAATTCGTTTAAAAACCCCCTCCCCAAAATAAACCTGATCAATATTTCCTCTAATAATTTTATCCTTTTCCAATTCCCCAATTCTTTCCATTGCCTCATTCAATTCACTTTTTAATTCTTCAATTTGCCCATTTTTCTCCTCTTCAAGTTTATCCAATGTTTGTTTATTTAAATTTAATTGTTGCTCTTGTTCTAATAATAAATTAGAAATTTGTTGTTTTAATGATTCTAATTCTGTTGTTGAAGACTTTGAAAGAAAAAATTTTAAATAAAAATTATAAAAAATTTTAAACTTTATGGTTCCATCATTTCATTCCGAATGAAGTTTCGTGACAATTCGATCTTTGGTTAAAAATAACGCTTACTTATAAATAGTTCCGCATTTTCTTGGTTTTTTGTATACGAAAAAGAACTCAATTAAAAGGAACCAAAAATTTTGGAGAAAACAAAGAGCTTTTGCTTTATAGACGGAAAAATGCAAAGATTGAATTCCGAACAAAAATTCTTCAATCGGACATTCGATTCGTTCTCTACATTTTTCTCTAATTTATTTAGGTTCGATTTCATTTGTGAAGTCATTCGAGAGGACACATAAAGTTCAAAATTGCCAAAAATAATTTTAAAAAAATAAAAACCTGTTGTTGATCTTCCACAGAAATATCATTTATCAAATTATTCTTTTCAATAGTAGCTTGTGCAATACGCAAACTTTCCTCTAAATAATCTTTGAGAGAACAAATTTCGTTAAATCTAGCACGAGTAGTTTCCAACTGGGAAAAAAATAAAAATTATTTCTACTATAAAAATGCCAGAACAGAAAACCCCAAACATCTCGTACTTTTGCCGTTCTAACATAAGCTTGTCTTGTCCAATTTCCCTTTACCCTCTTTGTTCTTTCGCATTCATTAAATATTCTAATTGAAGGTCTTAATTTTCTCTAATATAAGTCTAATCAATTAAGTCCCCAAACATTTTTTTGAACTACTATAAAACTCGCACCGATTTTTCCTTCCCCCGATCCATCCCTGCTATGTTGTCAAAAATTATTTTTATTTCAAAAAATAAAAATTTCCAAACCTCTTCCTCAACCATTTTCAATCGAGAATTAGCCTGTAAAGAAGTTATTTGAAGCTGTTCTTGTAGTGTCTGAACATTTTTCTGTGAATTATCCAATTCCAATTTGAGAGAAATGAGTTGCTCATTTGAAGAGGATTTTTTATTTTCTAAGAAAATTTTTTTTGAAAATATTCAAACAAATTTAATCAAAAAACCTTCATTTTTCGCCTCAAAATTTAAATTTTTAGGCAAATGTTCAAATTGAAATTGTTTTGATAATTGTTGTAAATAAATATCACGCATAGCCAATTCTTTTTTACAATGTTCATAATTTTGTTCTAATTGCACTTTTTCATGGTAAATTGACTTTAGGTGGGCCTTGAACAAAAAAAAGATTTTCTAATTATAAATACAGAAATAAATATCAAAAAAGTAAACTTCCCGTTGATGCAGAAGATGGGAGGACATCGGATAAAACTTTAAAGGAGTTATAGCCAAAAGGGAACGAGAATTTTTTTATTTTTGTGAAGGAATCTTATAGGGGAAAAAGAATTTTGGGGGAAATGCTGGAAGATAAAAAGGCTTTATAATCCACTGAAAAATAAGGGGAAATTTCGAGGGAAATATAGATAAAAATTTTACAGAAAATGTATTTGAGCTGAAATACGCTCGATTTCGAGTATATAATTTGATTAGCGTTTCTACAAGGCTTTCAAAAGGGAGAAAAAAGGACACCTTTAACTGCTGCTAAGAGAAATAATTTTACTGGGTCCGGCACCGGTTATGTAAATACAAACGGATTGTATAAGACGAATTTTTCTGGGTTAATGGGGGCCGAAAATAATTCTAAAATGCTGAAACGGATTTGGAATTCGGGCTCAGGAAAATCCGTCAAGAATTAAGTACTGCATCTACTTTTAAAGAGCCCACAAACCCCCAAAAAATAAAATTTTAGAATAAAAAACCTGTGTATCCATTTTATCTTGTTGTGCCAAAAAAAGTTTAGCTTCCAAATTTGAAGATAATTTCCTTTCTTCTTCAATTTGTTGTGAAAGATTGGAAACAGTTGAAAGTAATTCATCCCTTTCTTGTTGAATATTTGCTAAACGTAAATCAGAAAAATTGTCATTTTTTATTAAATTTGTTGTCGAGGAAGTTGTCAACAAATCATTTTTTTGATTTTGTAAAGGAGCATTTTTTAAATTTTGTAATTCTTCCATTTTTGTTTTTAATTCTCTCAATTCTTTTTGTAAATTAGTTTTTTCTTCTAATGAGTGGGTTAAAGCCTAGAAATAAGTTTTAAATTATTTGTTGGTCTACGGCCTTCTAAAATTATCGAAATTTCCGCCTGCGACGTTAAAAGTTCGGCGCAGAAAAATTTTCCCGTTGCCTCCCCCTGAAAAAATCCTGGCTACAGTCCTGAAGGTATCGATACGATTTTTTCGATATTTTTCAATATTTATCGAAAAAATACCGACTCCCCCCCCCTCTCCACCCAATCTTTACTAAAAAATAACAAAAATTATTTTATACAATTTGTAATTGTTGTATTTGATTGTTAATATGTACTGGAGTCTCTCTTCCATCCAAATCATTATTATTTTTCTCCACTAATTGATTATAGGCATTATATAATTCTGAATAACTTGAATGCTTAAATTTAAAAAAATAAATTTTAATTTATAAAAAGCCATACAAGTGAATTAAGTTTTGAAAGAGCAGTGGCCAATTCTTCTTGTTTTTGGATCAATAAACTCCTTGATCCGTTCAAATCTCCCTGAAAATTGGGGAATTTAAAATTTGACATTTTGGTATTTTTAATTTTTAGAGATCAAGTGGAACCGGGCCAAACGTCTGTACCTAGAACTTAGACCCTAGATGTTTAAAGCCTTCTGAATTTTTCTTACATCACAAGTCCAGGATCCATCGAAGGCCATTGGATTTAAAAGCATTTAAATTATTTTTGAATCAAATGGCCGGGACTTTTTTAATTCATAAACCTGGACTCTGATACAAAAAATCGGTCAAGATATTTTCTGTTGAGAAATATTCTAGAGATCGAGTGGATCAGAAACAAAGGCTTATAATGGACTTGGACCAAAAAACCCAGATGGCTTAAAAATGCATGGGTCTGGGCATACAGCTCGTCCCTGGCTCACTTGATCTCTATAAAACTTCATGATTGATCTTTGAATCCGAATCCAAAATCTTAGATTTTCTCGGACTCTAAGCCCATGATTCCCCAAGGTCAGTGGATCCAAAAAAATCAGTCCAGTCCAGAACATGAAAATTTCTCTTAAACCCTTTCCAAAAAATTTTTTCGACTCTAAAAAAACAGAATAACTAACCTCTTCAATTCTCAAATTTTCAGGCACAGAGTAGCACCTAACCTGATTTCCCGCTTCCTTTTGATTAAACGGAAGTAATTCACTTGTAAAACTTCCAGTAGGTCCATTAATTAAATTTCCATCATTTAAAAGTGTTCTCGTTTCGCTCGCAGATTTTGAAAAATTTGGAAGAATTGAAGGGGAGGAAGAGCAAGAATTATTTGAATTTTGTAAAATATTATGGTCAATACAAATTTCCAAACCATTTGAAGAATTAAATGAATTAAAATCTTCGGCACGTTGAGTGTGCTTTGATTGGAATTTCTTCAACTGCAAAATTAAAAAAAATAAAAGTGAAGTAAAATCAAGGTAAGGGAAGTGTTTCAAGCATGGAAGAGGGCTTTTTTTTTAGCCTAATTCTTCAAGCATGGAAGAATTAGGCTAAAATTCTGAAAATTTGTTTAACAAAATATTACCTAGATTGTAAAAAAACTTCAAAAAAGGTAAGTTTGACGTTTTTATTTTTTCCTCCTTCCCGAAAGTTTGCCTATTTTTGCTGATTAATAAGACAAATATTGGTTAATAACTGGGTTTTTTGAATTTTTAAATTGAATTTTTAAAGCAAAATTTAAATCAAAAAGAAAAAGGAAGGTCCAAAACAATGTAAAAATTAGAGTGCACGGGGACGGAGTCCTGTACGAGATTTTAATTTACAAACGGAATTACCCGTCCCCTTAAACAATTAGAGGCTAAATCTTTTTATGGGACCCCGGGAATGCGATTTTGCCGTAATTTAGTAAAAATGTTAGGCCACAGGAAAAATTTTAAGGAGGAGAAAAAAAGAGAGGAAAAATAACCAAAAACTAAAATTTAAAAAAATACCAAATTTTTTGCATGAAGAATTCGATCATTTGATTGTTGTTCATCTGTACTCATTTTTAATGAAAATCTTCGTAAATATCAAAAAAGTCTATAGTTCATTTGTCTAAAAAGAAAATTTAATTTGAAAAAATAAAAAAAAGTCAAGCAAAAATTTTTTAGAAAAATTTCAGAAAATAAGACGAGAGAAACGATTAAAACGAGAGAACAAAATACAACGCGACGGGATATTTTTTCATTTTTATTTTTAAAAAAACATAATGCCAAAAATAAAAATATTGAATAAATTTGAATTCTCTTATGATAAATGGTAAAGCCGTTTCAGAGGCCATAACTTTTTTGATTCTTAACCAATTTAAATAAATATTATATCAATCGAAAGCTCTTGATGTGAGGAGTATTTTACCTAGCAGGATTGATTTGATCAGATTATTCTGCAAAAATTTACAATCGAATAAATATCAAAAATCACGATTATGCGCAGTTATCCAATTGGAACTTTTTGTAGGATGATTTTATCAAATTAATCTTGTTAACTAAAATATTCCTTACATTAAGAGCTTTCGTTTGACATAATATTTATTTAAATCGGTTAAGTATCAAGTTAGTTATGACTTTTTGTTTCTGTATTATTCATTTTTGAAAATATAACAAAAAATTAAAATTTTATTCTGATTTTTAAAAAAATACAAAATGGAAAAGCAAAATTCTGATTTTAGATAATTGTGTTTTTACGTGTATTTATTTGTAATTCTGATTTCATATTTGTACTAATTAATTCTGAATTGTAAAATTCTGATTTTCTAAATATTCTGATTTGTTGGAAAAACTGAAATACAAATTCTGATTTTATGTAATTGTGTATTTTACGTGTATCTATTTGTAGTTCTGTTTGTAATTCTGATTTTTTATTTTGTATTTTGTCCATTTAATTCTGAATGTTAAAATTCTGATTTTCTAAAAATTCTGATTTATTAGAAAAACTAAAATACAAATTCTGATTTTATGTGCTCTTCTGATTTTTTTAAATTCTGATTTTTTTAAATTAATTATTCTGAATTGTAATTTCTCTTATTTTGTAATTGTAATTCTGATTTTTCCTTCTCTCTTTTAATTTATTTTTTCCCTTAATTTTCTGCAAACTTTCTTGTTGTTTTGCTAATTTCCTTCTCGTTGCTTCAAATCTTTTTTAAAAAAAATTTCCTTTAATTTTTTTTATTTTTCCTATTTTTTTATTTAATTTGCCCCCATTTAATATTTAATTTTATTTACAACCCCAAATTTACACAAAAAAATTAGGAGGGTTTTCAAGTGTTCACACAAATTCGCCGAACGCCAGGACGGAGAACAACGTGAAAACCATGTAAATATTTTAACTAAAAAATTAATTTCTCTCTAATCTTTCCCATGAGTTTGAATTTTAGTTTAAAATATTTTTTTCCGATTTGTTGAATTAATTAAGAGAGGTTGTTGTTCTCTAAACAGGTGATGATGCTGCCAAGGAGTTAATATATAAATAAATAAAAATATATTTTATTTTTATTTATTTTCTTGAAAATTTTCTTTTTCTAAAAATTACTCCCTCCCACTCTTCTGACTAATTTTTAAATTTCCCCGAATTAAAACGGTACAGTAATCCTCGTTTCTTAATTTAATTAACTACTTGATTAATACAGAATATATAAATAAACAAGTTTTGTGTCTTTTAAAATCACAAATTGTAAAATTTTAAATAAAACTTTTTTACAATTGCTTTTGCTTTTTTTCAGAATTTAAATTCTGATTTTTCTTCATTTACAATCGAATATAAAATACAATTAATAAATTCTGATTTAATTAAAAGAAAAACACAAATTCTGATTTAATTTTAAGGAAAATACACCAGAATACATTAATAAATTCTGGTTTCTTTTCAAGAAAAATAATTTTAATTCTGATTGTTTTAAACACAGAAATACAAAAACACAATTGTAATTTCTGATTTTATTATTAAGAAAAATTCTGGTTTTATTTAAGTGGAAAAACACATTTAAATTCTGATCTATTTTTAAAGAAAATACACGCAAATTAATAAATTCTGATTTGATTTTTAATGGAAAATACATTAAATTCTGATTTGATTTTTAATGGAAAATACATTAAATTCTGATTGATTTTTAATGGAAAATACATTAAATTCTGATTTGATTTTTAATGAAAATACATTAAATTCTGGTTTAAGTAAAAACCAGAATTTGTGTGTTTTTCCTCTTAATTAAACCAGAATTTTTCTCATTTAATAAGAAAACACATTAAATTCTGATTTTAATTAAAAGAATTTTAAAAATACTGAATTTTAAAAATACAAAAACACAAGAAAAATTCTGATTTCCAACCACAATCAGAAACACATGTTTTGTAGTTTTGAGGGAATATTTCATTTTATTACCCCCCAATAATTATTATTTAATTTCCCCAATTTCCCATATTTTACTAATATTTAATTATTTTATTTTTAATTTTTGAGTACAACTTTTTAAGAAACATTTTTTTATTACAAACTTATTCGTCAAACAGACAAACACATAAATATTTAACTGAACAAAAATGAACAAAAAAATGGCCATAAAAGAATTATTTTTAAATTTAATATTTTATTTTTATTTAAGAGACATTTAAAGAATTTTTTTAAATTTAAATTTTGATTTAAAAATTTATTTAAAAATTAATTATGATCATCAAAAATACAAAAAGGAAAAAATATTTTAATTTTAATAAATTAACAATATTAATTTTAATTTATTTTTTAATTTTTTGTGTTCAACAAGGAAACTGTAGATATCGTTATAGACAAGGTATTTTTCTTGAAGAATTCGAGAAAAAATTTTTTTAATCGAAAAAAGCTTCGAAAATCCTCTAAAAATTAAATTATGACCTTTAAAGAGCAGTTTAAGGGCAGTAAAGTCAATCAGCGCGATGCTTCATAAAATTGGCAAGGAAGCTCTTAGAAACTCAAAATTTTCTGGATTTATTCTGGATAATATTAACTAACAACCCTTAAAATTTTAGAATTTTTTATTCAATATTTCTAAAGTTATGGACGATAAAGTGAAAAGATAGGCCATTTTTAAATAAAATTCTGACTTTTTTGACCATAAATTCTGAAATTCTGAATCAAAAATTCTGAAATTTTTAATGAAGATAAATATCAGTATTGAGGATGTCCTTGCAAAATTTCAGAAATTTGGGTGATCAATTGGGAAATTTATAGACTTTTAACTAGGAAAGATACGTGCCCTAAGCGCCTTCAGTTCTCCAACATTCAGAAGCTCATATGCTCTATCAAAAAATATTTTTTAAAAATTTTAAATACTCTTAATTTATTTAAAAATCGTCCAAAATACTTTTAAAAATAAATTTAAAAAAATTTCCAAAAAAATTTTTCTTCTAATAATTTCCTCTTTCAGAACCTATGCCCGACACTGGGTAAGTTAAACTTAAATTTTATTTAATTCTCAAAAAATTAATTTAATTAATTTAGCATTGTAGAAGAGTCTCCAGAAATCCTTTTAAGATTTAAAAGACTAGCTTCGTCATTTTTAAATTATTTAAATGGAAGTTGATAATTAAAAGTTGCTACGAAATGAAGCAAATAAGGAGAGAAATTACAGCGAAAAAATTAAAAATTAAAAATGTTTTTAAAAAAATATTTTTATAAAAATGTCATTTATTTTTTTGTAAGAATGATGCCGAGAATAAAAGAAAGAGGGAGAAAGAAAAAAATAAGAAAAATTTTAAGAAAAATTATTTTAAAGAAATATTGTCGGCATCGAACAGATCTCATTTTTATTATTTTTTTCAATTTTTATATTTTTTTAAATATTAAAATTATTTTTAAAAACTAGTAAAGCTTCGTTTAAAAAATTTTAAGAAGCTAAAAAATATTTTAATTAATTGTGGGATCTTTAAAAGTGTTTAAAAATCAAAAAAAGTTAATAGGGAGCCAGAAAAACTCGAACCCACAACTAAATAAAATATAGACCGAAGCGTTAACCACTACACCACTAGCAGACTTAAATAAATTATTTAATTAACGAATAAAGAGTAATTAAAATAAAGTAACCTCCCCATGGAACTTTACATTTTCTCGAAAATTCCCATCTTTTTTTGTTTTTCTTCGGAGTTTTTTTTTCTTTAAAAGAATTAACAAATTAAAAGATTAAAAATTATTTTTCCCCATTTTAAAATTCAAAAAAAAATTTTTTTTTCATTTTTCAACCAAATTTAGGGGCTATTTTTGAAAGCCTTTCTTTTGAGAAGCATATTGATTTACCAAAATTGATTACCCAAACATCATACTATAAAATTAAAAAAAATATTTTTATTAAATCTTACCATCCCTTTCCTCCCCCCAAATTTTGTTTCTCGAATCATTTGATTTTTGTTTACTTTTTCTTTCAACCCTTCCCCAGCAGACATTTAGAGAAATAGTGTGTAAAAATAAGAGAGACAAGTAAATAAATTCTTTTTTTTTTGGGTTATTCTTTGGACTTTTTACTTTAATTTAAGGGATATACAGGGTGTCCCAACTAAAAAGCACTATTTTAAAAATTAATAACTTTTTACTATCTTGACGGATTTTAATGATCTTTGGTATTTTATATCTATAATTTATGAGAATTTTTTTGACATAAAAATTATGTCTAAATTCGAACCCTAACCCTGTATTTCAATTTCGTACTCAACCGTTCTCTTTTTTCCCTCTTTTCATTGTGTGCTATCTTAGTGCATTTATTTTCCTGCGTATGGCGAAGAGTGGATACTGTATTGAAAATGTAGTGTCTATCGCCTAGTGTTTACTCTAGTGTCTATCGCTGCTCAAAAAAAACAAAAGGGAGTAAGAATGCATGTGCGGAAAAAGGGAAAAACAGAACGGTAGAGTACGAAATTATCTCGGGTTAGGGTTCGAATTTAGACATAATTTTTATGTCAAAAAAATTCTCATAAATTATAGATATAAAATACCAAAAATCATTAAAATCCGTCAAGATAGTAAAAAGTTATTAATTTTTAAAATA